AACCCCTGCCAATTGTATGCCAGTGTGTAGCTTTCCATGGCCTGTTCTGGGTTGTTTCTTATCATGTTTCTTGCACTTACCTGCCGGGTCTGTGTCCTGCCAGAGGAGTTGCCCAGGCTCCTCCATCAGAACCTCTCCCAATGCCAGGTTTCATGCTTACCAGTGGTTCCATGAGCCAGCCCTACTCAGTCCACCTCCTGTCATAGCAGGAACTGTGGCTTTTCCTGACTGGCCTTCAACCCAATCTGGTTCTTGCTATTGGATGTTCCAGCCCAGCCATGGTTTGTCCATACCCACATATGGCTCACACATGGCTCAGTAGGGAGGGGTTTGAGACCTTGCCTAGTCCATCGCATATCTGCCCTGGTCCTCCAGGACACCAGGGGGAGTCGGGGTCTGGCCCGGTTTGGTGCATCCAATCCCAGTCCACACTTGCGCCAAGGGAGACTACAACTGTTTCCAGATCAGAATGCAGCCCCCCTTCCAGGCCATGTACCTCTTGGTGGGAACCTTAGCCCAGCTAGGGTTGTCCCCTTTGCTCCCCAACCGGGTCTGTTCCCATCCTTAGATCACTTGTATGCCAGTGGTTTCTCTGACTCAGCTTGGCACAGCCCCTCACCTGTCCTGAACTCTGCCTTAGACACTGTGGCTTAGCGTCCCTGGCTCCCGCAGACCAGTAGGTACAAGAGCCTAGCTCGGCATGACCTCTGCTCCCTCCTGGTTTCTAGTTTTACTTGTGGGCTAAGGTTTGCTCGGTCGTGCCTGATCTACTCTGTTGCATTACCAGTTGACACATTAGCCAGCTGTTGGAGCTACTTTTTCAGGACAAGCCCCAAGCCATAGCTTCTGCATGGACTGGTATTTGGTGCTCAGCATTATTGGTGATTACAAATTTTACAAAGGAAGAGTTACTGCCTGTTTCAGGTCCGAGAAGCACAATGGGTTCAACCTGGAGCTAATTAAGCAGCGACTCAAAGAATCAAATTCTCAGAGCTCCCCGGCCGGGAGGCCAGCAGGCAGAGCCTGGCACCAAATGGCGCACTGGCCGCCCTGGGAACAGCTCACCATGTGCACATGGTGGCTGTCCGGGAACAGGCATGAGATGCCCTGTCCTGAGACCCACCAGCTGCCAGGAGGATGCTGGAGGTTTAAATTCCGATCTCTATGTCTTTTTAATGTTTGTTTATATTTATCTTCCAAGTTCACTTTTTCACTCCCCAAATTCTTACACAAGCTGGGGCTGGACCAGGCTGTCGCCATGTGGGTTTCCCACAGAGGAGGGAAAGGCTAGACCCTGGAGCAGCCCTGTGTTGCCTTGCAGGATGCAGCAGCAGGAAGCTGGGTCATGTGAGGAGTTGTCATGACTCGGGACTGCCAGAATTCTGATGTAGGATGTGACTGGGACCCGTCCTTTCAGTTGCTTCTTTGTCTTGAATGTTTTTGTTTTTCTAAAGATTTATTTATTTATTGGAAAGTCAGATATACAGAGAGGAGGAGAGACAGAGAGGAAGATCTTCCGTCCGATGATTCATTCCCCAAGTGAGCACAACGGCCGATGCGAAGCCAGGATCCAGGAACTTCTTCCGGGTCTCCCACACGGGTGCAGGGTCCCAAGGCTTTGGGCCGTCCTGGACTGCTTTTCCATGCCACAGGCAGGGAGCTGGACGGGAAGTGGAGCTGCTGGGATTAGAACCGGAGCTCATATGGGATTCCAGCGCGTTCAAGGCAAGGACTTTAGCTGCTAGGCCACGCCACCGGGCTCATTGAATGTTTAATGAATCAGTGAGTTCTGTTGCTGCTTCTTTTTGTTTTCTTTATACTCTCCCTTCTGGGGACGGAGTGGAAAGCAAGTGGCTGTCTGTCAAGATTGTTGAATTGTTTTTGGCTCTTGTTCACATCTTACCTGTCCACTTTCAGTGTTTCATCCTTGCTTTTGGGGTTTTACTTGACAGTTACGTTATGTTTACTGTTACTACATCAGGGCACCTGAAAGGTTTACTTTTGGCTTTTGATTTCAGAGTTCACTGTTTAAGATTTCGTTTTTTAAAGATTTATTTTAATTGTAAAGTCAGATTTACAGAGAAGAGGAGAGACAGAGGGCAAGATCTTCCGTCCAGTAATTCACTCCCTAAGCGGCCGCAATGGCTGGAGCTGAGCTGCTCTGAAGCCAGGCACATGGAGCTTCTTCTGGGTCTCCCACACAGGCGCGGGGCCCCAAGGCTTTGGGCCGTCCTCGACTGCTTTCCCAGGGCACAAAGCAGGGAGCTGGATGGGAAGTGGAGCCACCGGGATTAGAACGGTGCCCATATAGGATCCTGGTGTGTGCAAGGCGAGGACTTCAGTTGCTAGGCTGCCATGCTGGGCTGTGTCCAAGATCTTTGACCTGAGTGTTTTGGGGTCTGGGAGAGGTGGTCCTGCTGCTCAGGTCCTCAGATGGCATGGAGCATCGCAAGGCAGGAGGGACCATGTGACCCATGTGACTGCACCTCCGGTCTCACAAAGTCTTCCACCTTTACTCATGGGGCTCCATCCTGATGACTCAGTCTAATCTAGTCACTTCCCAAAGATCCCATTTTTAGACACCACAATTATGTTGTTCTCAGGCTCTCAGAAATATTAACATAAAACTAACTTGTAAAACATAGATCTTTGAGGGCATTAAGCATCTAGGCCAATGTTTAAGCCTTAGCTCCCCTTAACATGCTATTGCTGTGCCCTAAATGATGGCTCAGTGGCTAATTCTCCCTTGCAGGCACTAGGATCCCTTATGAGTAACAGTTCATATGCTGGCTGCTCTGCTTCCCATTCAACTCCTTGCTTGTGTCCTGGGAAAGTAGGTTTTAGACCCAGTGGTAGGCCTGCAAGAAGCTTCTGATTGGCTCAGCTATGTCCTTCGCGGGCATTTGGCAAGTGAACCAGCAGGTAGAAGATCATTCTTTCTCTCCCTCTCTCTGGAACTTTGACTTTGCAATAAAAATAAATTTCCACATACAAAATGCTGTTGCTAAGGCCAGATTCTCAACCAGCTTATCCATCTCCTAATTTCACTCAGATTTCTTCTGTCACTTTGGAAACAGTGCTTATATTATTTTGTTATATGTTGTGTTTCTTACATTTTCTTCTCTTTTTAAAATGTTTGTTTATTTGAAAGTGCCACAGACATCTCCTGCTTGTTGGTTCGCTCCTCAGATGGTTCCTCGGGTCAGGGCTGAGCCAGGCTGAAGCACAGAGCTTCATCCAGGTTTCCCCTGTGGGTGGCAGGGACCTTAGCACATGGGCTGTCTTGTGCTATTTTTCCAGGCCATTAGCAGGGAGTTGGATAGGAGGTAAGTGCCTGGGACATGCTTGCATCCTAAGCTGTTGCTTTTTACCCTGTATGCCACAGTGCTGGCATTGTTGTTTCTGAGTTCCTCTTGATTGGATATTTCTGGATAAAATAGATTTTCTTTTTTAAGATTTACTTATTTTTATTGGAAAGTCAGATATACAGAGAGGAGGAGAGACAGAGAAGATCTCCTGTCACCAAGCTGCCACAGCGGCCAGAGCTGCACTGATCCAAAGGCAAGAGCCAGGAGCCTCTTCTGGGTTTCCCGTGTGGGTGCAGAGTCCCAAGGCTTTGGGCCGTCCTTGACTGCTCTCCTAGGCCACAGGCAGATAGCTGGTTGGTGAGTGGTGCTGCTGGGACACAAGCCAGGGCTCATATGAGATCCCTGGGCCAGCAAGGCAAGGATTTTGCCACTACGCTACTGTGCCATGCCCCAGATCTTCCCTTTTTTCTAGCTTGTTTGTGTAGCATTCTTGGTACTTTCGTTACTGAAGAGACGAGACGGCAGAGCTCTTTGTGATGGTTCATTCCTCAGATGTTTGCAAGCGCGGTGCTGGGCTGGACTCGGGCCAGCACTTCAGTCCAGGTGTCCCGTGTGTTCCTTGTACCACCGCCAGCCTCTTCCAGCATCTGCATCAGGACGGAGCTGGAGCTGGGTATCAAACTCAGAAACTTCCACAGGGGATGTACCTGTTCCTGAGCCTGGGTACTCGGTTAAACAGATTTTAATCCTGTTCTGAGGCTGTAGCATGATTTCTTACAGTGCAGTTGGAATTGAAGCTGACGTTCATCCTGAAGAATGGATCTAGTTTCGTTTTCTTGCTGGACTGCTGCACGGTTGTCACAGTGCCGTTCATGCAGAAGTGCGTTGTTTCCTCGGTCTGCGGTACCGCCTCCATCTGACCTCAGTCTTAGGGGGAGTTCGTCTTTGGGCTTTCTGTTGGTCATTCACATGATCTTACCGTTGTGTCTGCGATTGCTTCAATATAATTTGATCCTCAGATTTTATATTTTCTCTGGGTAATTTTGCTTGTTCCAAAACTGGTCTTAATTTCCTTAAGGATTTTACTCTTTTTTTGAAAGAGACACAGTGTGGGAGAGACAGATCTGAATCTGGAGGTTCATTTTCCAGATGGCACAATAACCAGGTTTCCCCAGGCTGAAGTGAGGAGACAGGATTTGTATCGGGGTCTCCCACATTGGTGACAGGAGCCCAAGTGGTTGTGCCATCTTCTGGTACGTTCCCAGGCAGTCAGCAGGGAGCTAGGTTGGAAGTCCAGCAGCCACTAAGCTGCTTCTACTGAGATCTGGAAGATGAAGGTTTTCAGTTGGAAGGACAAGTGGGGAGTCTTGTCACAGCATGGTAGGAGTGGGAGACTTAAATTGTTTTTTTTTTTTTTTTGCCAAGGGCCATTTGGATATTTAGTATCATCGTGGGTCATTCAGAATCACTTAAAAATTTAGCCTGCTATACATTTATTAAGTTTTAAGTCTTACCTAAGTTTTTTCAAGGTCACACTTGATAATTTCATGTGTCTTCCATGGCCTGGGGACCAAATATTCCCCATAACCACTCTGAAGTAGCACTTATATTTTGGATTTCTTGTATTTTGCTTCTAAAGAATGAGTAAATGGATAATTTAGACACTGAGTTGTGTGTGTTGTTGTTTTCCAGTTCAGTCCAATGGCCAAAGGCTCTCAAAGGTACATGGTTTCCACTGGTGCAGATGGGACAGTTTGCTTTTGGCAGTGGGACTTAGAGTCCCTGAAATTCAGGTAAGTAACTTCAGTTATGTAACAGATTTTCTTCTCTCCCCCCTCCCCCCCTTTCCTCCCAAGACTTAGGCAGAGTTACACAGAGAGGAGCGGGTGAGACAGCTGGAGCCAGGCCAGTCTGAAGCCAGAAGGGCGCTTCTTCCCGTTGACGTGGATGTACTGACCCAGGCGCTGGGGCCTCTTCTGACTTCAGAGGATCTTTAGCAGGGAGCTGGCTCAGAACTAGTGTCCGTGTAGGCTGCTGAATGCCACAGGTGGTGGCATTACTGCATCATACAGCCGGCCTCAGCAAGTTTTCTGTAGTGTCTTTTATTTCTTTTCTTTTTTAAAGATTTATTCAGTTTTATTGGAAAGTCCAATATATAGAGAGGAAGATCTTCTGGCCGCTGATTCACTCCCCATGTGGCCACAGTGGCTGGAGCTGAGCCAATCTGAAGCCAGGAGCCAGGAGCTTCTTCCAGGTCTTCCATGTGGGTGTCTGGTCCCAGGGCTTTGGGCCGTCCTCGGTTGCCTTCCCAGGCCACAGGAAGGGAAGAGGAGCAGCTGGGATTTGAACTGGCGCACGTAAGAGATCCTGGCACTTTCAAGGTCAGGAGTTTAACTGCCAGGCTGCCATGCCAGTCCCCTGTGGAGTATTTTCAGTGTAGTCTTAGTGTAATGAGATACTGTGTGTTGTGCTTGTCTTTTTGCTTTTGAACTTGGTTTTTATTACATATAACGGGCATTTTGTGTTGATGATTTGACAGTTTGTTAGCTGGATAGAAAAAAGCATAATTTTCTTAGTACATTTTTGTGACAAAAGATTATGTGACTTTCAAAAAAAATGTTGGAAATCTGTCATTAGCTATGTGATAAATCAAAAATCAGGTGGGAACACATGACAGGCACAGGCCTTGGATCGTAGACCTGTGCTATCCTGAGCTCTTGTGAGCAGGTTAGTGAGGGACCTAATTTTTCATTTAATTTAGATTACCTTACTCTGTTGTTAGGAAACTCTTAAAATATGTTTGGAATAATTTGTGCCTGAATTCTTCAACTCAGAAAGTTTTAGGATATCCTACGCAGCTAATAATTTTTGATGACAGTGTCTAGATTGAGGTATTTAATTGCTAAGTGTAAACTAGAAGATTTCAGTTCAGTGAGAAAGGAGTCTGAAATATCCCAGATGTTAAAACTATTGGTGTGGGATTGATATAGATATGTTAAGTGATATAAACTGAGTTTTCTTTTCTAGAAATGTTGCGGTTAGGACATTTGAAGTTGTGTTTGTAGCTCATGCCCCGGGTTTGTAGGAGAGAGCTGCCCCTCGTGACTCTGCCCTTGCGTGCATTCACCCGCACTCTGTTGTCACCTCTTGGGAGGGGTTAGCACGCTGCTTCCGTGCGGTGGATTTGTCTTGAAGATTGGACTGGACTGTATCTTTGAAAGTGCGCAAATACAATAGCCTATATGAAGATGCTTAATATACAAATAAGATTATAGTGATTATGCAAAAATAAAGCTAATAGTTTAAACATCTTATTTTGTACAACTAACGGATTTTAAATCATTATCTTCTTCTTTTAAAGTCCACGACCCCTGAAGTTCACTGAAAAGCCTAGGCCGGGAGTTCAGATGCTTTGTTCTTCTTTTAGTGTTGGTAAGATAATTTATTCGGTGGCTTTTTTCTTAGTTTTATTTCAGTATTTACTAAATGATCCACAGTATAGCTAAGATCTTGTAAGTCGTGTGTCTTTAATGACTTCCTGTGTTTAGGTTTAATGTATGGTATGCTCATTTAACACACTTTGTGTAGTTTTTGTTTTCCATCCCCCTATTCTGCTTTTCCCTCATGTGTACAATCATCAGACGGTGATAGAAGACAGCTGGCAGTAAGGGTTAAGCTATTCCTTAGGAGCTGTTTCTGTGCATTTCTTTCCTTTTTTTTAAGCTTATTTTTATTCTTTAGAGATTTATTTTTATTGGAAAGTCAGGTTTATAGAGAGGTGAGACAGAAAGATCCTCTATCTGCTGGTTTTACTGCCCAAGTGGCTGCAACAGCCAGAGCCCAGCTGATCTGAAGTCAGGAGCCAAGAGCTTCTCCTGGCTTTCCCGTATGGGTGCAGGGCCCCATGGCTTTGGGCCATCCTCAGCTGTTCTCCCAGGCCACAGGCAGGGAGCTGGATGGGAAATGGATTATCCAGGACGCGAACCGGTGCCCACGAGGGATCCCAGCACATGCAGGGTGTGGACTTTAGCCTCTATTGTGCTTGGCCCATTTCTGTACATTTCTGAGATCAGTTGTTTAAGGTATAACAAAATTTTGATTTTTTTCCATGATCCTAAATTACACATTTTTGGTAGCTGAAAGTTGTTTTCCATACATGTGTCGTGGTGAAATTCTTCTCCTTTTTTCTTGTCAGGTTTCGACTTGTGTGGGACTTTGCTTTTGATAGGTCGGAGAGGCTTTCATAAAAGACAGGAAATTTCAGTTCAATATCTAGTTGAGATAAGTTTAGTTTTGGAATAAGAGACCGCACTTTGTCTATATTTTAAAGTTTGGCAGTCCCACTTGTTTGGCTGTTGGATGTGAGCAGACGTTGAAGCCTTCCTTGCTGTGTTTCAGGTGGTATGTTTTTAGCAACGGGCAGCACTGATCATGTGATCAGAATGTACTTTTTGGGTTTTGAAGCACCAGAAAAAATCGCAGAACTTGAAAGCCACACTGTAAGCATCACCTTTAAAATTCTGTAGCTGTAATGGTTGAGTCTCTTGCTAGATGTGCAAACCTAAAACTGTTATTTGTAGTTTTTGTAGAGCAAATGAATTTTATTTTAAAAGTTTTGAAGTGTTTGATTTAAAAATATTAAATCATAGTTATCTTAGTTGAGAGATTGGTTGTAATGTTTATACATTTTTGCTGAATTATGTTAATCAGTTAAGAATAAGTTAGAGATTTTATGTTAATAAAGTGGAAATGTCCATTGTGGTTTTTGTTAATTTTACTCTAATGCTCATTTTTGAATAGGAGTTAGTGGGTTGCTGTTGTTGTCCAGTGGCTGTTTTGACCTTGTCTGATGAATAGTTTGGTTCCTTTCAAGTAGATCTTCTGCTACCCAAGCTTATGAAATGAAAATGCTATAATTGGGGTACAGTGAGGTAGATAATTTTTAGTGTTGTGTACATAGACCATGTCACGTCAATTTTCTCCTACTGGAGTTACTTGATAAAGTGATCAAATTACATTAAAAGGCAAAAATAAAACCAAACAATTTGTATATCATCATCAAAGTGAATATGCTTTGTTGGCAGCTGCTGAAAAATCTGTCTTTTGATGTTTTGACACAGTTCATTTTCACCTAAGTCATTTTGAAGAGATGTTGTGGTAAATGCAGCTTTACTTTTGGGAACAAGGCCCTTCCCCAGCCTCACCCTGGGGTGTGCCTGCTCTAGATTTTTTACTGTACTTCAGAGTACTGTAGGTGTTCAGTGACAGAACCGGGCAGGTAAGTACAGATCTACTGGTTAAAGCACTGAGACTTGCTTTTGCAACATTTACAGAGTTTATAGGTAACATGTCTGTGTTTTTGTTTCTTCTTTAGGATAAAGTAGATAGTATTCAATTTTCTAACAGTGGTGATCGGTAAGTGTATGTTTGTATGTTTTTAGGCAAATTAGTGTAACAGTACGTGCTAGCATAGCAAGCATATCACTTTGACTTTTTTGTTTATTTAAAATTTATAAATAAGAGTATGTTTTTGTGGAGTGCAGTATGATGTTTTAGGAAATGATTAAATAGAGCTATTAGCACATCTAGCACCTCACATTTTCTTCTTGATAGGAACATTTAAGATCAACTCTTTGGTTTATAAGTGTACATTATATACTAGTATCACTTTCTATATTGCAGTTACTTATAAATACATTCATTGGATACAATGTTGGACAGGGAAAGAAGTTACATTTCATGTAACTTGGAGTTCAGTTATCGCATGTTTTTATAACCAAATAGAATTCTTTGGCGGGATGTGTAAATTTCTTATGTTTGAGAAGTGGAAGCAGTTTCTGGGAGTGGGCCTTTAGGTAGAACTTAGCCTAACCGTCATCTGCATTGGCACCGACTCCACCTGTCTGCTAATGTGGACTGGGAGGCTGGGCTCAACTCCTTGGGTTCTTGTCCCCATGTAGCCTCTGGCTTTGTCTAGCTGTTGCTAACATTTAGGGTATCTTTTTAGCTGTGCATGTTCTGAGAGCTGTCTTGCATCTATTGGTATTCTTTCCTTATGTGAACAACTACCGTTAGGATAGGCCAGACCAGTGCCAGGAGCCACAAGCTCCATCCAGGTCTCCATGTTTATGGCAGGAGCTCAGGTGCCTAGGTCACAGCTCCTGTCTGCCAGGCACATCACCCAGAAGCTGGGTTCAAAGTTGGAGCAGCTAGGGCTTACACTGATGCTGTGGGGTGGGATGCTGGCCATCGAAGCAGCAGTTCACTTGCGCTACTCCAGTGTTTGATTTAATTTGCTAATAGATTGATTTATTTTTACAGTGACTAGCATGCATCAGTTTGAACTTAGAGTTAAGATAACTTAAATGGAGTTTTTCTCTTATTTTCCTGTACATCTTTTATTTTATGTTATTTGATTTTATTTTACCATTTCTTCCCTGGCTCCAAGTAATTCTTGTTCATTTTCTTCTCCAAACTCAATCTTATTTGAAAAGCTATTGATTGAGTTTGAAACGTGCCCTGCTCCACAGGACCAGGCCTTACAGCAGGGCTGATTTTTTTTCTCCCCAGCAGATAGGTCCTAAATACTTACTCTCTTGAGTTTTCACATGCACACTGACCTGTCGCCAGTACAGCCACATTAACAAAAGCTTCCTTGCTTGTGATTTCAATTGTAGCTTTGGTGGCAGGTGTATGAATGGATGTTCTTCTGAATGTTTTCAGGTTCCTAAGTGGTAGCAGAGATGGAACAGCACGGATTTGGAGGTTTGAGCAGCTGGAATGGAGAAGCATCTTATTGGACATGGCAACCAGGATCTCGGGGTGAGTGGTGCTCGGTAGCTTGGTCTGACTGGGTCTTCGTCTTGGTTATTTTCCTTAAGGGATATTAGCCTCTTCCAATCAAAGCTTTGTCTGCTACACAGCTTGTTGGAGAACAAGTGAGCATATCCTCTTTAAGATTTAAAAATTAGGCTCTAGAGATGTTGTGATAATGTTGTTTTGTATGATCATGTTGAAAGACATGGTTCTGAGTGCCTACCTCATTGCAGTTTCAGTTTCCAGGATAAGAACTGCAAGTTTATACATATATTAGTATTTTGACTTTGCTTATTGAGAGTAGTATAGGAGGTGGCACGAATATGTATTTTTAGAGTCAAACCTTGACTCAGTACTGCTTACACTGTTTATAAATGTATGATTTTTCAGAGCACTGTTTAATATTTCTTTGATCTGCTTCATCTGGGGAATAAAGCTTCCCTTTAGGCATCACTGGGAATTTTAAATGATACAGTGAAAACTGTTAGTTTACTTTCTGGCTGAGTAGCATGTTAATAAATCATGATTATGTTGCATTCAGCATTATTATTTTAATTGAATTTAATAGAAATTGGGGCCAGCATGGTGGTTCAACAGACTAATCCTCCACTTTTAAGCACTGACATCCCATATGGATGCTGGTTTGTGTCCTGGCTGCTCCACCTCCCATCCAGCTCCCTGCTTGTGGCCTGGCAAAAGTAATGGAAGTTGGAGCAAGTCCTTGAGCCCTTGTACCTACGTGGGGGACCCGGAGGAGGCTTCTGGTTCTTGGCTTCAGATGGGCTCATATCCACGTTTTGCAGCTGTTTGGGGAGTGAACTCCAGGGGGTGGAAGATCTTGCTGTTTTTTTCTTCCCTCTAAAATAGGCCTTTCAAATAAAAATTAAGTATATTTTTAAGAAACCAACAGAAGTCTAAAGTCATGAATTTTGTTTGAATTTGTTTCCTGTGTTGTATACTTTTACCGATTTTTTCTGAGAAATTTTGTTTTGTTTTATTCTTTCAAAAAATCATCCTATCTGGTTTACTTTTTCTGAAATATAAACCATGGGATTTGTAGTGAGTTTTCCAAATAAATTTGGCCTCAGTATTTTTGTGGAATTAACTGTTGCAGAGAATGGAGAAAAAAATATAGAACGGGACTTTTGATAAACAACCTTTGTTAAGTTAAAAAGCCTTCAGGGCCCGGCGTGATGGCCTAGCAGCTAAGGTCCTCGCCTTGAATGCACCAGGATCCCATATGGGTGCTGGTTCTAATCCCAGCAGCTCCACTTCGCATCCAGCTCCCTGCTTGTAGTCTGGGAAAGCATTCAAGGACTGCGTCCTGGAAGTTCTTCATTCGTTGAAATAATGAAGGAGAGGGGAGTGTGAAGATCATGGAGAGTTCTGTATTTAGGCCAAGTAAGAATATCACTGTTGAAATTTGAGTAAGGACCTGTTTTGTGAGGTGGAGGAGTAAGCTGCTGCCTGGACATCAGCGTCTCATTGGATACCAGTGTGCGTATCCTGGCTGCTCCTCTTCCCGTCTAGCTGCCTGCCAGTGGCCTGATAAACACAACGGAGGATGCTCCGAGTGTTTGGGCCCTGCACCCACAGAGACTGGCCCAGTTCCGGCTGGTGGCTATCCTGGGGGTGAACCAGCGAGTGGGGGATCCCTCTCATTCTCACTCCAAATTTTATGTAAACATGAAAAAGATTTTTTTCTAATGAGCCTGAAAAGTGCTGTTTTTTGCTGCCATGCTCCATTCTTGGAGGTAATGTTACCTGTGTGTGTGTGTGTGTAATGATTGTTTGAAAGAGTTGGCTGGGAGAAAGAGATCTTGCATCTACTCGTTCACTTCTCGTGCCTGCAAAGGCTTACACTGGGCTAAGCTAAACAGAAACCTGGAGTCCATGTGGCTTGTCTGCAGCGTGGCGGGGTTCTAGGTGCTGGGGTACCCCTGCTGCTTACCATTACTTGGAAGCTCAATTGGAAGTAGAGCAGCAGGACTTGGGTGCTTCTGTGGGAGCTTGTAGTTGGTATTTTAGCCTGCTGTGTTACAACTCCAGCCCTGATGATCTGCTTTTCTTTAAGTAAGTTTTTCCTGGAAATCTTGAAAAACATTGTGTTTGTAAGAATTAAGCAGTTTACTTTTTATTCTTTAATGTTGGTGAATCAACTTGATAAAATGTTACTTTTCTACCTCATTTATAGCTCAACAAATTGACTGTCTTGAGTCATGTTTTTCTATATGCTGATGATATAAAGATGGATTGCTTTTTGTTTTCCTAAAATTTATTTCTTTGGAGTTAGGACCAGGTGAAGATAAGTGTTAGTAATAGGTTGGAATCAGGACAAGGGCATAAAGGGAGCGAGGTAAAATCTGATTGACTCTGTCTCTGAACTGCTTCTGATTGCTCTTCGGGTTCCACTCTAATCTCTGGCTCGGTAGTCTTCATGGATCCGATGTGATGAGTCGTTTGTATGTGTTGGGAAAATAGGCCCAGGAGTGTCATTCTCGCTGCCGTGCTGGTGGTGAGGGGTTATATGCACTGTGTGGAAGCCATCCGAATGAGTGAACAACTTCTGTATTTTTGTTAGGGACTTGTCCTCAGAAGAAGAAAGGTTTATGAAACCGAAAGTAACAATGATAGCTTGGAATCAGAATGACAGCATTGTTGTCACTGCTGTGAACGATCATGTCCTCAAAGTGTGGGATTCCTATACGGGACAGCTTCTCCATAACTTACTGGTACGTCGTTTTTATACAATATGACAGTTCAGAATGTTGGAGCTTTAATGTTCCTTTTCACACTACAGATTAGATAACACACATTTTTTTCCACATTTAAGTTACAAGTTGACTGGAAGCTTTTACATGTGTAATTTTTCTGATTTGTGTATTTATAAAAACCATTATACTAGGACAGTGTGTATGTGTATGTACAAGTTTCAACTGATAAACTCCTTAATGTCTTGGCTTTGTTGAATAAAGGGTCATGCTGATGAAGTATTTGTTTTGGAGACACATCCTTTTGATCCCAGAATTATGTTATCTGCAGGACATGATGGCAGCATATTTATATGGGATCTTACGAAAGGCATCAAGATGAAACATTATTTTAATATGGTAAGTGAAATGAAGTGTATCTTTATGCTTACATTGGTTTAGAGTGCTGGTTTTACAAAGTTTGGCTGGAAATTGATCTGCATGTTTTGGCTTCAGGTTTCTGTCTGTACAAGTCAGGGTATGTAACAGCTAATGAATTAACTGGCAGCCATGAGTGCAGAGAGTTCAGACATTCAGAGTCTGCAAAAACTGAATTGATTTCAGGTGTTTTACACTAAAATATACTTCTAATCCATTGTCCAGACTTTTTGAAGTGCCTTAGTATGTTCTCTTTCAAGAGAATACACATTTATATATATATATATATATATATATATATATTATTTAATGCCCTAACTAGTCCAGTGTGTTATTTTTCTACACATGCTAATTAGCGACAATTCATATGCAACTTAACATCAGTCTTGGGCTTCCTGCCCTGGCTTGTTTGGATGTGGAGGGCAGTCTGTCAGAGCAGTTAGTAGGTTAATGACTCTTCCAGCTCAGGTCGCATTTGCCTGGGATTCAAGCAATGTAAGTTAGAGCTGCAAGGAAGAGTAAAGCAGTTTTCAGGAGTGAGCATGTGTTCCATCATAGACCGCCCTCGCTGAGGCAGGGAGCTGCAGTGGCAGGGAGCTGCAGTGGCAGGCATGTACCTGTGCGCCCTGGAGGCTGCAGTGCGGTCGTCAGATCAGCCTAGGACTGGGTTAAGGTACTTTTCCATAAATTCTTGAAGTGTTCATTTTAGTTCAGAAATACTAAATTTTATTAAAATTTACCTAGTAGGTAACTTTTTAATACGTATTAAATTCAAGTCTTAACCAGTTGCCTGTCATTCACCTATAAAATGCACAGAAAAACCTTCACTGTGGATTGATGTGGAGCCTTTATTCAGTGACTTGCAGAACTAATTCCTAGAACTTACAAGTTTATTTTGTTCTCTAGAATAGTAGTATCTAAAATGAGTTTTGGTTTGTGATAATGATATATTTTAAAAGCAAAGGTTGCTTTAAATTTCTGCTTCAGAAGGGACCTATTGCAAGACTTGATTCACATTAGAAAAACGCATGTGTCAGAAGTCGGTGTGTAGAATTTTTCCTGATGTGTCTTGTTGGCTTTCCTAGATTGAAGGGCAAGGACACGGAGCGGTGTTTGACTGTAAATTCTCCCAGGATGGACAGCATTTTGCTTGTACAGATTCTCATGGACACCTTTTAATATTTGGTTTTGGATGCAGCAAACCATATGAAAAGGTCATTTAAAATATTTTTTTATAGTGTGGGGAAAAATTAACTTTGCAAATAGTTTATGCTAATCTTTTATTTTGATTAGCTGTTTAATGTCTATTTACATATGTTTACATGCATTTTTTACATGTTATATGTAAACCTGAAAAATGTCATCCTGTGAACTTGACTTTTCTAGATTCCTGATCAAATGTTCTTCCACACTGACTATCGACCTCTCATTAGAGATTCTAATAATTATGTCTTAGATGAGCAAACTCAGCAGGCCCCTCATCTTATGCCTCCACCATTCTTAGTGGACGTGGATGGAAATCCTCATCCAACTAAGTACCAGAGATTGGTACCAGGCCGAGAGAACTCTGCAGATGAGCACCTGGTTCCTCAGCTCGGATACGTGGCCACAAGTAAGTGTGAAGGTGCTTTTGTTTTTGTTTTAAATTTTTTATTTAATAAATTTAAAGAGCAAAGAGCTGCTGTACCTGTAGATTCACCAGATGGTACTCTTTTGAAGTCTTCTGTTACTCTGTGTCTGCAGTATCTTATGCTGTTTGAGGTGAGGATTCTGGATCACGTGCTTGTTTCTGCCTGAATTCTTTAAAATGTATTTCTAAAAATAGTACTCTTCCCTATAACTGTGTATTATTAAAATCAGGCCATGTAATTCAGATAATGTTGTTCTCTGTGTTTGTGATCAGTTTGGTCAGTGTTCTGATGTCTTTGCTTTGCCCTCTTGTGATGTCCATCTGGCATCATCCTGGCGTGGAGGTATTCCATTTCCTCTGTCTCCCAGAATCTGGCTTAGGTTCTTCTTTACTTCCATGACAGTGATGCATTTGAAGAGAGTAATGCAGGAAGTTTGTAGAATGTCTCATTTGTATTCATCTTCTTTTTCTTGATTAGGTCTAATGCATTTTAAATTTTTATTTGAAAGGCAAGAGTGAGTTGCTTATCTACTGGTTCACTCCCAAAATGCCTTTCACAGCCATGATTACGCCACTTTGAGGCCCAGAAGCTGAAACTCAGTCCTGATGTGCTCCCTGGCTGGCAGAGACCAGCCACCTGAGCTGTGACCGCTGCCTCTGAGGGTGTGTGGTAGCAGGACCCGGGGTGGTGAATGCAGTTGGCACGCGCTTAGGGGTGGGCTTCCGCACTGCTAGACCAGATGGCTGCCCCCAGTTTTTTTTTGAAGGTTTATTTTGATGGGTATTAATACATTCAGTCCCACCTTTTTTGGTTAGTGCTTGCATTCCTCTAATTTGCAATCCTTAACATCTTTGAATCTTTTAAAACAGGCTTTTTATGGGCTGCATATTTAATCCGATAATGTTTGTTAGAACTTGTGGACTGTTAGTCTTCTGTTCCATATGTCCTTTCTCCCCTTTTTCTGCCTTCTATGGGATTATCATTCGGTAATGCATCTACAAATATCTTTCTAGTGATACTTGTTAGCTATTTACTTTTTATTTTTTTAAAGATTTATTTTTATTACAAAGTCAGATATACAGAGAGGAGGAGAGATAGAGAGGAAGATCTTCTGTCTGATGATTCACTGCCCAAGTGAGTGCAACGGCCGGTGCTGTGCTGATCTGGAGCCAGGAGTCAGTAACCTCCTCCAGGTCTCCCACGCGGGTGCAGGGTCCCAAGGCTTTGGGCCGTCCTCAACTGCTTTCCCAGGCCACAAGCAGGGAGCTGGATGGGAAGTGGAGCTACCGGGATTAGAACTGGCTCCCATATGGGATCCTGGTGCTTTCAAGGCGAGGACTTTAGCCAGTAGGCCATGCCGGGCCCATTGAAAAATTCATTTTTAAACTTCTTTAAAATTTTTAATTAGCTTCTAGCTGGTTCAATGCTGTGTGTAGATTATGGTCTTAAGCATATGACCATGAGCCTTTCCTGCTTTTTCCTTCCCCTCATGACTCTATTTCTGTAAGAAACAGATGAGAATTTGTTTGCTGTAATATACTGAGTTAATGTTAAAAGAAGATACGTGTCATAAGGAGTATTTGAATCAGAGTGCTTAGACGTGTTTCCAGGTCCCACAGTTAGCACTTTTATCCCATTAACTAATCATCAGCCTGTTTAATGTTTTTTGTGAGGAATGTTACTGAAAAGAGAAAGGATATACAGACATGAAAATCAGATTCTTCCTTTGAGGTAATAGTCGTGGTATCTGCTCTACTCAGAATCCTGTGTAAGAATGAAAGTAACTTATAGCTGATGGCAGCTGTGCAGCTGACGGCTGCTGCTGACTCTGTGCTAGCCTGGACCTGGGAGCAGGAGAGCCTCCGTGGTTCTGTCAATGCTGCAAGCGTGTTCCGTGCACTTTGCAGCGGCAGTGATGTGGCAGAGCTGGTAGAGCCCGCCTTTCTTACGGAGTGCCGCTTTCATCCTGCCTGCTGCGTCGGTTGCTTTTCTCTTCTCCTTAACCTGTTTGTGCATCTGTTTCCTATTTTCCCCAGCTACTTTCCTCTCTCACATATATATGTATGTGTGTATGTGTGTACACATATAAACATGTACATATACACATGCTGTATTTTAAATGATTTATTTTTACTTGAAAGGCAGAGTTAACAGTGAGAGGTCCTCCATGTGCTGCTTCATTCCCTGACTGACTGCTTTGGCCAGAACTGGGCCACTCTGGAGCCTGGTGCCAGAAGCTTCTTCTAGTCTCCCACAGGGGTCTAGGGGCCCCAGTACTTGGGCAATCTTTAGTCACTTTACCAAGCCATCAGCAGGGAGCGAGATCAGCAGCAGAGCAGCGGGGCACTGGTCCAGTTCCGGTTGACGTTTCACACACCGTGCCCAGATGCTCTGCTCTTGATCTGGTTGCAAGCCGAGGCACCTGGGAAGCAGCTGATGCTAGTTCAAGTGTCTGATGGAGTTGCTGCCACTCTCGGGGGAGACCCGTTTGCAATCCCAGCTTCTCTTGGTGTTGGCCTGGCCCGACTCTGGATAGCACAGCCATCTGTGGACTGAATCAGCACACTGAATGTCTCTGTCTTTCTCGTAGGTAAATAAACAGATGGAAAAATGGACTAGTCCGTCTTTTAACAAGTCCGTTGAAAAAGATGGTTGAAAAGAAATTGCTTCTTTCTCTTCCAGATATCACTTGCAATTTCCCTGTTTGTTCTAGTCAGAGGCTCTGGTTTGGAAGGTTTTTTGTGTCTGCTACTTGAAAAAATAAAGATTTATTTTTCATTCATTCGAGAGGCACAGTTAGACATCTTACATGTGCTGGTTTACTTCCCAAGTGACCAGAGAGGCTGGGTCTGGGCAGGCTGAAGCCAAGAGCTTCCTCTGGGTCTCCATGTGGCTGCAGGGCTCAAGCAGTTGGGCCTTTCTGTTGCTTTCCCAGGTACATTAACAAGAAGCTGGATTGGAAGTGGAGCAATCACAGCATAAATTGGTGCCCATTTGAGATGCCAGTACTGCAAGTGGCAGTGTAACTGGCTATGCCACAGCAGCAGCCCCCTGTAAGATTTCAATGAAATATATCTGGTATAAGCGAAGAGTATTAAAGTGAAAAAGTGTAATAAAAGCTTTATAGAGATAATTTTTTATGCTTTTATTCCAGGAATTTCAGAGCTCGTGTTGAGGTTTTTGTAATACCGTGATAAGAAAGGGTTTTGATTGCTTTTAGTCTTTCCTCAGAGTTAGTTGTGAAAGTGTATATATTCTAATGCAATTCTGATTTTGTGAGAATAGAAATCCTGAAATTGATGTATCTTTAGTTGCCGTGCACTTGTTCTTTTTATGGTTTGTGTTATGTGTGATGATTGTGTGTTCAATCATTGAAATTATAGGTGATGGAGAGGTAATTGAGCAAATTATAAGCCTCCAAAGCAATGATAGTGGTGAGCGAAGCCCGGAGTCCAGTCTTCTTGATGGAATGATAAGACAGTTGCAGCAACAGCAGGACGAGAGACTGGCAGTGGATCAGGACGCCAGCGCCAGTGGACTGCCAAGTGGGGAAGAAACCCCGCGGAGAGGTAATGAGCAGATGGGAAACAGTGTGTGTTGGCATGCCTTCAGGTTGGTGTGAGGAAAGGCACATGCTTTGTCAATAACCTTTAAAGTAGGTATTGCAGTTTTATAAACATGTAACATGAATATCTTATTATACATTTTTCTAAAATAAAACTTGTTTACGGGCAGAAAGAAACTGACTCCCATCTGCTTGCTAACACCCTGACAGGATTTGATTTTTAATTATCAAAGACTACTTAAAGGTGCTTGACTTTTTTTTCTTTTAAAGATTTATTTACTTATTTTTGGAAAGTCAGATTTACAGAGAGGAGGAGATACAGAGTGAAAGTTCTATTCTCTGGTTCACTCCCCAAGTGGACACAATGACCAGAGCTGAGCCGATCCGAGGCCAGGAGCCAGGAACCAGAAAAAATTAGTAGTACAACTGGGACTTGAACCCAGGCACTGCACTATAGATTTGTACAAGTGTCTGTGCAGACACCTGTCCCTGTTTCACTTTTTAATAATAAATTTATTTTTATTGTTGATGATGTTTGCATAGTTGGGAAAGTTGTATACCCGTGTTTACCACTGATTCATGTGGGAAGGTCAAGGAGTGGGGTAAAGTTGATGAGACAATTACTTCCCATCTTTTTTTTTTCTTCCTGAACCTGGAGGAAAGGGGGAGAGGAGAGGGCTGCTCCTAGCAGCCTAACTGCATCAGGACCCCAAGATGAGGGATGGCCACCCAGTGTTATCCCAGGGTCCCCAGTATATAGCTTGTTCTGTGGGTACTGCTTATACGGTTTTGATAGTTCTGAGATGCTATTGATGTCATTGCTGCAAGGTTAATGAAACCTTTCCAAGGTCCATTGGCTGATACAGTCTAATTTAGAGTCTCCACTCTCTCAGATACTTGCTGACAAAAGTTGGCTGCGAAGTTGTCCAATTTGTTCTGCCATCCATGGTAGTGGATGTTCTCTGTTGTCTCCATGATGTGTCATGTCCCCCATGTGCAGCTGAGGAGGCCCAGTTCTGACACATGCACTCTGGTCATGCTCCAACCATGGGAAAAACCAAATTCTGTGGTTTTTCCCATGGTTGGAGTTTTGAGTTCAATGGTTCAGTTGGGTGGAAGATATTCCTGAAGAAACCTCGTCTCATGTGACCCCAGACCTGACTCCTATGTGTGCCAGCCAGTGCAGGGTCTGGTTCAGTCTGTCATCCTCATTATCACACGCACGCGTGTGCACACACACACACACACACACACACACACACTCTTTCACTCTCACTCACTCTCTGGTGTTAGAGTGTCCTGGTCAGTTCTTTCTTCAGCCCCACCTCATATGCAAACCTATAGATACTGTGGCCCAGCCTAACCTGCCCACCACCTTGGCCTTAACACACTCGTGTAGCAACTGCAGCCTAGTTGGAGTGAACCCCCCATGATCCCCACTAGGCCTGCCCCCAGCCCTAGTTCCTGTGCACAAACCATTTATTCATTTTTAGTATATATCTTTTTTTTTTTTTTAAAGATTTATTTTATTTTTATTGGAAAGGCGGATATGCAGAGAGGAGAGACAGAGAGGAAGATCTTCCATTCAATGATTCACTACCCAAGTGAGCGCAACGGTGGATGCTATGCCGGTCCGAAGCCAGGAGCCAGGAGCCTCTTCTGGGTCTCCCACGTGGGTGCAGGGTCCCAAGGCTTTGGGCCGTCCTCAACTGCTTTCCCAGGCCACAGGCAGGGAGCTGGATGGGAAGCGGGGCTGCCAGGCCTAGAACCGGCGCTCATATGGGATCCTGGGCGTGCAAGGCAAGGACCTTAACCACTGTGCCATCGCGCTGGGCCCATTTTTAGTATATATCCTACAAGTAGGGAGACGTGCTTTTGTTACATGCCAAGTACATATTAATATGAAAGTCTTTTTTGGAATAATACGCTGCTGATTTTTTCCTAGGCTTTAGAAGACTAAGTTTAGATATCCAGTCCCCCCCAAATATTGGCCTGCGTCGTAGTGGACAAGTTGAAGGCGTTCGGCAGATGCATCAGAATGCTCCGAGGAGTCAGATGGCTACGGAGCGTGACCTGCAAGCCTGGAAGCGAAGAGTGGTTGTACCAGAGGTACCACTAGGCATATTTAGGTTTGTTTGAGGTTACCTATTTATACGGTTTTTATCTTTAAAGATATATTCATGTGGTTATTTACACGTTTTTAATTTTGTTGTGTGAATAATCATATAAAATATGTTTTAAAGATTTATTTGTTTAGTTATTTGAAAGAATGGTGGATCCATTTTCTGTCTGTTTTCCCAAGTGCTGAAAACAGCTGAAGCTTGGCTAGGTTGAAACCAAGACCTGGGACCCTGGCACTGCCTCCCAGATCTGTTTCTAGAGAGCTAGATGCAATAGAGGTTGCACACGTCCTGGTGGCAGCCTGACCGACGGGCTGTGCCACCATACCTGCTCTTACTGTCCTGCCGTCTCAGCTCGCACAGCAGTGGAGGCACTTGTCTAGCAGTTGGTGCAGTGATGGTGGGAAGTGAAACACAGATGGTAGGAATGTGATGAAAAAGTTTTGTGTGGTACAACTAAGTCTTAAATTTTGTCTGGTTCATGATGATCAGAACTGGAAGTGTCATTTTGGGATAACTTCTCATTGTCAAACAGGGATCGGAAGTGAAATATGTGAATAGTTTCTTAAACATGTAAGCATTACTACTTTGACCTAGAAGAAATGGATTTTTTTCAGCAAGGCATGACCCAGATGTCTGTGTTGTCACTGGCAGCTCAGCTTTCAATTTTAAGTTGCTATACCTAAGAACACTGCCAAGGCTGCAGTCGTTATGTGTCCTTTTTGGTGAGATAGTTTGAGATTTAGGCCATAGGAAGAGAGAAAGAAGAGAAAAAGGCCATTTCTAGTCAATGGAACTTCCTTGGTGTGGCTATCCGGCATTTCTGTCGTCATTTGACCACTAAAGCTGGTGAGGGGTCCAGGTAACAGGGTATTTGAGGTGTAAAGAATAATCCAGTAGGATTGGTAATGGATTATGTGCAGTGTTTCTTGTAACAGTGAAGGGAAATACAGCATGTATCAGATAGGAATTTCATCTGGTTTTTATGTTTGTTTATGTATTTGAAAGGTGGAAGGACAGAGTCTGGTGCTGTGGCATAGCAAGCTGGCATCCCCTGTGGGTGCTAGTTTGTGTCCAGGCTGCTCCACTTCTGATGCAGCTCTCTGCTTATAAGCTGAGGAGGTCGTGGAGAATAGCTCAGAGTGCTTGCCATTGCACGCATATGACAGACCTAGAAGACATTCCTGGTTCCCAGTATATCAGATATACTGGGATATATCAAATATGCCAGTATACATCTTAGTATGTATTTTTAGTATATCAAATAATCATTAATTTTTAACAAAATTGATGTAGTGGAACATTTCATATGTATAATCAATTTTAAAGCATTACAACATATGTACTCTACCTCCCTGCTTTTTTTTTCCTTTTGATTTTTACAATCATGTACTTAAATAATTTTCTTTGTAATTGCAGTTGTAAGCCTTTATCAGGTAAAGATTTCAGCAGATAGTAGTGGAAAAGTCATTGCTTCTCAAGATTCTGGACAAAGGCTACAAATAATAGCAAAATGTCAATTTCATTCATACACATTGCCATTTTTTAGACTTGTATGTTACCATAAATCAAGGAAAACTTGCATCTGTCTTTAAAGACTGGCTTACTTCATGAAACAAAATGGTCTCCAGTTATATCCATTTTGTTGTGAAAGTTTTTTTTTGTTTGTTTGTTTTGAAAGTCAGATATACAGAGAGGAGGAGGAGGGAGGGCGAGATCTCTGTCCGTTGAATCACTCCCCAAGCAGTCGCAATGTCCGGAGAAAGACAGGATTTTATGGCTGAATATTATTCTGTCATGTAACTATATCAGAATTTCTTTATCTAATCATAAGTTGATGGGCAGTTGGGTTGATTTTATATCTTCGCTGTTGTTGGTTGAGTTGTGAAACATGAGAGAGTATAGATAACTTTCGAATGCTGATTTCACTTGCTTTGGGTAAACTCCTGGGAGTGCAATGGCTGGGTCATATGGCAGGTGCATGTTCCTGTTTCTGAGGAATCTCTGTACTGTCCTCTCTGGTTGCACTAGTTCACACTTCAGCACAGTGTGTCAGGGTACCTTCCCCACAGCACCACCAGCATTCAGTAATTGCTGAAGATAGCCTTTTCTAATGGTGAGCTATTTATGGATTCCATACATTGAATCATCCTTGAATCCAGATTAATCCCACTTGATCATGGTGTGTTATCTATTTTGCGTGTTGTTGAATTTGGTTTGCTAGCATTTTGTTGAGGATTTTTTCTCTGTGTTCATAAAGTATGTTGGTTTGTAGCTTTCGTTATGTCTTAGTACCAGACATGTTAGTGGTCTTCGGGAATAAGTGAGAAGAATTTCCTATTGTAATCTCTAACAGTGTAAGAACAATTGATAGTTTTCTTTAAATGCTTGGTAGATTTCAACAGTGAAGCCATGTAGTTCTAGACTTTTCTTTGATTGGAAAACTTTTATTTTTGCTGATCATTGTACATTGTTGGTCTATTTAGGAATTCTATTTCTTCATGGTTCATTCTTGGTAAGGGACATGTGTATAGGATTTTTATGTTAATATGAAAATCAATGTCTAGTTTCCTCTGTTAATATTTATATTGTATTTTTGACACTGTTTCAATTTGAGGAATTCAGTGTATTGGCTTTCAGGGTTATGGGTGAATGATCTGTAGGGTTGATTTCATTAGCAGCTTTTCCTCTTTTTATACTTACTCACCAGTTCAGTAACTAATATAACTGGATTATTTCAATTTGCAGGAAGTTGGAAGATTTTCGGATGGAGAAAGGTGAGGAGGAAAGGAATCTTTACATAATAGGAAGAAAAAGGAAGAGTGCCCAGCTCTCGCAGAAGGTAACGGCACTCTGCTGTCAGGGCGAGCTGCTTAGATACCTAGAGTGTTGTGACTTTCTGCTGAAGTAGGATGTTTCTTTCTCTGGATTTTCCTGTTAATAGATTTCATGACAGTCCAAAATTTAGCCCATTAAAATAATTTCTTAAATTAATTTTTCCAGTATTTTGCTTTCATGGGAAGTTTTGAGAGGTTTTTAAACCTTTGTTTTTATGTAAGTATGGTTTGTATGTGTAATTTAATGCCATTTATGTTGTTAAATTGGGGTTAATTGGCAAGTGGTAATAAAAGTTAATATGAACAGCTTTAATGTTTGTACTTGAAAGTTTTAGTTTTCACTTCCACATTGAGCAAGAATACCTAAAATGTTTATCACATATTTTTGAGAACCAGATAGTTTTGTATGGATTTGAGAAATTGTACCAAAATGAACTTATCCCTTTAATTTCATTTTCCATAGACTTTGAGCTTCATGTATAGATTGCATATAAATATAAATATATATGTAACATTATCTGTGGAATTAAATTTCATGGAGGGGCAGTTAGGAAAAGTTGAAGTGCTTTCTTTTCTTACGTCTTGCTGGTGTGAAGAAACGGTTGGGAGGCAGATGAGACATTTCATCCTGCACTCGGCAGTGACAGCAGGGCGGGGGTCAGCCTGAAGCCAGGCACTCCATCGGAGTCTGTCGCTGGACGCAGAGGCTCAAGGACTTGTCCCGCCTTCCTCTGCTCTCCTGGGAGCCTGAGCAGGCTTACTGTAATGCACGAGCCTCGTCCCCAAATCCTCTCATGCTAACATACCTTGCTGAGGTGGCTACCGGGTACATAGTTTATGCTTCCGTCTTTGGCTTTCTCTTCTAAAATTTGTTCCGTGTACAGTTTTAAAGTTTTATTTGAAGGATCAAGAGAGGGAGTGAGAGATCTCTCATCCAGTAGTTGGCTGTACAGGTGTTCGCTGGGGGTGAGCCACGCTGTCCAGTAACTGGACATTCTACTGCTCTGTGCCGTGGTGGCAGACACACTTGCATCAGTCATTGCCAGCTGATCCCTTTTATGTCTTCTACAGATCATAAAAGTAAAAACAGGAAGATTAAGTTAACAGTGTATGCCAGAGTGGCACATATTAAAGAACAGATGTATTTTTTTTTTAGTTACTATATTAGAAAAGCAAAACTAGAGACAGAAAAACAGATCTTCCACCCCTTGTTTTCCTCCCCAAATAGCTGAGGCTTGGCCTGGCTCAAGTCAGGAGACAAACTTTCTCTTGGTCTTCCCATGTGCATGGCACAGACCCTGTCGCTGTGTGGTTTTCCAGGACGCATTAGCAGGCATCTGGATTGGAAGTGGACCTGCTGGGACTGAAGCCTGGTGCCCATATGGGATGTAGGCTCTGCAAGGGGATGGCTCAATTTGTTGTGCCACAGTGCAGGCCCTGAGTATTTTCTTTTCCAGGCCTTTATTTTGAGCTTATGTCCTTTCCGGAACTTGATGGAAAGGCTGTTTGGTTGACACTGTCCTTAGGTATTGATTGTCCTGCTCATGTTTATTTTTCAGACAGACTCAGTGGTTCCAGTGTCACAGTCAAGACAGAGGACGTGTAGACGTAAATATCTGAATTATGGTCAAAGAGATCTGCATGAGTTATCTTCTGAAGATGAGTCTTCAGGGTCCGCAAGACATGTGAGTGTTGTCAGTTTAAACAGCACACAATGGCTGTAGATGTATTTAATTCTCTACTGTGAGTCTATGCTGTATTTATTTGAAAATATTATACTCTGTAGAGGTTAACAGTGAAATTTTATAATTAGAAATTTTTAAGTAAAAAATTTAAGAACTCTGTTGAGATAGTCACTACATTTGAGTTATTACCCACCACTAGTATTACTGTGGCTGTTGCATCATTACCACTATTCACTTTTTAGAAAGATTTTTTTTGGAAGAGTTAGAGGTGATTATCGGCTGGTTCACTGCTAAGAGGGCTTTATGGCCAGACTGCAGGCAGGAGCCGCATATCTCCTGCATGGGTGGCGGGAGCCCGAACCGGTGGGCCGTCCTCCCTGCTTTGTCAGATTGGAAGTGCAGCGTTGGATCAGGAACCAGCACCCAGATGGGACGCTGGTGTTGCAGGATTTATCTACTGTGCTGCAGTGCCAGTCCCCTCCCCCACCCCCTGCTCCCGTCACCTGCACCTCTACCTGTTTGTGCTGTTCTTTCTCCTCTTCCCTGTCCCTGGCAAGCACTAATGTGCTTCCTGTGTGCGCGTTTTCTTACGCTGCCGTTTCAGTGGCACATGATGTTGTGGTCCTCTCACAGTGTTCTCAAGGCTGATGTCAGTGTGCGGTGTGTAAACAGTTGTTGCCCAGCACTGTTGAGTGGTACGTCGGGACCACATGTGCCTTACTCATTCATCAGCTAGGGGACGTTTCTGTTTTTAGTTATTATCAATAGTGCTGGTTATTAACTGGCATACAGGTTTTTGTTTAGACATTTAGTTGTTTATCTGCTCAGTCACTTAGCTTTTGTTTAACTTTTGAAAATTTACCTGGCTTTTTAAAATTTTATTTCAAATGATATGAAGTGGACAGATCTCATGCGTTTCCTAATACAAGTGTAGGAGCATAGTGAGCGAAGGCTTCTGTCCCGCTCCTGCTGCGTTCGCCACCAGCCTCTCCTTCCTTATTTCTTCATTTTTGTTCCTAATTTGTACAAGAACATTTTCACATCACTTCACCATCACAGGCTCAACTCCATACACAGAGCAAGTAGAGTAATACTAATGATAGTAATAATGATAAGCCCTATTCCTCGTGAGTGTAGAGAAGGCCGTCACCACGATAATCAAATCCCAGAGTCAGTGCAGCTCACAGAGGACATTTTTTGTATGCTGTGTGTTAATTATCACAGATCAAGGACCACTATGACTTGTGTCTTTAGGACTGGCTTATTTCACTGAGCATGGTGGTTCCAGTTGCATCCATTTAGTTGCAGAAGAGATGGCTGATCAGTATTCCAGAGTGTATTTGTACCACATTTTCTTCATCCAGTCATCAGTTGTTGAGCATCTGGATTGATTTTGTATCGCAACTATTGTATAATGCACTGCTGGAAACATGGGGTTCCAGGTAGCTCTGTCAGCTGCAGATGTGATTTCATCTGGATCTATTCCCAGTAGTGGGATGGCTGGGCCATGTGGTAGAGCTGTTTTCGGCTATCAGAAATCCCCATACTGTCTTCAACAATGGATGCACTGGGTTGCATTTCTACTAATACTGGCTGGATTAGGATACTTTCCCCCCACGTCCCACAAACATTTATTGTTTTCTGATTTCTGTGTGATAGTCATTGTAACTATGGTAAAGTAAAAGCTCATTGTGGTTTTTATTTGCATTTCCCTGGTGGCTGGTGATCCTGAGCAGCTTCCTCACTTCTGTGGCCATTGGACTTCATCCTTTAAAAACACCTGTTCATGTATTTTTGGCCATTTCTTCACTGGGCAGTTTTGTTGGTATTTTGTTGGTATCTCTTCTCTTCCTCCCTTCCTTCCTCCATTTCGTTTCGTTTCGTTTCTTTTCTCTTCTTTTTCTTTTTAATTGAAAGGTTAGATACACAGAGAGGAGGAGAGGAGAGGAGAGAGAGGAAGATCTTCCATTTGTTGATTCGCTCCCCAAGAGGCCGCAACAGCTGGAGCGGAGTCAGTCTGAACACGGGAACCAGGAGCTTCTTCTGGGTCTCCCACATGGGTGCAGGGTCCCAAGGCTTTGGGCAGTCCTCGACTGTTTTCCCAGGCCACAGGCAGGGAGCTGGATGGGAAGTGGGGCTGCTAGAACAGGAACTGGCGCCCATATGGGATCCCAGTGCATTCAAGGCGAGGACTTTAGCCACTAGAGTACCCTGATGGGGTTGTTGAGTTTCTTAAGCTCTTTATAGATCCTGATATATTAGTTTTGTGATATTTGCATAGTTTACAAATATTTTCTCCCATTCTGTTGGCTGCCTTTTCACTTTGTTGTTTACTTTTGCAGTACACAAGCTTATTAGATTGCTGTAATCCCATTTGTTTATTTTGTTTTGATTGCCTGTGCTTCTGGGGTGTTCAGAAAAGAGGAAGTCAAGCTATGCCTGTTTGCAAGTGACACAGTCCTCCACGTAGGAGAGCCAGAACACTACCAGGAGACTATTGGTACTCACAAGAAAGTTTGGTTAAGTTGCAAGATTAAAAATCAACACACAAATATCAATAGCTGATCCTGGTGCAGTGGTCAATCAGCTGATGCTCCCACTTGAAGCTACAGGATCCCATATGGGTACCAGTTTTGAGTCTTAGCTGTTCCAGTTCCTATCCAGCTCCCTTTTGATGGTCTGGGAATACAGCAGAGAATGACCCAAAGCCTTGGGACATGCCTCACACGGATGTCTAAGCTGTCTCATGCTGACCCCTTTACTTGAGTCTTAATGACCATGTATCATTGGTTGTGACTTTTTGGAAGGAAAGCAGTTCTTTTGGAGAAGAGTGTTCAACATCAATATTAATTTCAACCCTTGATCTTTGTGCTGTAGCGGACTGCTATCCTGGCTCTAAGTCATCTTTCCTGTTACTTTTCTTCTCTGGTCTTTTGCCACGCATTTAGAATTTTCTCCTTGGTACTTTCTAATTAAATCACATTTTCTTTTTTAGACTTACGTAATCTGTCAGTAAATGATTGATTTACTCTTGATTTGTCTGCTTAGGCATAATGAACAGGCGTTAGCCTCTTTCTTGGTTTATATGCTGTAACTTACTATTGTCTCATAGTCTGTGAGCCTCAGTGTCCCTGTCCGTGAAGAGGGGCCGGTAGACTCTTCCTCATGAGTCGCTATGAAAGTTTCTTGAGCTCAGGGCTGAGGACTGACTGGGTGTGCTTGCTGTCCAGATGTCTGCCCCACTGAGTCTCTGCAGCTGGCTTTTTTCTGGCTTTTTTCTTTCACGTTTCCGTGTCTCAGGCTTTAAGCACGTATTCTGTTGGAACAAATTTCAGGCTCAGCTTCTGTTTTCTCTTGGTAGATTTGGTGAATAGTGCATGGGTTAAAGATTCAAATTCTTCTGCATTATACTGTGTGCATTGGTAAGCAAAGGGCTGCTTCTTAAGTTTACCTGATTATGTTTTTATTAATGGATGATTACATTGAGATGATTTCATCTCCCATTGGGATGACTGAAGATTTTTTGATGTGTCAATTTGACTTCAGAGAAAATTTTTTTTCCCTCTTGCGAATTAGGAGACCTCCTGTGATGCAAGTGAAGGCTCTTGTTCTTCAGAAGAGGATGAGTGGAAAAATGATAGAAAGAGTGACAGCTACAGCGAGAGTTCAAGGTATGTGCTTCTGATGGTTTTGCTCTTTCTTTTTTTTTTAATTTTTATAAAATTTTATTTTGACATTCTTTACATAGTTAATTAGGGTAAGAAGGTTCAAGGGCTACATGAAAGTGGATAATACTAGTATGTTTTCCATATTGTTACCTTCATGTTTAAAGGGGGGTATTTAAGGGAGAAGGCCCACCCAATTTCCCACCCTCCCCAGGTCCCAGATGTAGGGCATGCTCTGAGGTTCTTGCTCAAGTGGTTTTGATATTGCAACAGTTATGAATTGCTGTCAATCTTGCCACTCCAAGCACTATGAGGGCTTTGAAAAATCCACTGATTGACATAGTCCATCATAGCTGAGATGGTTGGTTGAGCTGTTCTGTCTTCTCTCTTTTCTTGGTTAGGGTTCTGAGTCCAGCATTTAGATTAGGAAGATCTCCAAAGAAACTTCTTGTATGTGCTAACCAGTACAGGGCCTGGCACCGTCCATCACTCCAATCAGCTGGTGGTTGCAGTTGCTGGGTTGGTTCTGTTTTCATTCCCGACTTCCACTGGAACCATTGGGCATTGCAGTCCAGCCTGGTTCTGCCCAGCACATACTTGGTCCTCACATAAACCAGTGGGAGCTGCAGCCTAGGTTGGAGCGACCCACAATAACCCCCACCAGGCCCACCCCCTACCCTGGTTTGCCAGTAAGTGTAGCAGTAATCCAGTCTGTCCCACACCCCATTCCACCCCAGCCGCTATCTTAGTTTTATGTCCTCCCGTGGAAGTGGTAACCCAAGAGGGATGAGCCCACTATTTCCCTCCCAGGCCTCTCCCACTCCCAGATTCCAGCTGATGCTGCGTCTAAGCCCAAACAACCCTTGCCCAGTTTAATTTTGTTTGTACCAGTAGGAATAATCCGCCCAGCCCAGCTTTTCCCTGATCTAGTCCACATGGGGCTCAAAGGTGTGGTAGCTCTGCCTAGTCTGGTCTGCCCTTATCCCAGCCCATGCTGTCCTGCGGAAGTAGCTGTCCTGCAAAGGAACCCTCCCTTATTCCCCTGCCGGCTCTGCCCCCTTCCTTTCTTGTTCTCACGTGTGCTGGTTGGGCGCTGCGGTCCCTTCTGGTACAGGCAACCTCACCTCAGCATTCCATATTGTGCACTAGTCTTTGTTGCGACCGACCCTAGGTCGACCCACACTGGTGCCTGGATTTGCCAGTGGATGACGTGGACAGGTTCAGCCTGGTGTTGCCCCCACGTCTGCCAATTGTATGCCAGTGTGTAGCTTTCCATGGCCTTTTCTGGGCTGTTTCCTATCATGTTTCTTGCGCTTACCTGCCGGGTCTGTGTCCTGCCAGAGGAGTTGCCCAGGCTCCTCCATCAGAACCTCTCCCAATGCCAGGTTTCATGCTTACCAGTGGTTCCATGAGCCAGCCCTACTCAGTCCACCTCCTGTCATAGCAGGAACTGTGGCTTTTCCTGACTGGCCTTCAACCCAATCTGGTTCTTGCTATTGGATGTTCCAGCCCAGCCATGGTTTGTCCATACCCACGTATGGCTCACACATGGCTCAGTAGGGGTTTGAGACCCTGCCTAGTCCATCGCACATCTGCCCTGGTCCTCCAGAACACCAGGGGGAGTCGGGGTCCGGCCCGGTTTGGTGCATCCAATCCCAGTCCACACTTGTGCCAAGGGAGACTACAACTGTTTCCAGATCAGAACGCAGCCCCCCTTCCAGGCCATGTACCTCTTGGTGGGAACCTCAGCCCAGCTAGGGTTGTCCCCTTAGCTCCCCAACCGGGTCTGTTCCCAGCCATAGATCACTTGCATGCCAATGGATGCTCTGACTCAGCTTGGCACAGCTCCTCACCTGTCCCGACCTCTGCCTTAGACACTGTGGCTTAGCGTCCCTGGCTCCCACAGACCAGCAAGTACAAGAACCTAGCTCGGCATGACCTCTGCTCCCTCCTGGTTTCTAGTTTTACTTGTGGGCTAAGGTTTGTTCAGTCGTGCCTAATCTACTCTGTTCCATTACCAGTTGACACATTGGCCAACTGTTGGAGCTACTTTTGCAGGACAAGCCCCAAGCCCTAGCTTCTGCATGACTGGTATTTGGTGCTCAGAATTATTAGTGATTACAAGTTTTGCTAAGGAAGAGTTACTGCCTGTTTCAGGTCCGAGAAGCACAATGGGTTCAACCTGGAGCTAATTAAGCAGCAACTCAAAGAACCAAATCCCCAGAGCTCCCCGGCTGGGCGGCCAGCAGGCAGAGCCTGGCACCAAATGGCGCACTGGCCGCCCGGGGACAGCTCAGCACATGGCGGCTGTGCCCATGGCGGCTGTCCGGGATCCAGGCATGTGACGCCCCGTCCTGAGACCCACCAGCTGCCAGGAGGCTGCTGGAGGTTTAAATAACCCAGGCCCAAGGTCGCACCCCTCCCAAATCCCATTCACTGCCCCATGAGGGCGGCGGGTGGGTCCCGGGCCTGCCCAGTCCCGGAGGCCTCCCCCTCGGTCTACTCACCCCGAAGGAAGCGGCTCCCGGAACCCAGCAGGCCCGGGGACAGCTCAGCACATGGCGGCTGTGCCCATGGCGGCTGTCCGGGTTCCAGGCATGAGACGCCCTGTCCTGAGACCCACCCGGTTTTGCTCTTTTAAGCATTGTCCAAACTTGGAGAGAACTCTATGTGGATGAAATTCCAGGGCAAGAGTCTGCACCTGTAGTACAGTTAGCACTGAGGTTTAAGTGTGTTTAAAATGAGAAATGAACTGGATTAACAGCTGTTAAAGACACATCTTTTTGGGATTCTTAGGTGACTATCAATGTCAGCCTTGTAGCGTTAGCTAACACCTAGTCGTGTTAAGTATGTGTGGTAAAAATGTCAATGTAGTCTGGCTTGAATTTACAGTGAGTAATATACAAAGTCTGCATGGTAATACATCTGTGTTGTTATTACTGGCATATGTTTTGTTTTCCTGATAATTGGTTTTGGATTTCGTAGGACCAGATTGTCACATTCTGTTTCCCATCGTGGTTCATGTCACCTTCATCCCCACACATTCCTTTTCCTTTCTCTCCCTCCCTCCTTTCCTACCTCCCTCTGAGCTTTCCTTCCTTCCTTCCTTTTTAAAGAATTACTTATTTAAACAAGACAGGAAGAAACTTATCTACTCCCCAAATGGCCACAACTCCCAGAGCCGGGCTGCTTTGACGCCAGAAGCCACGTGTTGTTTGTTTTTTGAGGTCTCCTTCATGTATAAAAGGAGCCCAAGCACTTGTGCCATCCTCCACTGTGTCCCAGGCACATTATCAAGGAGGTGGACTGGAACTGGAGTAGCTGAGATTCCAGTCACTGCCCTTGTGAGATGCCAGCGCTGTGGGCTGTGGTTTGACCCTCTGTGTCACAGCGGCGTCTGAAGGCAGAAACCCCGACTTAGGCTCTCCAGCCTGTCCAGGGCATGTCTAGACAGCTAGTGTCACTCAGATCGCCTTCTATTGTCATCGTAATTAGTCAAACGATAGTCTTATGTTTCCTTTTACTTTATTTTGATCAGTAACTGGCATGATTTTATAGCATCTGGTTATATAAATACTTTTAAGTTTATTTTAAAAAACAAACAAAAAAGGACTTCCATCTACTGATCCTCAACCCAGCCTCCCCCAACCGCCATTGCATACCTACCACACAGCTGGTGCTGGGCCAGGCTGAAGCCAGGAGCAAAAAACCCAAAAACACAGTACAACTTTGGTCCTGCTTCCTTCCCTTGGCCTTCTAATGTGTTTATTGATGGCTTGTGATTGCAGTTCATTCTAAGCCGCAGCCTCTTGCAGTGTGCTGGGCGAGCTGTTCCTGAGCCTCGTCTCTGGAGGAGTTGTGGCTGGCTTGCAGGTGTTAGCTCTGTCGCGCTTCATCTGTAGGCTTGGGAAGAAAAGCTTGCAAGCTTGTGTTCTCCCTTCATGCAGCATCTGTGCTCTCTCCTTGTCGCTGTTTCCATTCTGCACTGGTAGTGTGGGGGCTGCTCCTAGGATCTCTCCTTTCCTGTCTTCTCTCTCCCCTTGAGCTGTTCTATTAGCTTGCTGTCAGCGTTTAGGTCCTGATTCCACATTCCTTATGGCATTCTCCTCCTCCAGCGACTCTTCGTCTAGATACTCTGATTGGACGGCTGACGCAGGCATCAACTTGCAGCCTCCTTTGCGAACATCCTGCCGGCGACGAGTCACCAGATTTTGTAGTAGTTCAGAAGATGAAATGTCTACTGAGAATTTATCACCTCCAAAAAGGAGACGAAAAAGAAAGAAAGATAGTAAGCCTAAAAAAGAGGTAAGAGACCCATATCTTGTAATTTGCTTATTGTCTTACAGCCCTTATTCATACTCGAGTAGAACTATGATCTTTATCTTCTTTATTGGCTGAGTATTATGCCTAGTGGGACATTAAGCCTGTGATTTATAGAGTAGACTGAAGTTATGTTTTGTAAAAATGAAAAAAAGGAAAGAAGGAGATTGAGGGAGGGCAGTGTGATTGTCTTAGAATTGTACCTGTGGGCACTAGCACCACGACTAATCCTCTGCCGGTGACGACAGCATCATATATGGGCACTGGTTTGAGTCCCAGCTGCTCCTTTCAAATCCAGCTCGCTGGGGAAGCAGCAGAGCATGGCCCAAGGTGCTGGGCTCCAGTGCCCACGTGGGAGACCTGGGAGAAGCTCCTGGCTTGGAACTTTGGGTGTGGTGTCCATTTAGGGAGTGATCAGAGGATGGCAGGTCTCTGCCTCTCACCCTGTGTAACTCTTTCAAGTAAAAGAAGTCTTAAAAAAAAAAGCCAAAGAATTCTATTTATGAAATACATGGAGTCTATTCTATTTATATCAATAAAAATTTAAAAGATTTGCAAAGCAGTGTTGAGGAAGAGTGTAAAATAACCTGTATCTGTACTTTTTATGGAGATACTGTTTTTATTCTTGTATGTACTGATCTGTTTGAAAGAACTACAGAGAGAAAAGTAGAGAGCGAGTATCTACCCCGGGTTTACTTTGAGGTAACTCAGTGGCTAGGCTGAGTCTGGAATCCAGGAGCTTCATCCAGGTCTCCTGGGTAGGTGGCAGAAAGGCCTCATCCTCTGCACTTCCCGTTCTGCTAGTGGGCTCTGTGTCAGAGGCGCAGCATCCTGGACGGGAGCCCTTCCCGTGTGGGCTGTCTGCCTACGGTGCTGGCCTGCCATGCTGCCCTCCACGGGTTATTGACACTTCTACGTCGCTCTGCTCTGAGTTGTGGATTTGACAGAGAATCCTTTCCATATCAAAAACTTACAGGCAGAGCTCTGTTACTCTGAATCCCACGCAGCTCATATTTGTCTCCTGATAATTGGAAGAAGTTTGAGGTGCTTTCTTATTTTGACTTTCACTGACATTTTTTCCTGTTCTGTTTATACTTTTATCATCATGCTTTTCTTGATTGTGCTGTCCTTTTTCCTCCCTTATGCAAGGTATTTGAAGAGGTTTTTAGAAAATGCAATTAAATGTTTATTTTAGTGCAAATAATTTTGAACTTCATGCATAGGATATTCAAGAAGTTCATAGAAAGTGCATATTTTCAGAAATCTTCATAGAGAAGTCCCTGCAACGCCATGTTTATGGTAGCATAGGATAAGACCTGGAAACAGTCCAGATGCCATCAACAGGGATTTGTGGTCAACTTGAAAAGTCACTAGTCTTAAACTCAAATCAAGAGGGCACTTGGAGAATTTTGGTAGAACTATGTGTGGAAGAGGAGTTAGGTTGCACGTTAGCTACCTGGCATGAGATGTAAAAGAAAATCAGGAGATGTTACCGAATGTGCCAGGTAGTTATATTGCTTTCAGAAGTGCTGTACTCAAATGTATGTCAAGAACCAAATGTGTTTGCTGCTTAAAAGTAATCATTGGAAATGAATCATTGGAGCTGGTGTACTGGCTCAGTGGGTTAAGCTCAAAGCAGCAGCCCATATTGGAGTGCCATTTCGGGTCTCAGCTGTTCTGCTTGTAGTCCAGCTCAGGACTGATGTATCTGGGAAGGCAGTGGGAGATGGCTCAAGTGCTGGAGATCCTGTCTCCTGGTTGTGGTCTGCTCTAAGTCCTCAGTATTATATCCATTTGTGAAGGAAATCCCGTTTCTTTCCCGCTCTGATTTGTTGCCTGGAAAATTCAAAATGAATGTTTCTTAAAATAGACATCCAAGGGCCCAGTGTGATAGCCAGGTGGGTAAAATTCTCACTTTAGATGTGCCAGGATCCCCTATGGGCACAGGTTCATATCCCAGTGGCCCCACTTTCCTTCCAGCTCCTTGCTTGTAGCCTAGGAAAGCAGTTGTGGACTGCCTACCTGGCCTGGGAGCGGCTCAATTCTGGCTGTTGCAACCACTTAGGGGGTGAAACCAGTGGACAGAATATCTTTTCTGTGTTTATCTGATTTTCCAATAAAATAAATAAATATTTTATAGAAACAGTAGACATTCAAAAGGTTTTCACTTGTTTCAGTTAAATAGTGCATAATGGCTCTTTAGAAAAAAGTTGTATTGCCCTATTTGAAAGGCAGAGTAACAAATATGGAGAGGTAGACAAAGGGATTTTTCATCTACTGGGTCGCACGTGGCTGCTAAGCCCAGGGGTGGGCCTGCTGGCAGCCAGGAACTTGGAACTCCATCTGGGTCTCCCAGGTTGGAGACATGGCTTCAGGTGCTTGGGCTGTCTTCTGCTTTTCCAGGTGTGTTAGCAGGGAGCTGGGTCAGAAGTGAAACAGCCAGGCTGGATCTGGTATTCCCATCAGAAGCTGGCACAGCAGGTGGTAGTTTAACTCGCTGGGCCATGGTACTGGCCTCAAGCTGTTTCTGTACTGAACTTGTTTGCTTTGCTTTGGCAGAATTTGTGTAGAATAACTCCAGCAGAACCAGCAAATACGGAACATTTATGTGAATTTCATCCTCCAGTGTGGATAACTGACACAGCACTCCGAAAATCTCCTTTTGTTCCTCAGATGGGGGATGAGGTGAGAAAGATGAAGTTTAAGAACATGAGTGTGGATCATGAAATCAGATTTAAATTAGTCCTTAGATTGCTATTAATTTTGGAATATATACTTCCCATTTGTAGGTGATCTATTTTCGACAGGGTCATGAAGCTTACATTGAAGCTGTGAGAAGAAGCAATATTTATGAACTAAACCCTAGCAAGGAGCCATGGAGAAAAATGGATCTCCGGGTAGGATGACGGTGTTATTAAATCTTGGACATCCGGGGGGCAGGGCCATGTTAGGAAACCATTGAACAGGGGCACATTTGGAATGCTCATCCCGAACAATCTGTGTGAATTTTGTTTTTTTTTTTTTTTTTTACACTGAAATAAGTTTACTTTTAAATTTTGTTTTCTCCTGAACTTTAAAAATTACTCTTATCGATTGAGTTATTTATAGATCCATTGGCAACTTGTGAGCGTATGTTTGAGATTTTGACTTTTTACTTGAGAGGCAGAGAAAAGGTGCTGCTGCTGAACCCTGGTAGCTGCTGTCTGGGATTCTGATGTTCTCTTTTAAAAGACTGACTCATTGATGGACTTGTGCTGAATAAATGGCCATTGCTTCGCAACAACAACAAAAAGATTGGCTAATTAATTGAAAAATTTGAAAGAAGTGCAAGGAGAGACAGAACAACAGAGAAGCGTCTTCCGTCCCCAGGTCCGCTCCTGGATGACTGCCACGGCCAGGCTGGAAGCAGGCCAGAGCAGAGCTCCACCTGGGGCTCCCCTGTGGACGCAGGTCCCAATCACTTAGGCTGCTTTTCTCAGGCCATAGTTTGGGAGCTAGACTGGATGTGGAGCAGCTGGGACACAAACTGGCACCTGGATGGGGTCCTGGTAGTGCAGGTGGTTACTTAGCTGCCATACCACAGTTCCGTGCCCAGTTTACTTTTTATAATCACAAATTTCACTCTTAACTAAATAAGGAATTCAACAAGCAGCATATAAGAAAACCACTGTTGCTCAAGAATGTAGGCCAGGGTTATAAACAATAATCAAGTTTCCAAATGTCGATTTTGCTGCTCCACATCAGTTGTTCCGGCTGTGTTCATTTTCTTGGGAGCAGTGGTGTTTTCATTTGTTTATATGGCTGAGTAGGATTCCAGCGTGCATGCGTGTCCCGGTGTTTTAAGTCCATTCCTCAGTTGATGGAGATCTGCGTTGATCACATATACTAGCTTCTGTGAGTTGAGGTGCTATAAATGTGGGGTACAGGTAACTACATGTGCTGACTTTTACTGCCTTTGTCTAAGTTCTCAGGAATAGAATGGCTGGGTCTGATAGATGCGTTTTCAGATTTTTGTCTGTCATAATGGGTGTACTAGTTTACAATGCTGTCGAATAGTGTGTATTTTTGATTTTTAGAAGATAGTTATTCCCTTTTTAAATGATTTATTTATTTGAGAGAGGGCAGAGTACTGTGTGTGTTGTCCATTTTTGTGCTTTTCTCAGGGTAGCTCCTCAGGTGTGCTGCTGAGCTCCAGCAGCCTGGAGGGACAGAGGGGGAGGCACGATGGCGGGTGGTCCGGCTCAGGTGTGAGTGCAGTGCTGTTGCCTCGGAGTTGTGGCCAATGAATCTGTGGCATGTATTCAATGAGATGCTATTGAACAAAAAATGCATATAAAACCAGGCTTATTCTTTGTACTGTTGTAGCCATGACCAGTTTAATAGGGATTTTTTTCCCCTGTGAGCACAGACTCAGTGCTCTACTTGAGTGTTCTAAGCAGCTTTATGGAGTGTGACTAACAGTAACAAAGAGAAGCCAGTGTTTGTACGCACTTTGGTATTTTATAATACGCATGTGCTTGTTTAGTGAAAAACTGTCCCAGTACTCTGTTGCATTCCTAATACCCAGGAAACAGAAACAGATTGTAAGGTTAAGTAAGGCAAGTTCATTTAATGGATATTCTTTCCAAGAAAAAACTTGTCAAAATTGGCTGTCCTGTCTCTGTTAGATTGTAGGACATGGCGTATTATTATTAAACTAGTATTTGTTATTGAATGAATTAGGAAATGAGTAGCAGGATTTTGAATAGTAGAAATACTTGCCCATTTTGAATATATCAAACAGTTTTATTTAAAATGTATTTAAAAAAATAAAATGTATTTTAGAGGAAAATGTCAAGAAATTATGTAAGATTATTAATGGTTATCTTTATCAATATTGAGGTTAACTGTGTTTACATTCTTAAGTTTTGAGGTGCATTTTCTAAAATTAGTATATTGACTTTAAGTTCCCTTTGTTATGTTTGTAGTATGTTTGTATTCCTTTTGTTAGTATATTTAAAATACTTTGTTTCACAAAGATCATGAAGATTTGAGAGAGGGCAAATCTGGTGGTTTCAAAGTCTAAATTGTGAGTTTGCTTTAGTAATAATAATGGAAAATTAGTTAATGAGTTTTGCCTTTTAATTATTTTTAAAATTGTTTGATAAAGGATCAAGAATTGGTGAAAATAGTTGGAATACGGTATGAGGTTGGACCACCTACACTTTGTTGCCTCAAACTAGCGTTTATAGACCCAGCAACTGGGAAACTCACGGATAGAGCTTTCTCTATTAGGTATGTATCACTGCTTTTTGAGTGGAATCCTGTGAATTTAAGAGCTTCTGTCTTGCTGATTTGTCTTGTGGAAAACTTCCAATATGTGTAGAACATCAAATGGAAGAGACTCGGTCAGAAGTAACATTGATGTGTTACAGCACATCTTTAATAAATAAATCTTTAAGATTTATTTATTTTTATTGGAAAGGCAGATATACAGAGAGGAAGATCTTCCGCCCGATGGTTTACCTCCAAGCAGCCACAACAGCTGGAGCTGAGCTAGTCTGAAACCAGAAGCCTGGAGCTTCTTCCAGGTCTTCCACGTAGATGCAGGGTCCCAAAGCTTTGGGCCGTCCTCCACTGCCTTCCCAGGCCACAAGCAGTGAGCTGGATGGGAAGCGAGGCTGTTGGGGTTAGAACTGGCGCCCATTTGGGATCCTGGTGTGTTCAAGGCGAGGTCTTTTTTTTTTTTTTTTTTTAAATAAAGACTTATTTATTTATTGAAAAGTCAAATATACAGAGAGGAGGAGAGACAGAGAGGAAGATCTTCCCTCCGATGATTCACTCCCCAAGTGAGCACAATGGCCGATGCTATGCCGTTCTGAAGCCAGGAGCCAGGAACTTCTTCTGGGTCTCCCACGCGGGTGCAGGGTCCCAAGGCTTTGGGCCGTCCTGGACTGCTTTCCCAGGCCACAAGCAGCGAGCTGGATGGGAAGTGGAGCTGCTGGGATTAGAACCGGCGCTCATATGGGATCCCAGGGCATTGAAGGCGAGGACTTTAGCCACTAGGCCATGGCGCCGGGCCCCAAGGCGAGGTCTTTAACCACTATGTTATCATGCCAGGCCCTGTGTGTGCAGAATTCTTTTTTTTTTTTTTTTTTTTTTTTTAATAATCTTAGTTTATTAGGGTACAAAGGGTCAAGGGCTACAGGGTGAAAGTGGGTAATATCATTGTTTCCACACTAATATAATCATTTTGCCCTGTATCTAGGGTTAGGGGAGTAACAAGGGGGAAAGTCCCACCCTACCTCCCACCCATCCCCCATCCCCAACATGAGGCGCGCTCCAAGGGTCCTGCTCATACAGTTTTGATAGTTCATCAGTTCTGGATTGCTGCCAATCTCTCCGTCCCAACCGTAATGAAACCTATTCAGAGTCCACTGGCTGACAGTCTCTTGATGGTTGGGGTTCCAAGATCAGCAGTTCAGTTCGAGAAATATCCAAAGAAACTTCATCTGAGTTGATCCCAGATCTGATTCTTGAGTGAGTTTGCTAGTACAGACTCCAACACTGTGCTTCACACCAAGCAGCTTATGCATATGCTGGTCGTTGCGATTACTGGGTCCGTTCGGCTTCCAGCCCTGTCTTCCTTGTGAACCAATGGGTGTTGTAGTCCAGCTCGATTCTACCCACTTCATACTCGGTCTTCATGCAAACCAGTTGGAGCTGCAGCCTAGTTGAGGCGACTCCCCAAAACCCCTACCAGTTCTGCCCCCTACCCTGGTTCCCGTGCTTGCCAGTATGCACTGCAGGCTTGTCCAGTCTGTCCCACATCCCAATTAGCTCTCGCACACGTCAATGGACATTGAAGCCTGGTTCAACCCAACCAACCTATTATCCAGCCCATACACCCACTGGCAGGTGCCTTTCTGTCAAGCCACCCCTGCTCCTAGCCTGGGTTTCGTGCTGTCCAGTGAGGGTGGTAACCCTGAGGGAGGTGCCCACTATTTCCCTACTAGGCCACACCCACTCCTAGAGTATGCAGTCTCCTGGTAGTTTTGGCATTTGACTTGTCAGAATTGGCTCCTAGTACCAGCCTCTGCCAGCTAACGCTGTGGCTAAGCCCAAACACCCCTCAACCCACTCTAATTTTAACTTGCACCAGTCAGAACAGTCAGCTCACCGTGAGGCCCGCAGGTGCTATAGCCCTGCCTAGTCTGAACTGCCCCCATCCGTATTCACACTTTCCAATGGAAGTAGTTATCCAGCAGGGGTGCCCACGTTCCCCTGTCGGCTTTGCCTCCTCCCTGATTGTCACATGTGCTGGTTGTGTGCTGCAGCCACATCTGGTACGGCTCATCTCACCTTGGCATTACTTGTTGTGTACTGGTATGTGTTACAACCGAACCTGGCTCGACCCACACTCTGTTCTGGTGCTCGGATTCACCAGAAGGTAATGTGAACAGATTCAGGCTGGTCTGCCCCCAACCCATGCCATGTGTATGCCAGTGGGATAATTTTCATTGCCTGTTTTGGGTTGTTCCCTATTGTGCTTCTTGCGCTTACCTGCATGGGACTGTGTCCTGCCAGAGAAGTTGCCCGGGCTCCTCCACCAGAACCTGTCCCAATGCCAGTTTTCGCGCATACCAGTGGGTCCATGAGCCAGCACTACTCAGTTCGCCTGCTATCCTAGGAGGAACAGTGGCTTTTCCTGCCTGGCCTCCGACCCAAGCTGGTTCTTGTTGTTGGATATTTCAACCCAGCCATGGCTCTTCCATACCCCTACCAAGCTCACACATGGTTCAGTAAGGGCTGAGACCTAACCTAGTCTGTCACACAACCCTCCCCGGTCCTCCAGAGCACCAGATGGTGTTGGAATTTGGCCTGGCTTGGTGCTTCCCATCCCAGTCCACAATTGTGCCAAGTGAGATTACGATCGTATCCTGATCAGAATGTAGCCTCAGTTCCAGCCCATGCGCTCCTTGGTGGGAAACTCAACCCAGCTAGGGTGTCCTGTTATTTCCCCAACCGGGCCTCTGCCCTGCAGTAGAGCAGGTGTAGGCCGGTGGTTGTTCTGTCTCCGCTTGGCAGAGCCCCTCACTTGTCGTGGCCCCTTGGATGCTGTGGCTTAGTGCCTCTGCCTCACACAGATCAGTATGTGCAAGGACCTACCTGGCATGAGCTGTGCTCCAACCTGATTTCTGTTGTTACTTGTGAGTTAAGGTTTGTTCAGCCCTGCCCCTTCTGTCCCTTTCCAGTGGCAGCCCGGCCCACCCCACATCCTGTTTAAAGATGCACATTTGGGTGCTGCTGCCTTGACCTACCCTGACTGTTGTGGATTCCTTTACCCATGAGTGATGGCAGATGGCGTGGTCACACCTAGCTTAGACCATTGCAACCCCAGCTTGGGAACTAACCCGGGGGATTTGTATTCCAAAGGGTTGGGCCCACACAACCCCACAGAGCCTACCCCCAGCCCAAGTTCTCTTGTGTGCTGGAGAGTGTCTTGATCCTGCCAAATGTGACCACTCCACAACTCCAACACTCAGTCGGGCAATGGTACCCAACACTGCCAAAGAGGCCCCATCCATAGCTTCGGTGTGGGCTAGTATATGGTGATCAGTGATGTTCTATACAAATATCCCATCTCTGTATTCATAATTGAGCTGTTGCATCTGTCTTACTAAAATTATCTTCTGGACACTTCCCCCAAACCACTAGGTCTTGGTCCCCTTGCCTGCTTATATCTTTCATGACACTGTCACTGAGAATACCCGAAAATTCACTTTGCACCTACACTCAACCTAGTCTTAGTCATGAGTGACCCAGGCAGCAATTACATATCTTGAAAACCCCAGAGTTTGCCGTTCCGGGCGGCCAGCAGGCAAAGTCTGGCACCACTTGGTGCACTGGCTGCCCTGGGGGAGGCCGAGGACTCGTTCACTGCCTTGTGGCAGTGTCTTTGGCGTGAGTCCCCCGCATGGGGTCCGACCCGGCAGGGGCACCCCCCACAGTCGCCACACTGCAGGGAGCGTCAGTTGCCCCCAAGCCCAAGGACCGAACTCCTCCCAAACTCCCCCAGCCGCATGGTCTTAGCAGCTGGGCGGAGCTAGGAATTTCCACCCAGTTCCCAAGTTCCCTCATGGCGGACTTACCCTGAGGGAAGAGCTCTCTTGGGTCCTGGGGGAGGCCGAGGACGCGTTCACTGCCTTGTGGCAGTGTCTTTGGCGTGAGTCCCCCGCATGGGGTCCGACCCGGCAGGGGCACCCCCCACAGTCGCCACACTGCAGGGAGCGTCAGTTGCCCCCAAGCCCAAGGACCGAACTCCTCCCAAACTCCCCCAGCCGCATGGTCTTAGCAGCTGGGCGGAGCTAGGAATTTCCACCCAGTTCCCAAGTTCCCTCATGGCGGACTTACCCTGAGGGAAGAGCTCTCTTGGGTCCTGGGGGAGGCCGAGGACTCGTTCACTGCCTTGTGGCAGTGTCTTTGGCGTGAGTCCCCCGCATGGGGTCCGACCCGGCAGGGGCACCCCCCACAGTCGCCACACTGCAGGGAGCGTCAGTTGCCCCCAAGCCCAAGGACCGAACTCCAGAATTCTAATCGTGAAATTATTTCAGCCTTTGTTTTTGAGAAACATTTAGAACAAATGGCTTGTTGCACTTGTGCTGCCAATATGGTAGCTAATGTTTGTATATGAAGCAATGTTTATATGTTAAAGTGATACTTAGGGAATATTGGGTTAAAATAATATTAAAATCTTTTTGTTTAGATACCACGATATGCCAGATGTTATTGATTTCCTGGTATTGCGTCAGTTTTATGATGAAGCAAGACAGAGGAATTGGCAGTCGTGTAAGTCTGTTCTTGTTGAGTTTTATATTGCCTTAAAATGTAATGTCTGTTGTTTTCCTTGTGTAATTATGGAGTTTACAGATATGGAAACTGGAAAGAAGTGTAAGTGATTCCAAAATAGGTCTGGCTTAGAATGTAGTACTCCGTGATTCGTTTTTATTCTGAGGACTGACTGACTTGAAAGACACAGTGAGAGAGGAAGAGAAACGTCTTCCGCTGGCTGGTTTACTCCCCAAATGCTCGTAGTGGCCAGGGGTGACCAGCCCCACGCCAGGAGCATGGAGCTCCCTTCAGGTCTCCCATGTGGGTGTCAGGGGTCCCCGGTACTTGGCCATCGTCTGCTGCTCTCACCTGCTGCTTTCTGAGGCCTGTTACCTGGGAACTGGATCAGCAGTGGAGAAGCTGGGACTGAAATCACTCCTCTAGTAAATGATTTTGACATCACAAGGAAACCTTCTCTGAAATAAGTTTGGTGTGGGCATTGTGCGCAGCCCATGAAGCTGCTGCGTGTGCCAGCTCTGTGGGAGTGCTGGCTCTGGTGCCTGCTGCTCTGCTTCCCACCCAGCTTCTGCTGATGCGCGCGGGAAGGCACTGGACGAGAGCTCACGCGTGGGTTCCTTCCGCCCACGTGGGTGACCTGATGGACTTGCATGCTGCACTCTGTCCTGGCCCGGGCCTGGCTGTGCAGCCGTTTGGAGCCTGCGTGGGTTGAGTGCTCTCCCTGCCTCTCATTCACCCTCTGTTTCCTCCCTCACCCCTCCCTGTTTCTCTGTTTGCTTTTCAAATAAATGAATTAGTCTAGTCTTTAGAAATAATTTATTTGTAGTTATGCTTTATACCCATGTGATACTGTAGTTGGACAGAAAGAAACAATCTAAATGGTGGCATTGAATTACTGGAATGGTTTTTGTGATTACCAGAATTTCAGGTTGATTCTTTAGACCTGTGTAGATATCAATTTCAGGATGTAATTGATGAATATAAATAACTTAATTAGTACTGGATAGTGACTACAGTACCTGTTTCATGTAAGTTTGAGTTTAATCATGTAACATAACTAATGGTGTGCTTAATTGCTTTTTTTCACAATACTGTGTTCACCTAGGCTGTGTCATCTGATGTATGTTTTCATAAATGGTATTCAGACCTTACTGTAATCTTTCTAGATTCACAATCTTTTTCTATAGGTAATAGAAGTACGTAAATTTTAGCTAAATATTCCATAATTATTTTCTTTTGAAATGAAATGGCTGTTTTTGTAGACTGTTTCTAAACTGTAATGTCTACGTAACTACGTTTTGGGAGTAGAAATAGAGCAAGTTTTTCTTGAAAGATGCCTAGCTGAAAGAGGAAAGCTGTGATACTGGCAGCTCGCTAACTGCAGAGTCCAGTCCCAGAGCACGTTCCAGTTTCCTGGGCATTTGGATTTTTTGACCCTAGAGGGTCTTTACCAATGTTGCCACTGAAGCTTCTTGCTAAACCTGATTCCCTACAACTCATCTCCAGAAATGTGTCCCAGTTGCCCTTTGTAATTTAATTTTAATTTTGTGATCGGCAACAAATTATAGCAGATCTTTCTAATTCAGTGTTACTGCCTTGGGAAACCTTACCTGAAATTCCAGCAGTGTGGTTGGAGAAGGTTGTTTCCATTTTCATTTTCTCAGTGTATTGTTAACGTACTTGAAAAATTTTAGCAAATTATTAGAGCAGAGAGCTAGGAAAAATGTACAAAAGCTACTTTTACCCTTAGAAAATAATTTCTATAGCTTTTTAAAATTTAATGATTGGCTTATTACTGGAGACGTAATTTTTATCTGGCCTAAATTATGTTCTAGCATTAGGTAGAGAAGCAAATGTTATAAAATAGTTCATGCTTTGTATCAAAGATTAACTAATCATGTTTTTATATTATGTTTGTCAACATTAGAACAGTTGATTATTAAAATAATTTATTTTTACATTCAATTATAATTAATGCTTATTAGCTAATTTACATCAGGATTGAACAAAATATTAGGCTTAGATTTAGGACATAGCTAATACAGTTGAAAATATAGTAATTATCTTGTAATACATCTCTAAGGGTTACATTATTTTTCAAACAAGTATTTTCTGTAAGTATATTTTATGCAATTACAATTATTTGATGGATACTCTATGTGTTTTTGTATATTTGTATATTATATATACGTAGCGTGAGTCTTTGAATTAAAATGTAGCTTTTGTTTATTATTTTTGTAAAACTTGAGAAAAATTGTCCATCGATACTGAAGAAATACTAATGCTGAAGAGGTGATTTTTTTCTTTCAGTTGGTTTTGTTTTGAAGTTGTAGAATGAAGAGGAAAGAAGAGGTAGCTACAGCAGCTTGTTTTACTTTTTAATCTATTAAAAAGATTTATTTATTTATTCCTTTGAAAGGTAGAGTTACAGAGAAAGGAAGAAAGTGGTTCACTCCTCACATAGCTGTAAGAACTGGCACTGGGTCCTGCTGCAGCCAGGGGTCTGGATGCCCCTGCAGGGCTCCCCTGGGGGTGCAGGCTCCCCCCAGCCGCCCTTGGCCGCCCTCCCAGGACGTCAGCAGTACTGGGGCAGCTGGGACTCTTAGGGGGTGCCAGTGTTGCAGGCAGCAGCTTAGCCTGCGGCCCAGGCGCTGCCCTGTGCTGCTTCATGCCGTTGCACCGCACAGAGGAGAGATGCACTTTCTGCTCCATGGAAGTGCTCAAGACTGCGGTGGATGAAATCTGTGAAACTACTCCAAGATTCCTGTTGGTTGGTCTAGAATCACTTGTAGTATTTGCTTGTCTGCTTTTGTGCTTTATGCTGAGACAGTGGCATATGTGGGTGTTTATTTAATCCTATCAGATAGAATGTTGACTTTTTATGGGTACATTGAGACAGAGCCTGGTAACTGGAATACTGTTGATGTGGAGTTACGATTATTTACATAGTAACAACTTTAAACATGAAGCTTGTTAGTTACATTTTTGGGAAATGGTATTGAAGTTTTTTGTTTTATGCATTAGGCATATAGATGTATATGTAGTATTTTTAAAACTTGGTTCCTCACATTGTAAATGTGGGATGCTGTGTTTTCGAGTAGGTTTTTGAATGCACTCCACAGTGAAGTCTAGTCAGAATCACTTCGCTCTGTGGCTTGACTTGTCACTGCTGGGAGGCTGCTCGAGTGTGATTCTGTAGCTTTTCTACATCTTGTCATTGAGGTATACAGAATGAAATGAATACATTTTAATTTCTGTTTTCATTTCTTTTATATGGTAGCAAATAGATGCCTCACCCTTTACCTTCACTTCCAGGTGACAGATTCCGCTCTATCATTGACGATGCTTGGTGGTTTGGGACAGTGTTACGTCAAGAGCCGTACCAGCCACAGTATCCTGATAGTCATTTCCAATGCTACGTTGTCAGGTTTGTAGCTGGTAAAACCTCATCATTGGTGGTGCTTGTGTTTCAGGGTAAAGATGTGCACTTTGGGCTGTGGTTCATTCGCATCTGTCTGACCTATGAGATAGCTCGGACACAAACCCCTGGTTTCCTGCTCACTGACCCTAGTTGAGGATGTGTATCTGATTGCCTGGAGTCAGAAATGCATTCAGAGTTTCTTTTTGTTTTTTTAAAGCATATGCAAATAAATATACACATAGACATATGCATGCTTTGGGGATGGGACCCGAATCTAAAGACAAAATTTATTTATATTTCACATAAACCCTACACATTTAACATGAAGCTAACTTGATACCATGTTGAAGTGGGGGAATTTTATACACTATTTTAAGTGAGCTTTGGAAGAACTCGAGCAGCAGGTAGCCCTGCAGCCATGCAGAGTGTTTTTCTGTTGGTTCATCTCCTGCATGCCCAGTGACCGGAGCTGGGCCAGGGCAGTGCCCCAGGGTGTTGTGTTAGCAAGAAGCTGGGGGTTGGCTCCAGGTTTGCTGATGGGTGACCACGAGGCCTCAATGCGTGACCCTCCCTGAGCCCTGCTAAGTGAGATCAGGTCAGGAGTTTGCTGCTGTGTCCTCGTGGCAGGGCTCAGAAGGTATCTGACTGTGGAGTATTTTCAGTCTGTTATGTTCAGTTTCTGCTTGCTTGTTTGAGACTGTTTCTGCAGGCTTCTGTTGTTTTCTTTATTACTGTTGGGGCCATAGTTGAGGAGCAGGCCATAAATCTGTGCTTTGTCATTGGCTGTGGAGCACTGTGAAGCATGATATTCAAGACCTTGGCCCTTTGAGTTAGTTATCCTAACGCATTGTGGTCCACACATGAATTTGGATTTTGAGAACTGAGAGCTTGTGCATTTTGACATTTCCAAAAATACTCAGTACTAATATTTAGAATGTACTTTTTGCGGGGATTTTTTTTTATATTTTAAAATCATTTTTATGATGAAAACCTAGGTAATATCTCTAATTAGTTTTCATGAATTCTAACTAGAATTTTGGTTTTTGTTTTTTGAATAGGTGGGACAATACTGAAATTGAAAAACTTAGCCCATGGGATATGGAGCCAATTCCTGATAATGGTATATGATTTAATGCTGAAAATATTTTTGTTTTCACATATTTGTTTTCAGCTTTGTATCTTTCTAATGCACATGGGACATCTTTGTGTTGCTTATTAGCATGTGTTCATGTTAATACAGTGTATTTCACTGAAGGAAGCCAACAGCATTATCTTTGTTTTCTTACCAACTCCTGCCTCAAATTCTGGTGTGATGCTGGTTAGGTCTGAACAGTCTGCTGTCGTTTTTCACGTACCCTCCCTTGGTAGCAGACGTCCTCTCTGCCATCTGCTTTCTTTCCCTTGCCTGTGTTACCTTTTTTCTGTAAGGTACAGTTTTAGTTTGACTGGAGTGGGTCTGCTCTGATCCACCTCAGCCACCCTACCATGGTTTGTCTATTTCCTATGAGAAGTAGACGCCTGCTTACAGCCAGCCTGGCCTCCTGCCGTGCCCTGTATAGGACCTGTTGTGGATTGCCTGCAGCAACGTTAGTTTCATTTGCTTTCTTTCTCCTTTTATTTGCCTTGATTGAGCATTTGTATCTCCTTAAACTTCCTGAGAGGGCAGCCCATGTCTCCCGGCTCCCTTTTTCCAGTGCCACACTGTATCATCAGTGTATGTAAGGAGTTATTCCAACATCCCACCCTGGACCCTGCACCAATCCCCTGGGAGCCTGCCCTCAATCCATCCCAGTCCCCGCCCCCACACCTTGTGGGCTCACCTGATTGGTTTAAAGGGCCCCCCAGGTGCCTGCCTGCCTCCCTTCCCCCCCTCCTTTTACTGTTGATCTCCCACCACCTCCATCCTGTTCCTGCCCTGCTGGAATAAATCTGCTAAAGTGCCACGGTGCCTCTGCTGTTTTTGGCTCATGGTAAAAAGAACCAGGCTGCAAGAATTGGCTGCGCGTAATAATATAAGAACTTGAAGTGCGTTAAATAACTAACAGTAGGTACTCATCTTGTCTCTAGCTTGAGACACATGAAACGTTTGCTCCATGAGATTCTGCTCTGTCTGTCTGGAGACGGAGCCCTTTTTCCTTCCTATTTATCTTTACATACATACGTTATCTAGATTTGTTTTAGAAATAAGAATTTTAAAAAGTATTTTTAAGAATAACTGTTTTATTTTCCTTCCTTTTGCTGCTGTTTGAAAGGCAGAAACAAGTACATATCTTGTACAGATCTTGTATCCATCAGCACCTGCCTAGGTATCTGCATCCCTGAGGCCCACAGCAGGGAGGGCAGGAGTCTGCCTGCCTGAGCTGCCTGCGGCTTCACCTCTCTGCCAGTGCATTACTGAGCAAGAAGCTCGTGGCTAGGACTTGAACCTAGGTGTGCAGCATGGGATGTGGGGGTCATCCTCCCAGTGATGCATTTTATATCCCTGTAAATAATTCCTGAGCTTTGTCCCACATCACAGTTAAGTTAGTTGGAAACATTTTATGTTAGATGGGATTGGCGCCGTCTCAGTCCAGAGTTTGCCCTGTCCTGAGCAGTGTGTGGTCGGTGCCCTGCCTGGCCGGGGAAGCAGGCGTAGTTCCTGTCCTGACTCAGACCTGTCTTCACCAGTCTGTTCATTAGCTGCTTTCTCTGGCCTCACACTGCTTTTTGAAGCACGTGGACTGCAGGTAGTATCCATCAGAATACTTGAGAGGGACCCCTTATGACACTGTTGACTCTAGCTTACTTGTTCTCGTGGTGCTCAGTTCTTTTTTTTTCCTTTTTAAGATTTTTTTAATTGGAAAGGCAGATTTTACACAGAAAGAGACAGAAAGATCTTCCATCTGTTGGTTCACTCCCCAAGTGGCTGCAACAGCTAGAGCCGAGCTATCCAGAAGCAACAGCCAGGAGCTTCTTCCAGGTTTTCCATACTAGTGCAGGGTCCCAAAGCTTTGGGTCATCCTCTCTGCTTTCCCAGGCCACAGGCAGCGAGCTGGAAGGAAAGTGGAGTAGCTGGGACATGAACCAGTGCTCTTATGGGATCCGTGTGTTTGCAAGGGGAGGATTAGCCAGTTGAACCCTAGCAGCAGGAAGTACTCGGTTCTTTGTCGTCACCTTTGGTCACCAGTCTAGACCCACCCCTGAGTTTCCTTCTTGTGTTGACCTGGCTACTCAAGGCAAGCTGAGCAGTCACGGCATTGACCTCCTTTGTTTTTTTCTGTGGGATTTCTGTCCTTTGCATAATGTTCTCTCTTGAAAGCAATTGTTTCTCTTTGTTTTTTTCCTGAGGGTGAAGGGTGATGAGTGTGTGGGTGGAGGAGGGAGCAATTTCAGCTGCTGGGGCTATAGGCACTTCCTATTCTTTCATCTTGTGTGGAAATAACAGAAAAAGCCCTAATTAATTAGTGAACATTAATGATTTTAAGCAATAGATTATGTTATCTTTCCATATAGCCTCTTTTCTTTTTTGTTTTAGTTTGGTTTGTTTTAATTTTAAATCATTTATTTGAGGAGTGAGAAGGCATGCTGTCATCTGGCGTTTGTCTCCCCAGATGCCCGTAACAGCCCTGTCAGGGCTCGGGCTGAGATTCAGTTGACGTCTGCTGTGTGGTGGCAGCAGTGGAATTACCTGAGGGTCATCGCTGCTGCTGCTTGGGCTCTGTGGGACCAGCAAGGCCCTGAGACTCGGGAGCTGGAGCTGGGCAGCAAAGCCAGGCACTCGAAGTGTCTCAAGCAGATTAACCCACATGCTGGTGACAAGATTACCCTGGCGCGCAGTATGGAAAGTCAGGAATGCTGGTGTAACTGTTAATAAAAAAATGTATTGAAAAGAAAGGTCTTCTGTGAGTGGGTTCACTCCCTAAATGCCTACAGTCATCTGGATTGGCCGGAACTCCATCCACGTTTGTTGTGTGGATGTCAGGGAGCCGACTAACTGGCCGTCACCTGCTGCCTCCCAGCATCCGGCAGCGGGAAGAAGAGCTGGGGCTGGAATGCAGGCCTTGCCCTGAATCAAATACTTACCCCCCAAATAGTGTCAGGATGCTAGAATGTCTTCTTCTCTTATGTTCATGCAGAAAATAAATTTGGGAAAATATTTTCCTTTGCAAAAACCTAAGTTATAAGCGAATAGTTACCATGTACCGTTTACATTAACAAAATATTCCCAGAAGCAAGACTGCATCAGAATCACTGTGCGTCAGAATCTCAAGTTACGGTGCGTTTACAGTGTAATTAAACATCTGACTGAGTCTCAGCGGGGAGGTGCATGAGGAGAGCCCGCAGGCATCCCCTCTGTCAGTGTGTGACATGGCCGCGACTCTTCTCGGTGCTCCAGCTCTCCCAGCTAACTCAGAGTCAAAAAACAAATACTATGAACTTACTTTCTTTTCCCTCTGGTTTGCAGTGTTGGGGCTTGATAACTGGCCTTGGTGTCTGACCACAGCTGGCTCTGGGAAGCAGCAGCGATGGCTCAGGGGGCTGGGTTGTGTCCCTGGGCCTGTTACCACGCCACACTTAATCCTGGCTGTTGTGGACACGTGAGGAGTGAGCCAGAAGACAGGAGCAGGTGTCTCTCTCACTTCCTCAGAGCCATAAGGAAACAGCACACACACATCTTAAGAAGAAAGCTCTTTACTCTTGTCTGCATTTTTGAGTTTAAGAAAATTATCTGGGGCCTGGCGGCGTGGCCTAGCGGCTAAAGTCCTCGCCTTGAACGCCTTGGGATCCCATATGGGCGCCGGTTCTAATCCTGGCAGCTCCAGCTCCCTGCTTGTGGCCTGGGAAGACAGTCAAGGACAGTCCAAAGCTTTGGGACCCTGCACCCACATGGGAGACCTGGAAGAAGTTCCTGGCTCCTGGCTTCGGATCAGCATAGCATCGGCCGTTGCGCTTACTTGGGGAGTGAACCATCAGATGCAAGATCTTCCTCTCTGTCTCTCCTCTTCTCTGTATATCTGACTTTGTAATAAATAAATCTTTAAAAGAAAAAAAAGAAAATTAGCTGTTTGACATGTTGGGCTTATTTTACACATTTTGTTTTAATAGAAATTCTGATCATAATGTAAATTTTAAAACTAATATTGTCAAATTGCATTTTCAAGTAGTCCTATATGAAGTAGAGTAAGACCGGTGACACCAGTTTGTTAGAGTAGGTTGATTATCGTTGTACCCAAAGCTAAGCAGTCAGGAGTTACAAGTTTGAACTATTGTAATTTTGATTGTGGAGATAGCTTAGCTATTTGAACTTTGAAAATTGAATTTTAATGCAGCATATGTCTTTTGGGTTGATTTTCTTTTTCTTACATTCCCCCTGCCCCCTTTTCTGTTCTCTTTAACTGGGATTCATAGTCGATCCACCCGAAGAGTTAGGAGCCAGTATTTCTGTCACCTCAGAGGAACTGGAGAAATTGCTTTATAAACCACAGGATGGTGAATGGGGACAGAAATCAAGGGATGAAGAATGCGACCGAATTATCCGTGGTATAGATCAACTTTTGAATCTTGGTAAGTGTTTTTCGGGTGAAAGGTTTCATTTGTAGATTTTTAGGAATATATCTTAAAACAGCACAGCTGAAACTGTGTTCTTTAGTTCCTATTTGTTGAATTTTGATTCTGTAATTTTCTGAATTTTGATTCTGTTTGGTCTGTAATATTCAATGTTTTTTCTAGAGATGTTGATAGAACCTTTTCTGTGTTCCCTCACAGACATAGCAGCAGCTTTTGCAGGTCCTGTGGATCTGTGCACATACCCGAAGTACTGCACTGTGGTAGCTTATCCCACTGATTTGTACACAATCCGCATGAGGCTGGCCAATCGCTTTTACAGGTTAGTGGAAATTTGCTTTCAAAAGCATTTGAAAGAGCTTTTGGGCCTTACCACGTCAGATTAGCAAAAAGGTGGTGGGAGCTGAGGGAGATGGTGACGGGTTAGGGAGTGATGGGCTTTTTCTGTTTCATACCCTGTTCCTGAACTATTACTGTGTTAGGAACAAGGTTGACAAGCGTAAGGTTACATGCTGTACTCAGTCCTTAGTCTTAAGTACGCCGACTCTTAAAAACTTGCTTAAAAGATTTATTTGAAAGAGATAAGAGAGTGAGGGAAGGTGGATGGAGAGGGAGACATCTTGCTTATGCTGGTTCACTCCCCAAATGGCCCCAATGGCCAGGGCGGGGCCAGAGAAAACCGAGGATCTTCTGGGTCTTCCAAGTAGGTAGTAGGGTCCCGCCTCCTTGGACCATCTTCCTGCTTTTTCAGGCACATTAACAGAAAGCTGAGTGGAAAGTGGAGCAGCTGGGACTCAAACGATTGCTCCTATGGGTTGCCAGTGTCACCTGCAGCAACTTGACCCACTATACCACAATGTTCCTGATTTATAAAACTTGGTGCTAAATTTGTATTTATTTGTTCAGTTGAAAATTAAAGGTAGTTAGTTAATTGGGGTTTGGGATAAGGTTGATTTTCCAGAGGCATTAGTATCTCCTGCTTCTAGAATGCTGGCAGTATAAAAGTTCCTATTCTTAATGATGTTTGTAATTGATAACACTTTTTATAATTCAACTACTTTAAGAAATTACTGTTACAGCAGTCTCTTTCTTTTTGAAGATCTCTTTGTTTGGCAGGCAGGGCAACAGAGGGAGAGGTGAGACAGACAGGAGGTAGAGATCTTCCGTCAGTTGGGTCACAGATGGGTGCAGCAGTTTGATCGGGTCAGGCTCAGGTGAGGAGCCGGAAGCTCCGTCCTGATCCCTTAGGGGCTTGATGGCATGAACCGTCCTCCGGGGCCCCTTCCTAGGAACTGTAAGGAAGGTGGACCAGAAGCAGGACAACTGGGAGGCTTCGTGCTCTGGCAGCTTACCCGGCTGTGCCACGGGTGCCAGCCCAAGAGAGACTTGTTGAGTTCACATCATGTTAGCTTTGAGTTCACATCATCTTAGCTATGTGAGCCAAGAAAACACTTTTCTAGTTGAAAGTGAGATTGTCTTAGGGCTTGTGATATTTAACACATTTTCATTACTGAACGTAAGTATGAGAAGAGGATTACTGTGTTGATTTTCTGCATGTGGTTGAATGAATGACCTGTTATGCTTATGTTCCTGAAATTATTTCCTGCGGTTCCATGTCCAGTGTGATTTCTAATGTTTGTAATCAAACCACTGGTGTTGGATTATTAATTATAACTTTGCACTTAGGATTTTTTTTTTTAACTAATGTGCTAGTATTGTAGACTTGACTTCTGTCTCCAGTTTCTAAACCCTAATTTGCCTACTTTACTTTGAAGGAGACTATCGGCATTAATTTGGGAAGTCAGATACATAGAACATAATGCCAGAACCTTTAATGAACCTGAGAGTGTAATTGCAAGGTCAGCCAAAAAGATTACTGATCAACTTTTAAAATTTATCAAGTAAGTAATCTCATAGATGTTGCATAAGGTGACTGCATGTGTCGATTTTAATTTTTACTCTTTCACTTTAGTTTGTTCAGTGTTTTACATTAAATGACATTTCTTTATATGTTTATTATAATTTTAATAAAGGAGTGAAAATGATCAATTCATTTTTTTCTTGCTTTTCAAAATTTTTAAATTTTTAAATTTTATACTGCAGAGTCTTGTCATATACGCTTCATACAATGTTCCAGGTTATGAGCGTTTACTTATTAAAAAAAGTCAGTGTACAAAGATGTTAAATATTGCTACTGTTGACAATGATGTCTGTTATATTTCAGAACCTACTCTGTATTCTTCATTGCATTTGTTTTGTTTTCTTTGAAGTTCTTTCAGTGTTTCTCAGTCTTCCCCTTTGTTTTGTGACCTCATTCAGCATTTAGTGATGTATTGGAGAAGCAGGAGAGACAGACTGTGCAATCTGGCGATTGTGTCCCTGGCTGCCTGTGTTGGCTGGGGCCAGGCCGGGCTGAAAACTGGGAACTGGGCTCACAAACTTCATCATCTTCATGAATACCACTTTGATACTTGTAGAGTGTGCCTCGTGTTGGTTGATCTGATCACTTCCTCATGAGTCAGTTGAATTTTCTTGCATTTACATATGAAAATATTGTCATTGTGAAGTTTCATACATTTTCTTATAGTGAAACATCAATTTGGAATAGAATAGAAAGTGATCTTCAAAATAAAACCCAAGTGTTAACCTAATTGTTCTAGTAAACATTTTTTTCAAACTAAACATTCTTTCAAAAGTTGGGTAGGTGACTTTAAGTTCACTGGCCTATAAAATCAATGAGTTTAAATACCCCTCTCCTACAACTGTAAACGTTCTTTACAGTTCTTTACCTGAAAGCAGGTTCCATTGGAGACATTTACAAACCAGGACCATCATTTCAGTGTCTGTCCACACATTGAAGAAGTTCTTAGAACTAGTTACTCTTACCTTTCCTGGGCTATTCCCAAGGACCACATTCTCTTATTTACTCCAGAATCACCTTTTCTACTTCAGAAAATCTCAAGTTGGCGTCTGTGTCGAAGCGTGCAGTGGATTTAGCCACTGTCTGCTGCTAGGTCAGCAATGTAAAAGTTCCTATTGATGAATTTGTGTAACTAGTCATTATTCTGTGTAATTCAACTACTCTGAGAAATTACTATTTCAGCAGTCTTTTTTTTTAAATAGGTATGCATTTTAAGTCCTTTGCAATAGTAACTGTGTTCATACCAGTAATGTGGATGCTTGTTGTTCCAGGAATCAAGATTGTACAAATATTGCAGAACTTTCTAACGTGTCTGAAAGTGATGATCAAAATGCTGAGGATTTGGTATGGAGTTCTGTTCATTTTCTAATTTTGTTAATTTCAAATGATAATTTCAAAATAATGAGTGATTTAGAAAATAGGTAGAAATTCTTTTTTTTTTAAGATTTATTTTTACTATTTATTTATTGGAAAGGCGGATATACAGAGAGGAGAGACAGAGAGGAAGATCTTCCGTCCGATGATTCACTCCCCAAGTGAGCGCAACGGCTGATGCTATGCCGATCCGAAGCCAGGAGCCTCTTCGGGTCTCCCACGCGGGTGCAGGTTCCCAAAGCTTTGGGCCGTCCTCGACTGCTTTCCCAGGCCACAGGCAGGGAGCTGGAAGGGAAGTGGGGCTGCTGGGATCCTGGTGCGTTCAAGGCAAGGACCTTAACCACTTGCACCACCGAGCCAGGCCCGGTAGAAATTCTTAATGCCAGTTTTTTTGCACTGTTCCAATGAACTGTATGCCAGGTAGGAGGTAATTTGTATTAGGCAATATTGACCATCACTTAAACTCTGAAAAATACTTGAGGTATTTTTCAAGTTTCCCTGTCCAAGTTTCCCTTTCCAAATTGCACCAGGTGCAAAACATCATATAAAATTTCTTAGAATTATTTTTGGTAAAACCTGCATTTGTGTAAGTTGAATTTAATCATCACCAGAAGTTAAGGAAGTTGAACTTGTAAAAATGTGGTGGTACTGAAGTGTTAGTACATCAGCAAACAACAGTGGTGGTTAATTTTATGTTATAAAGAGTTAGCCTGTGGTATGGAGTAGCAGGATTTTTTTTTTAAATAGTGCGTAATCAGTCTATATAAGTTCTTGTTACATGATGCAGTAAAAGAAAATAAAACTTTTCTGTTGACTGAGATCATGAATACTTGTAAGTGACACGGGGAATAAGAAAACCTGTAGAACAGAAAAACCAGGAGCTATAGGAGTTTCGGTGTTTCTGGTGTTTTATGATTAAAAATAAAATATAGATTAAAATTGCTTTTGCTTGTTGTATTGGGAAATGCACAAAAGAACCTTCTGTAGCAGTAAATATGAATTTAGTATTAGTGTGTATTGTTAATGGATGTAAAAAGGCTTATTAACAATTACAGTGTCGAGCCTGGCACGATAGCATCGTGGTTAAGGGCCTCGCCTTGCACATGCCAGGATCCCATATGATCGCACGTTTTAATCCCGGCAGCCCTGCTTCCCATCTAGCTCCCTGCTTGTGGCCTGGGGAAGCAGTTGAAGATGTTGCCTAAAGCCTTGGAACCCTGCACCCGTGTGGGAGACCTGGAGGAGGTCCTGGCTCCTGGCTTCGGATTGGCTCAGCTTCAGCTGTTGTGGTCACTTGGGGAGTGAACCATGGGATGGAAGATCTTCCTCTCTGTCTCTGTATACCCGCCTTTGCAATTAAAAAAAAATTACAGTGTCTTTTACACCTGGATACCATAAAGATAATCTGATAGTCTATCTTGAGATTTTTTTTTTAATGACAAGTTACCCCTTTGATAATACCAGTTGTCTTTCATGCACTTTGTATTTATTAGGTATTTTATTTATGTTGAGAATGTGCACATTTAAGGTGTTTTGATTTTATTCCTAGGATGACAGTGATCTTCCTAAAACATCTTCTGGAAGGAGGGGAGTAAGTCACCGCTTGAATTGCTTCTGTGCTGTGATTGCTCTTTGTTTGGAGATGAAGATTCGATTTTGTTGTAGAAGTTATTAGTTATGTGAATACTGAATATTTTATGAGAAGTGTCATCGAAAGAGGAGATACAAGAAAGATTTAGTGAAAACTTAAAGTTTGAACAGTATTTTATGAGATGAAGCCAAATTGGGGGTTAAAGATTTATTTGCAAAACAGAGAATGTTCCATCTGATAGTTCACAGCCAAATGGCCAGAGCTGGGTCAAACTGAAACTAGGACCTGGGGGTTTGCTTGGATCTTCCACTTGGTGCAGGAAGCCAAGTGGCTGGGCTATCTGCTGCTGCTTCCCAGGAATCTTATTCTGGAGCTGGACGGGAAGTGGAACAGCCAGGACATGACCAGTACCCATTTGGGATACCAGTCCTGCAGGTGGTGACTTAGCTTCCCGTGCCACAGGGTTAGTCCCAAAATGATTTTAGGAAGTAGTGGCTTATAGTGCATAGAGAAAAGTGTTTTTCCTGCAAGATGTATTTCTTTTGTTATTGGAAAAGCAGGTTTTCAGAGAGACAGCTTTCAACCTCAGGGGTTGGAACTGAACTGGTCTAAATTCGGGATCCAGGAGCTTATTTTAGAACTCCTCTGTGACTGGTCCCAAAGACTTGGGCCAGTCTGCTGCTTTCCCGGGCCATGAGCAGGGAGCAGGATGGAAGTGGAGCAGCTGGGACTCAAATTGGCACCCGTATGAGGTGCTGACACCATAGGCAGAGGTCCTGGTATTCTAAGCCACCACACTGGCCCTTGACAGCACATAGTTTACCGTGTCTGTTGAACTGTGGCCTACTGCGTGTTAGTGGAGGGCACTGACCCAGCTTGTTTTGAAAGTGAATGCTGCCGTTATACTGGAAGCCTCCAGACTGAGAGATGTTTTTGCATTTATTACAAAGAATGTAATTTGAAGATTGGGAACCTAGTTAAGAGTTGTGTTTGCTTAAAATTGAAAAAGAAAGGAAGGAAACCTTGTGTGAGGACACATAAGTAGGATTTTGGGCTGAATCTAGTTGAAAAATGAAGGTTTGTCGAGAAAATAAGGTAGAGGTGTGAAAAGGAACACAACTTCTAAATTAAATATAAAAATAAATTTTGTAGGGCCCAACACAGTAACCTAGTGGCTAAAGTCCTTGCCTTGTATGCATCAGGATCCCATATGGGCGCCACTTCATGTCCTGGCTGTTCCACTTCCCATCCAGCTCCCTGCTTGTGACCTGGGAAAGCAATTGAGGACGGCCCAAAGCTTTGGGACCCTGCACCCATGTGGGAGACCCAGAAGAGGCTCCTGGCTTCAGATCAGCTCAGCTCTGGACATTGTGGCCATTTGGGGAGTGAACCAGCAGATGATGGAAGATCTTTCTCTGTCTCTCCTTATCTGTAAATCTGATTTTTCAATAAAAATTAAAATCTTAGATAAATACATTTGTAAATGAATTCCAAGTGCTAATGTCTGTATGCTCGCTTTGTCTGATATACAAAGTAGGACAAGTTATTGTTTGAACAACTAAAATGTATTATTCCTCAGTTGTGTAGATTTGATTGTTGTCTAGTTGCCATGGAGGGAAACTCGGAGTTCTCTGCAGGCGTGTGGCTGCCTCGGTCCTTGTGTGCAGACCCTCCTGTGTCCTCCAGCTGCTCTCGCTGCAGTCCTTCAAGTGAACCTTGGGATTACATGCAGCCATGCTCTTAATCGAGTTATTCCACCAACTCTCACGTTGTATGAATCCTGAGTTAAATCTGCAAATATCTCTTTACCTGTAAAAGAGCACAGTCTTAGGTTCTGATCATTATGGTGTAGATGTACTTGATGGAGCCATTAATCTCTTTGTTATCATTAAATATGATCCTTGAGATTCTGAAGTAAACGCTACACAGTTGGGTGAAAGTTGGTAGATAACATGCCTTGTAGAGTGATTTTCATATCTTGGAATCTTTGTAGTCTTGCAGTTTTTCTGAGATTGGCAGATTGTTTCAGAATGTTTTATTAATTTGACATAAAATTTTATTCTGAGAAGATGTTTTGAGCAAATTCTATGACATTGTGTTTTAACAAAAATACAGAAAAAAATGCTTATCAAGCTACAAAGGCAATCTAAATAGCTGAAACAAAACACAGCACAGAAGACAACAGGAACCGCTGCCTTGCCTTTTTGCCAATTTGCCTTATGGTGTGAATTTCCGAAGACTAAAAGCATTTTCATTATTCTGGATGTGTCTTTAGGTGCACTACTGGAGAAGAAGGAGGAGCAAAGCTGCAAGCCGTGCTGAGAGCAGGTGGAAGAGACAGTGTAAGGAACTAGTGAACTTGATTTTTCAGTGTGAAGACTCTGAGCCGTTTAGACAGCCTGTGGATTTGGTTGAATATCCAGTAAGTTCCCATTGCTCGGGGCTTTTCATGTTGTGTGCAGAGAAGCTTGGGTAGAGTGATTTCAAATCTTTAAAATGAAGATGTGTAGATTTTCTGTTAATTTTATCTCTTACTGTGGAAGTACTGTGTCGCATAGTTTTCTTTGATGACAGACGTTCTTGCAGTAGATCTGAGAAGTTAGACTTGGTTTAACCAGTGTGAAATAGAAATGGGAGCTTTGATGTCATCCTCTTTGTGATGTGGCACCAGGGTTAAAGTGTCTGTTTTAGCCCCTGCCATAGAGGAGCTGGAAGAGGACCCAGGGAATACCTGACTTCAGCAGCTCAGGCTGAATGGAGATGTGGCACTGTCTGACCACATAGGGCGTGCCGTGTCCCACTCCCAAGAAATAGACCTCAATATTTGGTGTATTTCTTTCTTTGTAGTGTTTGAATTAGTTTCAGACATTAAGCATTATTAATGAATCTTAGAATATGTATGCTTTTTCTGCTTCCTCTAGAGTGGCTGCATTTACATTGCTGAGAGCGGGAAGGAAATCTGTGAACTAATTAGTATTTTTAATACCTAGGACTACCGAGATATTATAGATACTCCAATGGATTTTGGAACAGTAAGGGAAACTCTAGAAGCTGGCAATTATGACAGCCCTATGGAATTTTGCAAAGACATCCGATTGATATTTAGCAATGCAAAAGCGTATACACCAAACAAAAGATCAAAGGTAAGTTTTATGTGGTTTATTAAAAAAAAAAGTATGTTTGATCTATGTGGATTGCTTTCTTGCTGGTGGAAGTTAAACCATTAATGATAATAAAGCAATACTGCCAGGAGCCTCTTCTGGGTCTCCCACACAGGTGCAGGGTCTCAAGGCCTTGGGCCATCCTCCTCTGCTTTTCCAGGCCACACACACAGGGAGTGGCCAGGACATAAGCCGGCACACATGTGCCATGCTGGTGCCTGCAGGTGGAAGATTGGCCAATTCAGATGTACTACTGGCCCCTTAAATTGCTTTTTGAATTTCCTTTTATGTTTGTTCATTGTTAGGATATAGAAATATGAGTGGTTTATTTTTTTTTGAAACTATTTTTATTATATTTTTATCAATCCTTACATAGTTAATTGTTTTTTTTTTTTTTAATGTGTTCGTTTTTATTGGAAAGTCAGACTTTTTTTTATAGAGTGAGGGAGAACAGAGAAAGATCCTCGTCTGGTGGTTCACTCCCCAAGTGGCCACAACAGCTGGAGTTCACACAATCTGAAGCTGTTAGCCAAGAGCCTCAAGCCTCCTCTGGGTCTCCTGCAGGTGCAGGGTCCCAAGGCTTTGGACCGTCCTCTGCTGCTTTCCCAGGGCACAAGCAGGGAGCTGGGTGGGAAGTGGAGCAGTGGGGACTCAAACCATCTGGGATCCCGGTGGCCACAAAGCAAGGACTTTAGCCACTAGGCCACCGTGCCAGATTCACAAGTGACATTTTTCTGTTGATCCTTTGCCCTGTGTTTTTGCTGAATTAACTTATAAAGCTCTAATTAAATTTTTTGTGTTTTCTTTGGACATTTCTCAGATCATGTCAGCTGTGACTAGAAGTAGCTCTCATAAAGTTAGCTTTATAACGTTGTATTCACTTATTAATCATATAATGTAATAAATGTATGAATTTCGTCTCTGCTTTTTCAACTACCGTTGTGGTAGCAGCTGTGCACAGACTGATGCTGCTCACCCTAGTTGACCAGGAAGGGCAACACAAGATAGCACCATGTTGCTCAGTGTATCATGCAGCTTAAAACTGAACTGTGTATTCCTAAAAATTTCAGGTGATGGTTTAAGGCTGTGGGTAACTGAAATGTATATAAAATGGGGTGCTATTGTACAGTGTTGGATGGGATATGTAAAAACAAGCATTTAAAATTTTTTATTGTCTTGGGACTGTGGCTGTCAGTTTCAGGAAATGCTGTCTTGTGAAGGAATTGGTTTTCAGTTTTAGCAACAATTTCTGTTAAATACGATGTATAATGTATTGTTACTTTTTACATGAAACCTAATATAAAAACAGTGATAGGAAGATGAGAGGTTTCAAAGTGATAATTTACTTTTTCATTTTTATTTTATTATTTTTTTAAAGATTTATTTATTTATTGGAAAGTCAGATATACAGAGAGGAGGAGAGACAGAGAGGAAGATCTTCCGTCTGATGATTCACTCCTCAAGTGAGCACAACGGCCAATGCTGTTTCTGGATCCGAAGCCAGGATCCAGAAACTTCTTCCGGATATCCCACACGGGTGCAGGGTCCCAAGGCTTTGGGCCGTCCTCGACTGCTTTCCCAGGCCTCAAGCAGTGAGCTGGATGGGAAGTGGAGCTTCTGGGATTAGAACTGGCGCCCATATGGGATGCCGGCACGTTCAAGGCGAGGACTTTAGGTGCTAGGCCACGCTGCTGGACCCGATAATTTCCTTTTTAAAAAAGATTTATTTATTTTTATTGGAAAGGCAGATATACAGACAGGAGAACAGACAGAGAGAAAGATCTGTCTGCTGATTCACGCTCCATGTGACCACAATGGCTGAATCTGCGCCGATTTATTTATTTTTATTGGAAAGGCAGATATACAGACAGGAGAACAGACAGAGAGAAAGATCTGTCTGCTGATTCACGCTCCATGTGACCACAATGGCTGAATCTGCGCCAATCCGAAGCCAGGAGCATGGAGCTGCTTCTGAGTCTCCCACATGGGTGCAGGGTCCCAAGGCTTTGGGCCATTCTTCCCAGGCCACAAGAAGAGAGATGGATCGGAAGCAAGGTGGCTGGGATTAGAACTGGTGCCAATATGGGATCCCAGAGCATGCAAGGTGAGGACTTTAACCGCCAGGCCACCATGTCGGGCTTGATAATTTACTTTTTAAAAGTTATGGCCTAAGCTCATTTAGGTTTGAAAAAAACTTAGTAAGATAATGGAGGGCCCTGGCATGATGGCTCAGTGGCTAAATCTTCACAGTTCACAAGCCAGGATCCCATATGGGTGCTGGTTTGTGTCTCAGCTGCTCCATTTCCATCCAGCTCCCTGCTTGTGGCCTGGGAAAGCAGTAGAGGAAGGCCCAAAGTCTTGGGACCCTGCACCCGTGTGGGAGACTCAGAGGAGGCTCCTGGCTGCAGACTGGCTCAGCTCCGGCCATTCACGGCCACTTGGGAAGCAAACTAGCAGATGGAAGATCTTTCCCTCTGTCTGTCCTTCTTCCATAAATCTGATCTGCCTTTCCAGTGAAGTCTTTTACACACACACAGATGATATGTTATATATATTATGTACAGAGGAAGCTAATTCAGAATCATTTGTGTGTGCATGCACATGAGGGCATCTCAAAATGTTTGTGAAAAAATAAAATTTAAAGATATCTATACAGTTTTGAAATGGCATGTAGGAAATTTTTCCAAAAAATGTTTTGCACCAAAATTTAAATATCTTTTCATTTCAGTTCTGTTCTCCAGGGTTGAATGTCTGCCCCTTGTAGTGCCGTAAGACTGATACTCAACCTTTAAGCATTACATTTTTGTACTTAGCATGGAGGAGTATAGGGACCCAGGAGCACTTGTATCACAGTCTGTTTTTAATGTTTGTTTGTTTGAAAGCCAGAGTTAGACAGTGGAGCCAGAGAAGTTCATTCTGTTGCTTCACTCCCTGGGTGGGTGCCGCAGGTCGGGCTAGGCTTGCTGGAGCCAGAAGCTCTGTCTGGGCTTCTCATGGGGGGCGGGGCCCAGCGTTTCAGCCGTACGGGTCTAGGACCGTTTTTTCTACTGTTTGTAAGACTGTAATTTGCATTTAGAGCAAGGTGTCAGCAAGAGCAGTTGTACTCCAAGTTCAAGCTGGTGTGAAAGTGCTGCTTTTGTTCCTTTGCTCCCAGGCGACACTGCTCTCCTCGTGCCTGAAGTGCAGCTTTAGAACAGCTTCTCATCTGACTGTTAAGGGTGCATGTTATGGTTGTACATTGGGGGGTAAAAACAGAAAACACCAGTTGAGATCCATTCACGTATAGATAACACATCCTGATTTTAGGCCCTAATTTAGAAGTGTTCTTTCATAAGAGTATCTAAGAAGTCAATGTTTGAGACTTCCTGTTTCTTGCAGGTGTCTCTGAAGGGGGAAGAGTGGAAATAAATAAAACCAGAACAGTGTGTAAGCAGTGATAGAATAATTGTGCAGATTCACTGATGATGATTGTTTTCTACAATTACTTTTAAAGATATTTTAGAATATTTTGCTTTCATTTCTTTGCAGATTTACAGTATGACCTTGAGATTGTCTGCCTTATTTGAAGAAAAAATGAAGAAAATCTCTTCTGACTTTAAAATTGGTCAAAAATTTAGTGAAAAACTTAGAAGAAGCAAGAGATTCCAGCGACAGCAGAAGCGGAGTAGTGCTGCTCAGGCTAACAGCATTGTCAGGTGAATTGGTCATTCCCAACTTGATGTTTTTTTGTGATATTTCTTTTTCTGTGTAAAAAATTCTTAATTTTGATTTTATTATATCTATTTGTTTTATGGGTGCTTTAAAGTATTGTGAATATCAGATTGTGCAGTATTTACATGTGTAGATGTGTGTATACATGTCTAAAGATCCTGTGTATTAGAAAGAGTTAGGGGGCCCAGCGCGGTGGCGCAAGTGGTTAAGGTCCTCGCCTTGCACACCCGGGATCCCATATGGGCGCCGGTTCTAATCCCGGCAGCCCCGCTTCCCTTCCAGCTCCCTGCCTGTGGCCTGGGAAAGCAGTCGAGGACGGCCCAAAGCTTTGGGACCCTGCACCCGCGTGGGAGACTCGGAAGAGGCTCCTGGCTTCAGATCGGCATAGTATCAGTCCGTTGCGCTCACTTGGGGAGTGAATCATCGGACGGAAGATCTTCCTCTCTGTCTCTCCTCTCTGTATATCCGCCTTTCCAATGAAAAAAATAATAATAAAAATAAATCTTTAAAAAAAAAAAAAGAAAGAGTTAGAAAGAAGGAGTCTTTTCTGAGCTGATAAACTGCAAATGAGACTGGGACAAGCTGAGGCCAGGAGCTTCATCCGGGTCTCCCCAGGCTTCCCTGGGTGCAGGGGCCTGCTGTCCTTCACACATTGAAAGGGGAGCATCTGGGACTTGAACCATTGCCTATGTGGGATGCCAGTGCTGTGGACAGCTGCTTAAAATGCTGCATCCCAACCCTGACCTCTCCGTGTGTGTGTTAAAAACTTATGAACTTGAAATACAGAGTTAGAAACAGGGAGGCAGATAAAGATCTGTGTGTGGCTTCAGTGCCCAGACGGCCCCAGGAGCTTCTTGGTTGGTGGTGCCCAGTTGGGCACGGTGGTCTGATAGAAATGTGGGTGTGAATTTCCGTCTGGTATCGTTTATTTTTCCTACAGCCTAAAGGACTTTTAGAATTTCTTGTAAGGCTCAGATGCTGGAAATGTCTTCTCAGTCTGTATGTTCTTAGCAGTATCTTAATTTACCTTTTTTATTGAAGAATTAATTTTGACACATTTAGAACTCTTAATTGATAGTTTCCTTCTACCCTTGGAATACTTGATTCCTTTTCCTGCTGCCTTCTGTTCGGGTGCTGTGGTTTGCCTCTTCCTACTTACAGGTGTCACTCCCAGCTTTGTCCTTGTTTGTGTCAACTCTTGTAGAGTCATGATCTCATAGCTTTTTTTTTAATGATGTGATTTACTTAATTTATTTCAGTGTCTTTACTTGATAGTTTAACAAGTATTGACATTTAAATTAAGTACTAACTCAAGTCCTGAGTTTCCACTGGAAGCATTTCCCTTCTGTGGACAGGATAACTCTCCAGGTTATATATTTCATCATTTTGTTAAAAGCAGTTTGTATTAAATAGTACAATAGATAGTTCAGCGAAAAGCTCTCCCTTGTTGCTTGTTAATATTGTAGCAACTCTGGATTCCAATCCGAAAAAGATCACAGTGTGGTTTCTAGTACTTTGTTTTTTCTTTTTTTTTTTTTTTTTAATTAATTACGTTGCATTATGTGACAGTTTCATAGGCTCTGGGATCCCCTCAACCCCTCCCCTACCCTCCCCCTATGGTGGATTCCTCCGCCTTGTTGTAGTATTACAGTTCAGAGTCAGTCAGGATTCTTTCATTGCAAGCATATACCAGGCATAGAGTCCAGCAGCTTATTGTCAGATAAATTCAATGGTTTCTCAGGGAGGCCATCTCTGGTCTGAAGGCAGAGCCGGCAGAATATCATCCCAATCAATTTAAAGCCACAACATAACATCAACAACAATTTACAACATTATGGAATTATTTGACATGGTATTGAGTGACCAATATGTTAAAAAATGCAAGTTCTTAACCACATCCTGTGACTGTCAATTTTAGTTTATAAACAGATCCGGCTGCTATCCACCTTAAAATGGCTACAGGATACTACTCAGTTGTCTTGTGTCTATTTTCATTTTAGTATTTATCAGTTTATAGTGTTGAAGCATAATTTTGCTGAACTTGTCAGATTTTAGGGTGGTCTAAACTGGCTTATAACTCTAACAAGGCATATGTCAACAGTTGAGGTGCAGACCAGTTTTAGGAGGGGTGTGCAGAGAAATCTTCAATATCTCAGTGAGGAGTAACTAATCTTTGTGTCCCACCTAGTAAGGTATGTGTGAGTCCACGTTGACCATTTCCTGTCTGGTTCTAAGCTTTCCTTGTTGTTCTTTGTTGATCTATTCTAATTAGTTGTTGTTTTTTTGGGGGGTAGACCTCCGGAGTAGCCCTGATGGTCATTGCAAGAGAGGGTGGGGATCCAAAGTTGGAACGAAGTAAGGACCAGGGAAAGCTCCTCTCCCTAGTCCCGAAGGCAGTTTACTGTTCTTCTGTTTCTGAGGACCGCTCAGGGCGCCTGGCTGTTGTTCCGATGACTTTGGATCTTGCGAGGAAGGATTTGGGTTTCTTCATCCCATGTGGTAGATCCAAATGGGGGTGGATGACCTCAGAGTTCTCGGCCTCCAAAGGCACTCCTATTCCCCGTGGTCTCCTTGGTAGTTGGGATGTAGTCCTTGGTGCCCGTACTGATAGTCCTTGGTGAGGATCCGGTAGTCTCCAGGGTTGGGATACGAGCCTCCTCCTGCCCCCCTGTTCCACTCTGGGGTCACCCCCGCTCTGTGCATATGACCTCCTGTTAAGAGGCTGTCAGGATCGCTCTTGATTCCCCTTGTATGTCTTTGTAGTTTTACTATTGTCTAATGCTGATTTGAGTCTGTTGTCTATGAGTTACCTGTTATGTTCCTGATAGGTTATACTTCACGTCTTCCTCACACATTCTAAGGAGATGGAAGCTTACTCTGCTGGCCAGCCCCATTTCCCAGTAGCATAGGGTCTTACAGTATATTTGGTTTTACGGTTCTTTGATGTAGATCATGGTTTTTAGTATTCTCTTGGAATACTGTTCTGCATGGAGTGTGCCTTTGCATTCTGCAACCACTGAAGTAATTTCTTCTCAATTTTCTTTATGTAAGACTTTGTGCTTTTGTTTTTGGGTATGGTCTTAGAGTTGTCTTCTTGAACTGTCAGCGTAGGGAGATTAGTGCTCACAAGCCAGCGCAGGTCTGCTCTTCCAGGAGTCCGCGTTGGATGGGAGGACTTCACAGTTCAGCCAAGTGTCCTGACTGTCATACGCTTGTGTTTTATCACGTTCAGTCATTTCAAGGTCAGCTAGTGAGGGGCAGGTAACGGAGCTTCTTGAATGTGTTCATGTTTGTTTATCCCAAATAATATGGAACTTTGGAAGGACTTCTCTGGATTTTTCTTCCTGTATGTTCCTTTGAAATTTTGGCTGAACTCTTCCTTGCTTTGTTATTAGCACTTTTGAATTGCTGGTAGTCCTCAATGTTTCACTTTGTCAGAACTTGCAGCTCTTCTGCAGAACTCCAAATACCTTGCAGCTGCGTGCCGTGTGTGTGTGTGTGTGTGTGTCAGACACACAGGCAGATAGCAAGGCAAAGAAGCAGGCCTAGACCAATGTATGTGTTTGTTGCTCCTCCTGCTTCTGTGCTTTTCCATTCTTCCATTCCATTCTCTCTCTCTCTCTCTCTCTCTCTCTCTCTCTCTCTCTCTCTCTCACACACACACACACATACACACACACACACGCCTCTACATGTCCTACTTCAGCCCAGAGAGAGTGGTGGGGGAGGGTGCACAGGCAGGTCATGGCCAGTCTAGGGAGAGGGTGTGTGTATGAGTGAGTGAGTCAGGCAGAGACAGGCAGGCAGGCAGGCAGGCAGGCAAGCAGGCGAAGACTGCTGTGACCGGGAGCTCTCCCAGGTTCACAGACCATACATCTCAGGTGTTTGTTTTTGTCTTTAATCCTAAATTCAGCAGCTTTTTGTTTCTTTGAACAGCAACAACAAAAGATTGATTTGAAAGACAGAATTGGGAACAAAGTGAGCCAGGCCAGCACAGAATCAGGTCTGCTGCCTGGGTGACCGGCCCCAAGCCGTTGATCCACCCCCCACTGGCTGCATTAGCAGGGAGCTGCGTTGGCAAGTGAAGAACTAGCCCTTGAACTGTGGCCCATGTTGGGTGTGTGTGCTGCAGGTACAGGCAGTAGCTGAGCTGCGGTCACGGCCGCGCCCCTCAGTAGCTACTCTTGGAGAAGCACCTTCAGAGCTGCAGCATTGGCTGGGGGAGTAATCTTCTCAGTTGAACTTTTGTTTTTCGGGTGAAGGAATCAATTAGCCTGTTCCATTCCTGCCTCCGAAAGCTGCGTTAAGGCTTAAACCATTAAATAAGTGAGGTGCTTGGACATGTAGCTCAAATACATGTATTTGTGTGCAGTACCAGGGTTCCGGAAGAAGCTCATGGAAAATGAGTATTATGTTGTTGTCAAAGGGATTTAAATGTTTTTGTACCAGATGTAACTTTAAATTCCATTTTTTATGAATTTCTAAAGTATTCATGTGCTGTGTCTTCTATGACTTATCTTTCTGGAGGGAATAATGCTACTAGCAGTATACTAAAAGTACCTTTTTAACGTTTATATTTAAATTAAAAAAAAAGTTTCAGGATAAATTTAGAAGACTTCCATATACTCTTTATCTTTATTCAGCAGTTGTTCATATCATGTTACATTTGCCTTTGATCAATCATACAATTGTGCATTGCTTATTTTTCTTTGTTATGTATGTTTTTTGAGTCATTGACAAGGACTTTTAATGTGATTTTTTTTTAACCTGTGTGTACTGTGAATTTACTAAGTGACGCTTAGATTCTAATCAGGTGTTTTATTTGTATTTCTACGCTTGGCCAGTAATGTCACTAGGACAGAGGCTCTTAATCATCCAACGTCAGTGTAATGCGTTTACTTGTATGTTTTTCTGGTCTTTGAAAATAGAATATTTTTTGAGTTATTTCTTTGTCTTCCTTGAATAATACTCATGAAGTCACTCACTTATAATCCTTAGATTAGTTTGGCTACTTGTGTTATTTATGCTTTTGAAATTTAAATCTATAAGACATAAATATTTTTCTTTTGTTTTTGCTCCTTGTCTCTGTCCTTTCTTAGTGTTAATAACAGATTTTGATGCTTTTGTTTTGACTATATAAATGCTACTTTTTTTTTTTAAGAATTGTGATTGTTGTTAAACTTGAATTCTAGATACCCCTGAAAATATTGTTCATATTTTACTTTAAAGGAAAGAAAAATAGGGTTATCTGGACATGAATATTATCTAGATTTATAACTTGCTTTAAACTTCATTTTCCTTTCCATAATCCATGGCTGAATGAATAGTTAAGGATAAACAGACTAGTGTTTGGTTTTTTAGTTTGTTTTAAATCTTTTGAAGAATTTTTTTTGTTTTTTTTTAGGTAATGAGGCTTAAATAGGTAAATTTCCCCTTTGCTGGTTCACTCCCCCACATTTTGCACCACAGCTGTGGCAGAGCCAGGAATTCTGTCTGGATCTCCCATGTGGGTTGCAGGAATCCAGGCACTTGAGTCATCTTTGCTGCTTTTCCAGGGACGTCAGCAGGGAGCAGGAGCTGGAGTGGAGCAGCCGGGACTTGGAGCTGCCCCCCATGTGGGATGCTGACATGGCAGATAGGGCTTACCGTGGGGCTTTGTGAGTTTAGGAACATTTGTGTGAGTGACTACATTGAGTGAGCCTTACTTGCAAAACGTAGCTGGATCCCTGTATTCTGTATAGATGGATTTCTCTGTTTGAAGATACTCAGTAGCTCTCCTATGTTCACTACCACAAATTTGGATAAATAACACAGAATGCCAGATTTGTCATAAATACTGGTAATAATAATCCATGCCTCAAATAAAATGTTAATAGTGAATAATGTTTGTATCATGAAAATATCCTTATATATTCTGTTTAGGTTATTGTTCGTTAACCAGTTACCTTTATTGAGTATAATTTCTGTCATTCATATTTTTGACCAGAAATACCAAGCAAAAGCGTGTGAAATCTCAGACAAAAATAATTGCTGAGTTGGTAGGTTCTTCTGCACAGTCTACCTCAAGTAGGGCGGCTTACTCTGCAGCCCCCAGGACAAGTGCTGGTGTTTCTTCAGGTGTTACTTCGGATGACTCTTCAGATTCAGCAAGATCATCAGAAAGGCCGAGAAGAAATAGACCTCTAACTCTGAGAAATGGGTCTTCGTTTTCTGGTAAGAACTAAAATGTGTTACTCAGTTGTTGAGCACCCAGTTGTGTAATACTGGCTGTTACTGTGGCTTCAGAGAACAGTGAAACCACATGGCCATGATACTGAAGGGACTTGGCAGCGGGGACTGTGCTTCCCAAAGGACTCAGCCACAGCTGAGGCGTGGTGCACAGGAGGCTGTGGGTTGCAGAGCAGGATTACAGACTTGTACTGTACTGTACTATTGATGTGTTTTGTGTGCTTTGTATTACTCAGTATTTCAATAAGAATTATTATTTAAAAATACACTTCTGCCAACATTTTAGAATGCAGGTGAGATATGAAAATGGCGTGGAGAAGGCCAAAGCAGCCAGTGTGTACGAGAGCAGAGTTACACATCTGTAGGACCAGGTGTTCTGTCAGAGCATGGGAACAGGAAAATAGGATGCACTTTGTATGTGAAAATACTTATTTTTGGGGCATGATAAATATAATTAAATCAAACAGGAGTAAGGCATCCACTTTTTAGAAGAGACCATCAGGGCTTTCAGAAGAGTTCAGATTCATTAATTGTGTTTCTTATTGAGTGAAGGGGTCACAGGAAGAATTCTGTTTCAGGAAGATGAGTTGATCAAGCTATGTTTTTTCTGTGGGGAGGGGAGTTGGGTCAAGGTGATTGCTGTTGTGTTGAGTGGCAGCAGCTGAAGGCAAATCGTAGCGTAGTTTCAAAGAGTATTTGATCTATGCTTTTTAACATAGCCTGCTCTCAAACCGATAGTTAGGCTGATGGTGATTAAGATTTTTTTTTTCAGAAGAGACTTTTGTTCAGAAGCTAGCAGAGATAAATATTTAGTATGATGCCTTAATCCTGAAATGGCAAAAGAAAGTGGAGCTAGGCCAGGCCGGAGTCAGAAGCCAGGCCCTCTGTATAGGACTCCCACATGGGGGGAGAGGCCTAAGCAGGGGGGCTATCGCTTGCTGTTTCACATGCTGCTTGTTTGCAGGAAGCCAGAATGGAAGTGCAGGTGGATGATGTTTTACTTTAGAGAGAGGGAGATCTTCATTGGTGTGCTGCCAAAAGGGCTGCAATAGCGAGCTGAGCTGATCAAAGCCAGAGCTCGGCGATTCATGCACATCTGCACGTGGGTGCAGGGCCCCCAAGGACTTGGCCCAGCCTCCGCTGCTTTCCCAGGCCACAAGCAGGGAGCTGGATGGGAAGTGGACCAGCCGGGATTAGAACCGGCACCCATATGGGATCCTGGCACATGCAAGGCGAGGACTTTAGTTAGTAGGCTCTCACGCTGAGCCCTATTTTAAAGCTGTTGTTAAAAAATATATTCTGGGCCTGGTGCAATAGAGTAACAATTGAAGTCTTCGCCTTGAAGGTGCTGGGATCCCATATGGACACTAGTTGTAATACCAGCCACCCTGCTTTCCACCCAGCTTCCCTGCTTGTGGCCTGGGAAAGCAGTCAATAACAGCCCAAATCCTTGGGACACTGCACCTGTGTGGGAGACCCGGAAGAAGCTCCAGGCTCCTGGCTTCAGATTGGCTCAGCTCCAACCATTGTGGCCACTTAGGGAATGAATCAATGGATGAAAGATCTTCCTCTCTCTCTCCTCCTCTGTGTATATCTGACTTTCCAATAAAATTAAAATAAATCTTTAAAAATATATTTATTCTGAGTAGTTTGAGAACCTTCTTTTGTTATAATGTTATATATATATATATATATATCTTACTGCTTGTACGTATAGAGATAGGATACTATTTTTATGCTTTATTTTTCTTAGAAAGTGAAGATGAGGATTCCTCAGCTATCTCTTCATCGTCTTCAGCTTCAAATAGTTCAGAGGAAAGCAAAGCAGAAAGTTCAAGGGCTTGTGAGTCCTTCCATGGTGGGATGTCAAGCAGCAACAATCTCAGAGTGACCAGAACTAGGGCTGCTCAGAAAAGAGCCGGTAAGAGACTGGGCGGCTTGGGGAGAAGGTATTGTTCATGCAATGCAGAATTAAACAGTGGATTACTGATTGGATACATCTATATTGCTACATGACTTGTAGATTTTTTTTATTTAGAAAGAAAATGTTTGCATTAAAAATAAGGAAACCACTAAAATGATAAAGCCATTAAAATAATAAGAAATTTTTTGTGTAAACTTTTACTTTATCTTAGGTCTTGCTTCTGTAGAAAATGGATACTGTCGTAAAGCCACTCGGAAGAGGGTCTATCTAACTGATTCTGATAACAATTCATTCGATAATGGTGAGGTTCTAAACACCAGAGCTGGAAATAACCGAAAAATACTACGGAAGTGTGCTGCTGTGGCTGCCAGTAAGATCAAGCTCATGAGCGATGTGGAAGAGAATTCGAGCTCGGAAAGCGTCTGCTCTGGGAGGAAGCTGCCCCATCGCAATGCTTCAGCTGCAGCTAGGAAAAAGTTACTGCAGAATTCTGAAGATGATCAGAGCGGGAAATCTGAGCCTGAAGAAGAGGAACTGGAAGTTGAGCGTCAGCCCTCGCCCGGGATCACATCTCATGCTGCCCACAGTGCTGCCAGTGGGTCTGGAAACGGAGATTCCGAGTCAGAAAGTGATCTGCGGGTAGCCCGGAAGAACTGGCATGCCAATGGTTACAGGTCTGATAGTGCACCAGCTTGGAAAGCAAAATTCCTCAAGATAGAGTCTTCTGAGGACTCAGACGATGGAAGCTGGACTGCTGGCCCGTCGACCTCGGGGGAGAGACTGCAGGCAGAAAGCGCTTCGGAGGGTGCAGACTCGGAGCCAGGACAGCATAGTGGTAGGAAATCTAACTCGATTCACAGGAGAGTGCATTTCTCTAAAACAGCAAAGATCTTGAGTGATTCGGAAGAGTCTGCACTTGAAGGTCAAAGTGGGGAAGGCAGTCTGTGTCAGCAGGCAGAAGCACTGAGCGATTCGGAAGGGTCTGAAGGTCAAGCTGGAGAAGGCAGTGAGTGGCAGAAAGGAGAAGCGACTGCCGTGTCCCAAGGTGTGCAGGGTGACTCTGCTGCTGGGTCCCCATGGTTCTCAGATCAGGTGTCTGAATCTGATTCAGATTCAGCTGATGATAAAGCAAAGGAAAGACTCAACAATTTGACGAAAGGTAATTCAAAACACTTACCTGAACTGACTTGACTTGTTACCTGGAGTGCTTAGCCCCTCGCCCCGAAGCTTTTGGCAGCGGCTTCTTTCCATGTGTCTTTCATCTCATTTAGTTTCATGCACGCATAGCTGTCAAATGAGTATACCTAGTGTTATTTGCCTAGCTGGCAATCTTGGTTCTGATTATTTCTGTCAAAGATTTTATCTCTTGTTTTGGTGATGGGAGTATTGTGTTGCATTTGGACTTCAGGAAGGTAGAGGCTGGCCCATTTGTAAGCTGTGACAGTGATAGTTTAAGATTGTTTAAAAGGAATGTGGTAGTGGCCCTAACAGAACATTTACTGAGCTATTTTTTTCTAAAAGTTTTAATGTGACATTTCCATATAGTTAATGAGGTAGGTACTATAACTGTCCGTGTCCACTTGATAAATAACCCCTCGAGTGCAGAGTGATGATATGACTTCCTGAATTAAGATTGTACTCCTAGTAAATGGGAATTGACAGAAACCTTGAAGGAGCTGAAATTGCCGCTGAGGTTCAAATGGTGGAGTGGTTTGGAGTTTTTGGTGTGAGGAGGAATTTTGTGGAGACAGAGTACTTGGTGTCGTTAGACTGTCCCCTCTTGCCTGCTGTGCTGTGCTGTGCTGTGCTGTGCTGTGCTGTGCTGTGCCTGCACGGGCCCCCGCAGGCAGAGAGCAGTGGGATGCCCATCCATGAATTCTGGCCTTGAGTTGTTTCAAATGTTGAACAGTTAATTTCTTCAGGCATAGTTATTCTTTCATAAAAGATTAAAAGAATACTCTTAATTTTTTAGATTCTACATGCCAAGACAATGGACAAAACAGAAAAATTTCCAGGAAAAGGATCTGTTCCAGTGACTCCGAGAATAGTTTAAAGGTGGTTAAGAAACCATTACAAGCCAGAACGGGTCTTGTGACAGTTACTCGAAGAGGTGCCTCTATGGCTGCCGACAAAGTGAAGCTGCTGAGCAGTGGAGAAGATGTCGGTTCAGAAAATATACGCACTAGAAGCAGAAATGGGAGGAAGACCCCCCTCCGCTTCGCTTGTACCGCCGCTGACAAGGTGCTGAGTGATTGTGAGGGAGATGTCAGTTGTGAAGGCGAGTCCTTGGGGCCTGACCCTGCAGCTGCTGCCAGAGGCGCTGGGCAGGATGTAAATGGCAACTCAGACTCCGAAGGTGCTGTGGGTTCAGCACGCACGAGCAGGCACACCAGAAGCCACAGCCCAAGTGCGCCTTCTGCGACCAAGCGTTCCTCTGTCAGGTCTTCAGAAGAAGATTCACAGAGCCGTGTTCCCAGACGTGTGACGGGTAGAAAGTTTTCTTCTGCTTCCACCTTGGCACAAAAGACTACTGCAGAGAATAACTCTGAGGAGGAGCTGAGCTACGGGCTGCGCAGATGGAATGGAAGGCGACTCAGGACTTACGGAAAGGCTCCCTTCAGTAAGAGCGAAGTGATCGGTGATTCGCAGGCAGTTGCAGACGTAGAAGTAAAAAGGAAGAGACTGCGTCCTGAATTAGAAAACGTGAGAATGCATGAAACAAGAGAGAGTTCCAAGTCTGGCCCCGACATGAGTCCCCGATCCTCTGATTTGGGGTCTGTCACTGAATCAGATGAGGACTGTACTGATAAAACAAAAACCAAAAGGAGGAAAACTAAAGGAAAAGCAAAAGTAGTTAGAAAAGGTAAAACGTTTACAACTAGCCCGTGCAAAGCTGTGAGACGGCCGAGACAGAGCAAACGTCCTCGGCTAGCCGTGGATGACGACTGGGAGGACGTGGACTGTGCAGGATCTAAGAGAGTTCTCCGACGTTCAAAAATAAAGACGAGAAATCAGGGTAGACGGACCGTGAGGTACCATGATGGGGATGATGACAGAAGCTTGGAGAATGGGCTAGAGTTCAATGATTGCACCTTATGACCTAGAGGGAAAGCCAGTCCATTCAAAGAGGAAAATGGACTGGAATTTATGATGAAAGCTGGCTGTTGAAATTATTTTTTTGTCTTACAATTCAGGGAATATATTTATATTTTTCTATGAAAAGTTATGAATGTGACTAAATCATGACTGTTATTTTTATTTGCACTTGCTGGTCTTTGTAGCAGCATTCAGCACAGGTGCCAAGATATGCTTCATTCTGGGGCAGATCCGCTCTGACAGTATGCGACTACATCAAGCACGAGTTCAGTGTTAAACACTAGGCAGCCTGGTGATCAGAAGCCAATGAGCATTACTTTTGTGGTAGCAAGTGTCAAGCAGTCATTTTACGAATTTGCCCAGAAGTGGTAGTTTCTAGCCCCTATCCTGCGATAGAATAACTATTTCACATGACCTGTGTTTACAGATTCTTCGTAAATATTATGTGTATACTGACATTACAGTCAGAGGAGGTAGAACCGTGACTGATAAGCCTGACACCTACCACTTTCCCCCTTTCCTTGACTTCTTGAGTAGAATGCATTATGCCAGATTGGGTCGTTTTCATTGAAATGCTTCCAATTTTCCTTCCAAATGCTGTTGGACCTTTTTATTTTCTTTTTGAGGAAGAATTTATTATTTTTGTTTTATAAACTTGAATTTATTAAGTGCTGGCAAATTACTTTGAATGTGTTGAGTGGATATTTTAAATCTCTAAGCCAGAGTATAGGTATAGCATTTTCTTTCCAACTGTGCACTAAGAAAATATTATATAATTTGTCTTCTAGCCAAGATCTCTTAATTTCCATGGTAAAGGATTTAACCAAAATGTTGCTCTTCCATAATTTTACTCTGAATAGAGGAGTTTGTGTGCCTTAGATTAAGGAGTATAGAGTGTACTGGGCTAAAAGAGTATTTAAGTTATATATCAATCTCCCCCATCTGTATTAAATTTAGAGAGTTGGGTTGTGTCAAGAGTGCAGCTGCAGATCTTATGTAGGAAGATGGTTACCACCCCTCTGTGTTCTCGCTTGTTGCTGTCATGCACAGTCCTAAGAATTTTTTTTTGCTGGGGCAGTTAAGTGTATCTTAACATGACCTCTTATCGAAATATAAGAGATTGTTGTGTGGAAACTAAGTTAGGAATCCATTTAAATCAAAGCTTTTTCTCACCATCAGATACCACAGCACATTGACTTATGAGCCAGATACTCTGACTTAAGGCTTTTCCAGTGTAGGTGGCCATTTCCTGGACTTTGTGCCTGCAGATGGACTTGATTCAGTGGTTTACATGCTTAGTATCTAAGGAGCCTATTACAGTTCGCCCATATTTATTTATTGGCTCTACTTGTGTTTGGTTGAATTAACCCTTTTCCCCTGTGTGTGTCCTTGAGGTGGCAGAAAAAAGAAAGTATCCGACTCTGATTTCAGTGTTAGAGAATGTTGAAGTGTTCCGCTTGGAGTTATCTGACTGCTGTTAGGACATTAACGACTGAGATAGGCGAGATCCTGTCACGTCGGCAGTTCAGAAAGCTGTCACAACTTGAGAACTCCAATGTCTTTTCCTCAAAGCTCATGTTTAAGATTCAAGATGATTGTCTCTGACCTCCAAAAAAACAGTAGTATGCCTTTTACCTCCCTAATGTTTAAGAACTGGTTAATAGATGTAAGTTTCATTAACTTATTTAAATTTCTTAAGTTTCTCTGTTTCGTATCTATTCTCAGGGTTATAACTCCATGTTTACCATCATCTGCAAAGAGGTACCAAAACCCAATAACTAAAATACAAAGTACATTCATAAGTCCATAAATTCTTTTGGCAAAATAATACCTTGACAGTTTAGGCTTCATGAACGGATCTGTTTTCATATTTTGGCCCGGATGAACCAGTGCTTGATTGCTTAGTCAGCTGCTGGGTTTTCTTCTGTCCATAATGGTTAGAGCCTTGTTGCGCAGTGTTTTCCTGTGCTCAGACTTGGTTTCATCAGGAAGAGCAGGAGACGGGCCAGGAGACCAGAAGCATGGCTGGTGGCGGCAGCTTCTTGCCTGCTGAAGGGTAAAACTCAAGCGGCTGTGGAGAAGTCATTTTTATGGGGTTGGTTTTTTTGAGGGGGGTGGTTTATGGTGCTATTCCTAAGGTTATCTTTGAATATTGACACACTCCTAAGTATCTTTAGGGAAAAGTAATAATTAATAGTTAAAATGTTTACATTGAGCACTAGAACATGTCTGACTTTTTTTCTCCTTTATGCAGAATGCGCAGGGATTGAATGCACACATGTACTTTAGTGTTTAGGATCAGGCTGTACTTTTCTTGAGAAAAAAGTAAAAGGTTACAAAGTGAATGTGAACTGATCCAGAAATAAGTGCTATAGCTTTCCATTGCACTTGAAATAATTTAATAGTATTAAAAACAAAAAACAAACTTTTTTTTTTTACTGTGGTTGTGTATGTCCAGAGTCCCATGGTTTTATTCATTTGTGTTTTTTAGAGGGTTTTGAAATGTTTAGATTTAATTTTTGCTTCCTTTGAAGGATTAATCTTACTGAGCATATTAAGAAAAAGTGATTTCATACATGGAAAAAACAAGTGAGATTTAAACATGTTTCCCCATGTCCTTATTTTAAAAGGGTGTGCTGACAATGTGTAGTAACTAATGAATAAAAAGAAAAATTTATCCCATTTTCAGATAATCCTTAGGGTGCTCATTCTTTTTTTTTCTTTCTCCATTGAAAATGTCCAATTAAACAACTTCTCAATTTGATGCTCCTTGGAAAGCAATTACAACACAAAGGTTCTTCCAAATGCTAGAGGGTTATACCTGTGCAAGAAATTGGCCTTACAATCAGACAATGGAAGGAAAGCACTGAAGTTTTAGAAAAAGACACTTCAAAATCTGGAAGTAGAAACGGAAAAAATCCCAACGCCAGCTGAGGGTGTTGCTGTCTGCGAACTAAGAAGCCTGCGTCACTGAGTCCTGTGCCCTCACTGGTGTGCCCTTCAGTAAAACATCTGGTCAAAAAATAATGTTGGCTGCTAGCATTTTTTTTTCCTGCTTAGAACAATCTATGACTTGATTCCAGAGTTTATGAACTTCATTGTAATGGTCTTAAAAACTAAATTGAGGTTGTCATCTCTGTCAGCACAAGTTGAATTTGTGTCAATTGAAAAAAGTCAGGTATATCAGTGCAGTGTAAGAACAAGGATAAGGGCGTGTGGGTTTGCTTCACGGCACTGCTCTTTTGAGGAAGTCTCAGATGGCTAGAAAATGGTCTTGTTGCTTTGCTCTGTGGCTGAAACAGCCCCGTTCTCATCTAAATCCATGTATTTATCAAACATCTGGCAATTGTCACAAATACTTTTTTCTTACGCTATGTGGTTGTCTGTATGATGTAATGGAACAAAACTGTTGAAAAAATTCACTTGTTTTAAGCAAGTCAATACCTCTTGGCTTCTGTGAAGAACAGAATAATAAAGCAGAAAGTAACACATTTTCAGCTTAACAGCTTGGAGATCATCTGTCATACTAGTATTTGGGGACATAAGTTGATCAAGTAAAATTTTTTCAAGGCTAGGGAGAAAATGGAGCAGTAGAATCCACTTAGATTAATCTTAGTCTTTGCTGTGGCTGAAATGGTGAATTCATGAAAAGAACTATAAAGAATGTTGGTAGACATTAGATCTTAAGGAAGAATTATTAAGGCTCTGAAATTACAGCTGTGTCTTTTTTTTTTTTTTAAAGATGTATTTATTTATTGGAAAGTCAGATAGAGAGGAGGAGAGACAGAGAGGAAGATCTTCCGTCCGATGATTCACTCCCCAAGTGAGCACAATGGCCGATGCTATGCCGATCTGAAGCCAGGATCCAGGAACTTCTTCCAGGTCTCCCACATGAGCACAGGGTTGCAAGGTTTTGGGTCATCCTGGACTGCTTTCCCAGGCCATAAGCAGCAAGCTGGATAGGAAGTGGAGCTGCCGGGATTCGAACCAGCAACCATATGGGATCCTGGTGCGTTCAAGGCGACAACTTTAGCTGCTAGGCCACTGCACTGGACCCCTCATTCACTTTTTGAAGCATATTTGTATTCTAACATTTGCCCAACTGGTTTAAAATGTTGATTCATTTTTAATAGTGTTGATTTATTGGAAATACAAGCCTATAATCTGAGAAATTCCTAAGAAAATGTACTTTGAAGGGGAACAGTGCATTTTAAGCCACAGCTTTCCCCACGGAGCCAGCCGAAGGTGAGGAGCATGCACTGAGTGGCAGCAAGCCGTGCTTGTCTGCCAGCTGGGACATCACCTGCAGTTCCTGGAGTCACATGACCCGCGGAAGGGATGGGTGGGTGCAGGTCTCTGCTACGGCCTGTTCTGTCAGAGTTTTTATTCTGTTTTCTGTACATAAGGTTAAAAAGAGGAGGGGGGCTTTCATTATGAGGGCCGACCACTTGGCTCCTAATTGTGACTGCATGAGTGTGTCGGGCCACAAAAGTGGCTTTTACCTGCACCCATTTGCCTTAGATCCGCTTGGTGACAGAACAGCACACTCTCCTTAGGCAACTGAAGCAGGTGGCCGGTAATGTTCACTGCTTCACAGCAATGGTTAGACAAAAGTACCTGACCAAAGGAAAAAAAAAAGTTTATTTCTGATAGGATAAGAAGAGGGGCCAGCGAGCCCGGGAAGAACTCCAGGGAGGGATGACGATCTTCCCGACTGGGTACTCCCCACCCTGGCCCAGTGTGCCTTTGGAGGGACTGGCAGTATTTTAAGTGTGCCCACCTCAGCGTGGAAGCGCATGTGGCTGCACTGCACTGAGCGACCTCTGGTCGCCTGGAAAGCGCCTCTCTGAAGCTGCGTGTCCTTTGGCCAACACTGGAGCATAGCTTTTAACGTCCTGAAGTGAAGCCTGCCTCGCCACTTCCTGCAAGATTTCATAGAGCCTGCACTTTGGAGTTTCTTAGAGCAGCTATCCTGTATGGGCGCCGTTTGTAACATTTTTTATCCTAATCCTCTGTCTGGCATACACCTTGCTCAGAAGACAGACTAATTCCAGTTATAGGAAATGATCAAATACTTGAAGATTAAAGTCAGAGTTCATCATGGTATCCGGGGGTGGGGGAAGCAGAAGGGTCTGGTTACCAGTGTAAGTTTTTTGAATACAGGAGATATTGCTCCTGGAATTAAAACGTTAAGGATCATCTTGAAGCCAGTGCTGATGCAGTGTCATCTGACATAAGGTCACATCTTAAATGAGAAAGAAATTTAACATCAGCATTGATGGCAAAAGCTTGGAACACAGGGCTCTATATTTGAAGTGAGTTTTAACATGTTTTTACATTAGCTTTGTGTTGCAGAAAGTGTTTGACTCAGCAAAGCTGCCTGTCAGAGCTTGCCGTGCTGCCGCGCGTTAAGGCTCTGCTTAGGAATGGGAGTGACGGAGGGCACTGTTAAGTGGTGCAGCCTTACATCACAAGGTGTTTGCGTTTACGTGAACTTTCACTCGTTTTTCAGAATCTTCCCAGAGACAGAAAACCCAATACAAACGTGAGAGCTTGTGTGCATCAGAAGGATGCAATGGGCATGCCTAGTGAGACTGAACACAAAAATGGTGCCTGAGAAAGTTCCCCGCAGACGCTGCTGTTGCTGCAAGTCAAAGACCATGAGTAATTCAGGAGCAGAGGATGTCCAGATTAGGAAGAGCAGCAGGAAGTTGCCCCAGTGGACCGCTTCTGCTGCGGCTAAGAGGTTACTGAATGTTTATCAGGAGGATGACCCAGCTCTAAGTTCTGACAGTGAAAAGGAGTTAGAAGGTGTCATAGCAAAATGGCTTCTTAGGCGGTTCAGGTTCCGGGACGAAAAGGCACAACAGTGATGTTCAGGGTGTACAAGTGGTGTCTGAATCAGGCCACAAGCACAGTTGGCTTCCAAAGTCGTGTAGACTGCAGCGCGTCGGTGGGAGGGGTGCCTCCCGCAGCTCTAGCCCAGCTGGAGGAAATCGGGGAAGCCGGCGTGGGGGTCTGGGTGGGAGAGTCTTCATTCTTTAGAGAACAGAACGGGAAACGTGCAGGCTGTGGAGGAAAACCCCAACTTCAAAATCTCCAGCTTACCCCAGTCCAAAGGTTCCAGACTGATGTGTCATTAGTGAAGCCACATTTCCAAAGGGCAACCCGGTGAGGTCCAGCTGTTCACATTGCCCACGACCAACAGCAGCTGGACAGACCAGGCACTCGGGACTAAAGCACTGGAATTAAACAGAGAAAGCCCACGGTCTTACTATTTACACTGGATGGTGACCACTTGGTATGATTAATTCAGGGAGTGTTTAGTTTTCTAGGAAAGGAGTAGGCCGAACACGAGTGTCGCACTTCTGCTTGCACATAGCCGCATTTGCAAAGATGCCAAAATGTACCTCATGATGAGGCAGGTCTTAATTAGAAAATAAAGTACAGCTTAAGATCAAAACTCATATTTTTTTGGATAGAGTGGAAGCGTTCACATTTCTTTATATTACATAAGACATTTGACCCCTGAGGAGGCTTGCCACACCCTCATCACAAGCTTCGTGGCGCATGCCTGGCCTGTTCGTTGTGGCCGTTCCTTCAAGCGGGAAACCTGGCCACGGCCCGACAAAGAGCACATTTGCAAGGAGGCAGCTTGTCAGAACTAAGGCAACCAGGTTAAATGAATGTGCTGTCAAAGCAATGGTGTTACTGAAATTGTCCTAAGTCAGTTGTTTTCCAGTTTTAAAAAAATCTGTGATGATCAATACATGATTTGCATGTGTCCAGCTGAAACTAAAATGGAGAATCTAGGTATTTATTTTTCTTTACAATTAATGCATATTTTTTGGATTACCAGATGGATGGACCAAGTGTTTTGGTTATTTGACAAATTTGTGGTTGCATGTTTGTTGAAAAAAAGGCTATTTTTAAAAAAAGTTATACGGCAGACGGCGCTAACCTTCTGTGGAGCGCTTCCATCCGAGCAGCTGAAGCCAGCGTCCATCGCTAGTCCAGGAGCGAAAAAGCAGAATTCCTAAATCAAATAATTTCTAGGTGCATGCGGTTTGATTTCTGTACTTTATGAAATGCCTAAGTGTGTCTCCAGTCCCAAACTTATATTTAATTTTATTGGAATTCCTTCTGGGGTGTATTCAATACTAAATAATTACCATACAGTATTCAAGCCTCAGTGAAGACTTCCATGTAGAATTGTTGAATAATTTCAGTGTTGAAATAATTTCAGTTCTGGATTCGGAACCCACTGTGTGGGATTAGTGCCTGTGGGAGACAGTATGACTTCCCGAATGGAATTCTCTTTGCTGGCTTAGTATTTAACTTGAACATATAATTTGCCTTCTGAAAACATGCTTAGGCTGAATTTGTTAACAACCACATGAAAATACTTATTTACAAATATCTAGAAATATCTTCTATTTACTGGGTCTTGTAAAACCGTGTTCTCAGACATGTTGGCCAAATTTCTCAACATTACAGCAACTTCAACCATTTTCCATAAAAGATTCCTTCTTAATGTCATTGTGAGATCAAATGAGTATCTCACTGGTAAAAACGGCAATTAAAAAAAATTTTTTTAGACAAAAGGATTAAGAAAAAGTTTCGTCCAATTACCTCTTATTATTTTGCTTGGCACCGTGGGTTTTCGTTTTGTTTTTAGACATGTACAGTTGTGACATGAGGGGGCTTTGTGGTCATTGTTTTTCATTATCGTAAGATATTTCTAGCAACTTTGAGATTTTAAAACATGATCTCAAAAAGACCTTTTCAAACCCCCGACAAATTTTGTATGGCTCGCAAACGGCCACTTTTACAAAATCTATTTTGGACCAGTTTTGGGGATGTGCTGGGGTGTGTGTATCACACTCCTGCCCCCGGCGGTTCTCCCGGCCCTGCACGCCGGGCTCGGGCTGGTCAGCGGAGGCTAGGGCACCGCCAGGCACCGGGGGCGGTGCAGGTGGGGCACCCAGGTCAGCCCTGGCACCACGCAAGGGAACGCGGGCGGAGGGAGGCCAAGGCCTGCGGAACGTGCTCTCCACGGGCGCCGGAGACCCCCGGTGCAGCACCCGCCGGCCGGGAGTGGGCGCCGCCCGGTGCAGCACCTGGCGGGAGTGGGCGCCGCCCCGGTCCAGCACCCGCCGGCCGGGAGTGGACGCCGCCCGGTGCAGCACCAGCTGGGAGCGTACCCCGCTTCCGGCCTCCGCGGGCTCCGCCCCCGCCTCGCCGCTCGTCCCTCTAGCCCGCCGTCCCCCCCGTCTCGGTCTCCTCGCCCGCTCTGGACTTCCGGCGCTTGCAGGATCACAGCGGCGTGTGTGGGGGGGCGATGCACGCACGGGGGCGTGGCCGCACGCAGAGTCGGGGCAGGTGGGCGTGCGCGGCGCGGGGTGCCCCGAGCGGCCGGGAGGCGCCATGGCAGCCACGTTCTTCGGAGAGGTGGTGAAGGCGCCTTGCCGAGCCGGGACTGAGGACGAAGAAGACGAGGAGGAGGAAGGACGGAGGGAGACGCCCGAGGACCGCGAGGTCCGGCAGCAGCTGGCGCGGAAGCGGTGAGGCGCCGGGCGGGCCGTTGGCGTGGAGGGAGCTGCGTTCTCCGGAGACCTCGGCCGCCTGGCCCGGGCCGTCCGGTCCGCGGGGGCCGGGTGGGCATTGCGCGTGGGCTGCGGGGCTTCTGTCGCCTTTGTCCCAGCGCCCCCAGGGGAGCCGGATCCTCGCGGCCTTTGACCCCCTGCCTGGTTCTGGATGCTTCGCGAACACTCGGCATCGTGGCTGGCCGGGTGGGGACCCGGGTTGGGCATCGTGTCACAGCCCTGGAAAGGCAGAGTGACCGAGGGAGGGAGGGACAGGGAACCCGGCTCTGAGCGCTGCGGTGGCCAGGCTGAGCCTGCAGCGGGCAACAGGATCCAGGACCGCCAGGTGGGCGACGGTCGGGGGGCGGCCTGGGGCCTGGGGACTCCGGCCTTTTTTTTTTTTTTTTCCGAAGACGTGTTATTATTACTGTTTTTATTCGAAAGCTAGAGTTACAGAGAAAGAGGGGAAGAACCAAAAGAGACAGCTTCCATCTGCTGGCTCACTCCCACGTGGCTGGCTGGGAATCAGGGGTTAGGTCCGGGTGTCCGGGCAGCTGCCCAGGTGAGCAGGGAGCTGGACCGGAAGAAAAGGTGGGACACACACTGACGCCCGTGTAGGGTGCTGTCGTCCCAGGTGGGGGCTTTACGTGCAATCCCCAGACTAAGGCGTCGCAGCCAGTGCCCTGTTACCCAAACATTTAGAGCTCTCCCGCTCGTGCCTTCTGCCCCTGCTGAGAGACTGTCCATCCTGAGTCTGTGTGACGCCGCCTCGTGCTGTCGTTTCACATTTGTCTGCAAATGAGCGTGTGTTTCGGAGGCTTGGCCTAAGCCCCTTTTAGCTTTCTTGCTTGTTTTAGTGGTTGACTGACTGATTTATTTGAAGGTGTCACAGGAAGGGCACCGATCACTCTGGCGACGGCCACCATGGCCAGGGCTTAGCCAGGCTGAAGGCAGGAGCCGGGCGCCTCCTCCTGTCTCCCGTGGGTGCAGGGGCCCAGGCACTTGGGTCATTCTTTGCTGCTTTTTTAGGCATGCTGGCAGGAACGTCTGGGTGCCTTAACACGCTGGGCCACGTTGCTGACAACCAGAGTGTCTGACTTTTTTTTAATACATATATATGTTTTTATTATATTTTGGAAATGACTGTTTTGTTTTAAGAGTGCCGGGCAGTACTGCTCTTTCCTGTTGCACGGCCTGCCTGGCCTGTCCGTCTGTCCGTGGACTCACTTCCAGTGATGCAAAGATTGCTGAGTGGGTCGGATGGCGGCCTGGCCCTCACTGGGCAGTGGTTTATTGGCTGCCATTTCCTGGACCCATTGTTCGCTTCTAATTATTATGTTCTTCTTAATGTGCCCTATGCCAAGTGGCAAGTGTGGTGGCCCAGCGAGCCTGCTGGCTTCAGCATCCATGCTGTGCTGGGGCTCCCTGCTTCCAGCCTGGGAAAGCAGAAGGGCCCTCGCCAGTGTGGGAGACCCTGAGGAGGCTCCAGGCTGGAGACTGCTCCCGCTCCGGCCTTTGCAGCTGCGTGGGGAGTGAGCCAGCAGGTGAAAGATCTCTCTCTCCTCTCTGTATTTCAAGAAAATAATAATAAAACCGTGTTTTTAAAAAGTACCTTATACCTGTGATAGCATTGTACCATTTAGTGTACTTTTGTCCCTAATATGCTAATTGTATTGAAGTCACTTTAGTTTCCTCTTTATTTCTTGTGTTAGGGAGGTGCGACTCCTTCGAAGACAGACAAAAACATGTTTGGAAGTTTCTCTGCTAGAAAAACATCCTTGCTCCAGGTTTATAATCGCCATAGGCAACAATGCAGTGGGTGAGTTAACGCAGACCACGACCCTTCTCAGTGCGGAGCCGCTTGCTTCTGTGTGGCACAGCAGGCTGCCCGCCTTGTAGGACGAATGCAGCTGTGTCCTGCCCGTCGGGTACCTGCACATTAAAGGGAAGGGCACTGTGTTGAAATAGCCACATTTATGTAAATTAAAGCATTTTTAAAAATTTTGAAAGCTAAAGTGGCAGAAAGACAGGGGCAGAGAGAGAAAAAACAGAGGGACCAGCATGGTGGCCAGTCAGGCTGAGCCTCCTCTGCAGTGCTGCCACGTGGTGGGGCTCTGCTTCATGTCCAGGCTGCTCCTCTTCCCAGCCGGCTCCCTGGGAAAGTTGCAGAGAATGGCAAAACCCTGGGCCCCTGCAGCCATGGAGGCGCCCTGGAGGAAGCTCCTGGCCTCAGATCAGCTCAGCTCCGGCTGTCTCTGCCACTTGGGAAATGAACTAGCAGATGAAAGATCTTTCTCTCTCACCCCTCTTGTCTCAGTAAGTCTGTGTTCTGTTTGCTGGTTCGTTCCCCAGATGCCCACAGAGCTGGGGCCGGGCCAGGCAGGAGCCGGGAGTTCCAGCCTGGGCTGCCGTGGAGGTGGCAGGCACTCCACAAATGCAGCCTTCACCTCCGCCTCTCGCGGTGTGCATTAGTGGGATTGGAGCAGACAGGATGAGCCCAGGGGCCCGCAGAGGGTGTGTGTGCCAGGTGGCCCTGCACTTGAAGCTTAACAGCGTCCTTTGGGAACGTGTGAGGACCGTAATAACAATTGTTGCTAACACCTGTAGCTGCTGAGTCCCAAGGTCACCGTGCTTACTGATTAGCTTGGTGGGCTGACATGAGAACCGAGCGCACAGCAACAGTGCTGGTCCGCACAAAGACCCTGGTCTCGAGGGGTCCACAGACGCACCTCCAGAGCTTCAGCCAAGATCCCAGGCCCCGAAGGGTCTCCCTGCTGCTGGCTAAGGTCTGGCGCCTCTGCCCCGTCCAGCTCCCTGCTGCCCGGCCTGCAAAGGCTGTGGACGAAGGTGCAGGTGCTTGGACTCCTGCGTGCAGAGTGGAGCTCCTGGCTGCGGCTCCCACCCGACCTAGCCCCAGGGTGTAGCCAGCTGGAGGGTGAACTAGTGCTTAGAACTAGTGCATAGAACATAAATAAAGCTTGAGTAAAAAGAGCATAATAGCTATGTGGTAAATAAATGTTGCTTCATTTATGTGCAATTCTGTTGGGCTGGTGTCACCGTGGGCACAGTGAGGCCCGGCAGCAGGGCTGGTGTCGCCGTGGGCACAGTGAGGCCCGGCAGCAGGGCTGGTGTCACCGTGGGCGCAGTGAGGCCCGGCAGCAGGGCTGGTGTCACCGTGGGCGCAGTGAGGCCCGGCAGCAGGGCTGGTGTCACTGGGCGCAGTGAGGCCCGGCAGCAGGGCTGGTGTCACTGTGGGCACAGTGAGACCCGGCAGCAGGGCTGGTGTCACTGGGCACAGTGAGGCCCGGCAGCAGGGCTGGTGTCGCTGTGGGCGCAGTGAGGCCCGGCAGCAGGGCTGGTGTCACCGTGGGCACAGTGAGACCCGGCAGCAGGGCTGGTGTCACCGTGGGCACAGTGAGACCCGGCAGCAGGGCTGGTGTCACTGGGCGCAGTGAGGCCCGGCAGCAGGGCTGGTGTCACTGGGCGCAGTGAGGCCCGGCAGCAGGGCTGGTGTCACCGTGGGCACAGTGAGACCCGGCAGCAGGGCTGGTGTCACCGTGGGCGCAGTGAGGCCCAGCAGCAGGGCTGGTGTCACTGGGTGCAGTGAGGCCCGGCAGCAGGGCTGGTGTCACCGTGGGCACGGTGAGGCCCGGCAGCAGGGCTGGTGTCACTGGGCACAGTGAGACCCGGCAGCAGGGCTGGTGTCACTGTGGGCACAGTGAGACCTGGCAGCAGGGCTGGTGTCACCGTGGGCACAGTGAGGCCCGGCAGCAGGGCTGTATGCCCCATTTCTGGTTCATGCCAGTCTTCAGGTTCCTCTGGGCTGGCCTTTCCTGCAGAATGGCAGTGTTGGGTGTGCGCTCACATGGCCCTGTCTGCTCCCATGTTCTAGAGCAATTACATGGTTTGTATTGAACACCAAATGCGGCTTACAGACTTGGTCACTAACATGCAGGAATTGCTCCCACAGCGTTTTTGTCGTCGTTCGTTATGAATTCGGGAGTCTGGGAAGAAATTGGCTGTGCTAAACTCTGGAATGAGTGGTGTAGGACGGCGGACTCCACGCACTTGTCTCCTGCCGAGGCCTTTTGTGTGTTCTATCAGCTAAAAGGCCATCACTCGGTATGTGGGACCTGCCCGGGGTGGCCAAGCTTGGAGCTCTTGCTGGTCGCAATCTTGGACTCCAGCCGCATCTCTCGGGCACTGCCAGTGTGTAGTTGCTCTGAGAGTAATCGCCAGCAGGGGTTTGGCTCTTGTTGAAATAGGTCAGTTGTGGAGTCAGGGGAATGGGTGTACTTAGACTTGTGTCAGCACTCGCACGGCGCGGTTACAGCGGTGTGGTTTGGGGTGTGTGCACACGCTGGGGTTTTGGTTTTGCAGGTGATCCTTTGTCAGTGCAGCTGCTATGTTGCTGAAGATCAGCAGTACCAGTGGCTGGAGAAGGTGAGCGCTTCTGTGAGAAGCAGCCGTTTGAAACATGGTAGACTGTTCCATCAGCTGGCTCCCTCCCCCAGATGCCCACAGCTAGGGCGGGAGCAGGCCCGAGCCAGAGGGCGTGGACTGCATCTGGCTCACCCCCATGGGAGGTTGGGGATCCACAAGGTTGACCGACATCTGCGCCTCCTGAGTGTCAGCAGGAGGCTGGATCGGAAGGCAGAGGCAGGACTGGAGTCCGGGCGTGTTCTGCGATCCCAGGTCATGGCTTCCCTGCCTGGCTGTGGCACCTGCCCCTGAGTGGCCCTCTCTTTAAGGAGTTGGTCTCTTCCCTCATACCTTTGTGGGGAAATACGGATGTGGGAAAGGAGTTTGTTTCTCTCTAAAAAGTACTAATGTCTAACAGGATATAGAAAGTAAAGTGACGTGTTGATGGGTAAGAGGAGTTCTCAGGTTATAGAAGATGCTCCTTCTGCAAATTGTGAAACGACGCACGGACCTCAGACATTTTGTGCCACAGTCAGCTCTGTTGCCGTGAACACTTGAAGTAGCCTGCACTGTGTTAGCATCTTTGCGTTTATCAAGCTGTGATGATGGAACTTGTCTAACAAAGCACTTTTGGCACTTTGGTATCCTGTGCTGGGGGAGAGCGTGGGGAGTGTAGTTGGGGCTCACTGAGTGGTCGCACGTCGTGGCCCCTCCAGCAGGTTCACAGGGGAGGAAGGTGACCTGGGCAAGATTCCCATGTAGGCGGTAGAGACACGATCCAGCAGAGTGTGCTGCTCCGTGGCGCATGCGCAGTGCTGCTGCAGGGCAGGGGTGTTGGGGGCCTGACTGCAGGCTGCTGCCGTTCACAGCCCTCATGGGCAGCCTTGTTGTGTTAGGTGTTTGGCTCTCGTCCCAGGAAGAACATGCAAGTGACCATTCTCACGAGTCGACACGTGACTGACTATAAGACCTCAGAATCCACGGGCAGCCTGCCTTCTCCTTTCTTGAAAGCTCTGCACACCAAGAACTTCGAAGACCAGCTGTGCTGTTCCCTGCTGGAACAGCCGAACATCGTGCACGACCTTCCTGCTGCGGGTGAGCCCCTCCTCCATCGGCAGAGCCTCTTTTCCTTTGACGTGACATGTGCTGGCAAGTGGCTACGTGTTTTACATTATGCATTATGTACTTGTTAGTCTGTATGATTTTCACCAGTAAAATTTTAATCTTTCAGCTACTTAAAATTGCCTCAGTCCATTCAAGAAATGAGGCATAAAGATAGTGTTTGAAAAAGCAACAGATTATTAGGAAAATAAGTTGGGTTTTGGAAGAATATAGTATGTTTTAATTGATTCAGAATGGCCGTAAATGACCTGATTCAAAGAGGAAAGAAAAAGCGTGGGCTTCACAGCACTGCAGTCTAATCAGTGTGCCTGTCTGTGTAATGGGCGCCTCGGTGTTCTCCCCCGTGCCTTCCCAGTTCTGAGCTTCTGTCAGGTGTGGGGCCTGCCCGCCGTCCTCTACCTGTGTTACACGGATGTCATGAAGCTGGACCTCATCACAGTGGAAGCTTTCAAGCCTCTGCTTTCTTCCAGAAGTTTCAAAGGGCTGGTCAAGGTGAGGTTTCCAGTTTGAGTTCAGAGCTGTGTCTTGGTAACAGACCCTGGACAGACAGGAGCGTGTGGTGGTGCAGGTTCCTGGCCTGACAGCAGCGCTTGCGCCCCGGTGGGCATGCTCTCGTGCGAAGGGCAGTGCAATGTGGTGAGAGCCCAGGGGTCCCCATGGGCTGGTGGCTTCGTTCGCCAAGAGGTCTCTGTGACTACTTTGCAGTGTTGTCGTTTTGAGGTTGTTATACAGTTGATTCGTGTGATTGCGCAGAGTACAGGGCTTGCAGTGGAAAGAGAGTTATACTCATTGGCTGAGCCTGTTTGCTGCCCTCTGTGTTGGGGGGCTCACTTCCCGGAGGCTGGGGGCCGAGTGCGTGGGTAGAGCTGTCACCTGTACTGGTTCACAGGGAGTGAACCACTGCCCTGCTCCCGGGCACACTGGCCGCTGGTTGACGGACTTCCTGAAAGCAAAGTGGCTCGAGCAGCATTAGCCCATAGCCCTGTTTGTTTCCAGCGTGGCCAGTTCTGCTGGAGCCAGCCCAGTCCACGCGTCTCATAGATTGGTTTCTTACTTGGTCATCAGCTCCGTGTCGCACAGACCACAGTTTCGGCTGTGTCCTTGTCTCACTGTGCGCTGCATGGAGAAGAAGGCCTCAGGCAAAAGCGGTTGAACTAATGACAAGTGAGGTGGTGAGGCTCTGACCTAGCCGGTGCCCAAGTCTCGCCTTGCACACTCCGGGATCCCATATGGGCGCCGGTTCGTGTCCCAGCGACCCCACTTCCTATCCAGCTCCCTGCTTGTGGCCTGGGAAGGCAGTGGAGAACGGCCCAAAGCCTTGGGACCCTGCACCCGTGTGGGAGACATGGAAGAGCTCCTGGGTCCTGGTTCCTGTCTTTGGATTGGCTCAGCTCCAGCCATTGTGGCCACTTGGGGAGTGAATCATTGGACGGAAGCTCTTCCTCTGTCTCTCTTCTCTGTATATCTGACTTTCCAATAAAAGTAAATTTAAAAAAAAACATGATTGGAAAGGCAGAGAGAAGGAGATGTTGTGCTCCCTGGTTCATGTTCCAGTGCCAGCAACCAGCCGGGTCAGGCCAGGCTGAAGCTGGTTTGCCATAACTCCATCTGGGTGTCCCAGTGGGTGCAGGGACCTGAGTGTTTCAGCCAGCACCTGCTCTCACCTGGATGCGTGTCAGGGGGCACGTGTGCACCACATGGGACAGGGACCCACGCAGATTGCGGTGACTATCGCGTCAGACGCCCAAGACACCTTCCCTCATCTCCGCACCCCGTTATAGGGACGTTGGTTCGCTGAGGGTCGGGGTGGGCTCACAGGTGCTGTGCGAACATTTGGAATCACCTGCTTTGGAGGTGACGTGTGCATGGCGCTGACGGCAGCTCTGACGGTGTGGCCTCCCTAGTGCAGCGCAGCCACCGCACACAGTTCTCACTTGGCTGCTGGCAGTGGGTGTGTAGGGAACCTGCATCGTCTTGCATGCCTGCCGTGAGTGTGAGCTGATGTTGGGCTCCTCGCGGTGCGCGGCACAGGGGCAGTGCTGCTGGCTTCCAGGGATGGAGCCTCAGGCACGGGAGGGATGCGGGAGAGAGTAGCTAGAGCCCAGCGGGGCGAGCGGGGCGAGCGGGGCGAGCGTGGTGGGGATGCGGTGGGGAGACCAGCCGGCCCCTGGTTGTGCGGGGTGAGGAATTGGTTCCCTGGCAGGGGCCGTCGTCTGCGGGGCTCCCCACACTTGCGTTTCCTTGACGCAGGCAGTGACAGGCAGAGCCTGGCCCCTGGGGTGCCGCTCCCGACTTAGATTCTCACTGCAGGGAGACTGAGTGTGTATATTACTTCTGGCTGAATTCTCACTGCATTCCTAATTTTTTCTTTTTTAGAATATTCCCCAGAGCACAGAGATACTGAAGAAGTTGATGTCAACAAATGAGGTTCAAAGTAATATTTATACGTGATCCAAAGACTGCTTTTCATGTGTGTTACCCGTCCATTCCTTTTAGGATAGCAACGTGCCCTGTTTTGTAAGTTACTTTGGGGAGAGGGAATATATTTTGAATTGAGATAAAGCAATAAACTATAAGAAAATTCGTGATAGTTCCACGTCTTTATGGTGATAGTGTCCACAGCAGCAGTAAGCCCAACATCTGTCTTATTCACGAGGTGTGAGCATCACTGCATACAGATGCTGGGAGCTCAGGCTGGGTGCGTCATGGCTAAATCCTTACACTGCCATCCCACAGGGGCAGTGGTTTGTGTTCCAACGGCCCCACTTCCCATCCTGCTCCCTGCTTGTGGCCTGGAAAAGCAGACAAGAATGGCCCAGGGCGTTGGACCCCTGCACACACGTGGGAGACATGGAAGAAGCTCCTGGCTCCTGGCTTCAGATCAGAGCTCATATTTGCTTGTTGCAGCTACTTGGGGAGTTAGCCAGCGGATGGAAAATCCTTTCTCACGTTAATGTCTGGAGGCAGCCTGACAGGAGGCAGTGCCAGGACCTGAGAGTTGCACTGTGGAATCACTCACCATGTCACTTGTGTACACAGGAGTGAGAGACACCTGCTACTTACAGGTGCATACGTGTGCAGATGGATTCTTGACTCTAGGTTCTTGCTGCAGGTCCCCCTGGGCCCAGTGGCTGTCCCTGCCTTCTGCTGCCTGCCTTCCTTTGTCTTCTGACAGCAGGCAACTGAGCTGGCCACCAGGTGTACCTGGCAGGGTGACCTCAAACTGCTTGTTTTCTGAAAAGCAGAGCACAAGAGATTTTTTTCATCTGCTGGTTTGATCCCCAGATGACCCGCAGCAGCCAGGACTGGTCCAGGCCAAATGCAGGAGCCAGAAATTCCATCCAGTTCTGTTTCCCACATGAGTGGCAGTGGCCCAGCCTTCTTGAAGGGTCTGGGCCAGTGTGCTCTGGCTTGCATTGGCTGGTTGGTTTCCTGTTGACCATGTCAGGGCACCGTAACACTGAGACACCCTGAGGAACCTGCTGTGTTGGAACACTGGCTGCGTTGTGTAGTGCAGGTCAGTTGCCCCAGCTGACACTGCACCTTCTCTGGAGCCTGTTGACTCAGGCATGCGAAACGTGCTGGCTGTTGGCAGGCTCAGCTTGGGGTTCAATGCCGTGCTGGCTGGGACCCTGCGGAGACCATCCTGGAATGGAGACCTCTGGGCCTGTGGAGCAGGAGGACCAGTGGGTGAGGAATGGGACCCCTCCCCTTCTCCTGGCACCTCTGGGGCCTATCTGCACAGTGCCAGCATCCCCAGCCTGCTGCGTCGCATGGCCCCAGCGACAGGGCACCTGCGCACAGCCTGGCCCTCTTGCATAGCCTGCCGACCCTGGGCTGCCCACAGAAGACCTGCTGCTTCAGGTGGGCCGGGGCGCATGCTGCGTGCAGGAGACGCAGGTTCCCTGAAGTGGAAGGTAAGAAAATCTTCCTCACTGAGAAGATGTGAGTCTAAAAAATAATAAACAAGCAAAAAACACACAGCGATGTGAGTCTAACAAAAACCGCTCTTCAGCTGTGAAGACAATGACCTAAAAAGCCCAATGAATTGGATTCTAAGGCTGCGATCTGCCTCGTCCATTAGCTATGACTTAATGCACCCACGCACCAAGCTCTAAGATGACCACTGTCTCTTGCACGTTGGGGTGGTGCACTGCTGCTGTGGCTCGGCCATGTGACTGGGGCTGGCTGCACAGTGAACCTGCCTTGGTGTGAGTCTTAGGAAGTAGCTGGTCAGCCGCAGCCTGCCACACTCATGTCCGCCTGAGCACCGGTTCACATCCCGGCGGCTCCACTTCCCATCCACTCCCTGCTAACAGCCTAGGAAGGCATTGGAGGATGGCCCAAGTACCACAAGGGAGACCCAGAAGAGGCTCTTGACAGCCTGAGACAACCCTGCCATTGACAGCCATCTGAGGAGTGAACCAGCGGATAGAAGATTCTCTTTCGAGCCAGGTGCGATAACCTAATGGCTAAAGTCCTCGCTGTGCATGCAGTGGGATCCCATATGGGCACTGGTTCATATTCCAGATGCTCCACTTCCCTTCCAGCTCTCTGCTTGTGGCCTGGGAAGGCAGTGGAGAACGGCCCAACGCCTTGGGACCCTACAGCCGCGTGGGAGACCTGGAAGAAGTTCCTGGCTTCAGATGGGCTTGGCTTCGGCTGTTGTGGCCAATTGGGGAGTGAACCAGTGAATAGAATATCTTTCTCTGTTTTTCCTTCTCTGTAAATCTGGCTTTCCAATAAAAATAAATAAATCATTTTTTAAAATTCTCTTTCTCGCGGGCCCGGCGCGGTGGCGCAAGTGGTTAAGTCCTCGCCTTGCATGCCCGGGATCCCATATGGGCGCCGGTTCTAATCCCGGCAGCCCCGCTTCCCTTCCAGCTCCCTGCCTGTGGCCTGGGAAGGCAGTTGAGGATGGCCCAAAGCTTTGGGACCCTGCACCCGCGTGGGAGACCCGGAAGAGGCTCCTGGCTTCGGATCGGCATAGTATCGACCCGTTGCGGCTCACTTGGGGAGTGAATCATCGGATGGAAGATCTTCCTCTCTGTATCTCCTCTCTGTATATCCGCCTTTCCAATAAAAAATAATAATAAAAATAAATCTTTAAAAAAAAAAAAAATTCTCTTTCTCGGGCCTGGCGGCGTGGCCTAGTGGCTAAAGTCCTCGCCTTGAACACACTGGGATCCCATATGGGTGCCGGTTCTAATCCCGGCAGCTCCACTTCCCATCCAGCTCGCTGCTTGTGGCCTTGGAAAGCAGTCCAGGACGGCCCAAAGCCTTGGGACCCTGCACCCGTGTGGGAGACCCAGAAGAAGTTCCTGGCTCCTGGCTTCAGAACGGCATAGCATCGGCCATTGTGCTCACTTGGGGAGTGAATCATCGGATGGAAGAACTTCCTCTCTGTCTCTCCTCCTCTTTGTATATCTGACTTTCCAATAAATAAATAAATCTTTAAAAGAAAATTCTCTTTCTCTCTCTGACTTCTAGATAAAATCTTATCGAAAAATACCATCACAGTGATTGCAGCAGAACCACAGGGAACAGAAGCAGGTGTCTGCCCTGTCCAGCCTCTGTACTGGGTTTGTGATGGCCCTGTCTGGACGCATCGTGGGCCTGGGGGCCGTGAGACATTGGGACCATGGGTGCAGTTAATTTGCCAGTCTGCTCTGGGCCCACAGTTGGCACGCCTCTCACACATGCAGGGCATGCTGGCTCCAGGCCAAGGGGAGCCGGTTCCACCCAGTCACAGCAGCAGCACAGCTTCTTGTCAGATAAAGGACAAGCTGTCTGCACGCGTCTGCACTGCATGTCTGGCAGGCATGGCGGGACAGCGAGAAGTCTGCAGCAAACACGCTCCGGGAAGAGACGGCACACCGTGGTAGCCCGTTTCTTGGTACCATAGTGAGATACCTGAGGTGGACACTTAGACAGACATGTGGTCTGTTTTGTGTTCGTGTCCAGAGGCCGGAAGTCCCACCAGGGTGCTGCCTCTGCCCCCTGGCCCTGGGTCTGCCTCAGCTGCTGGGTGGGGCATGTGAAGGTGCAATCCCAGGAGAGAAAGCAGAGAAAGGGGGTCCCGGTGTGCCCAGGAGAGTGGCCCCTCCGCTGACCTAACCCCTCCTACAACGTCACACCATCTCAGTACTGCCCTGCTTCTCTCCCAGCTTGTACAGATGCACCTGTGAGGCAGCAGAAGACGGGGCTCAGTACTTGGGTCCCTGGCAGCCACGTGGGAGACTGGATGGAATTCCAGGCTCCTGATTGGTGGGTTTGCCCCTGCTGGCTGTCGCACATGTTTGGGGAGCAAGTCAGGAGATGGAAGATCTCTCCCGAAGTGTTCTCTCAAAAGGGGCTGAGTTCACCGTCCCTCTTGCCCTGTCTGCTGCTCCCCTCTCGTTTGTATATATATTTTTTTCAAAAAGGCTTGTTTCTATTTGAAAGGGAGAGGTACAGAGAAAGGACACAGAGATCTTCCATCTGCCGGTTCACTCCCTGCATGGCCGTCACAGCCAGAGGCATGGCGGGCTGAAGCCAGGAACCTCTTCTTGGTCTCATACTTGGGTACAGGGGCCCAAGCACTTGAGCCATCCTTTGCTGCCTTCCTGGGTTATTGGCAGAGAGCTGGATTGGAAATGGAGAAGCAAGGAGTTGGACTGGTACTAATATGGGATGCTGGTGCCACAGACCAGTGGTCAGCTTGCTGTGCCATGGTGTTGGGTCAGTGTGCCGTGTCAGAGTGCCAGATTAGCTTGCTGTGCCATGGTATCTGCGTTGGCACGTCTCCTCTTGTGCCCTGTGAACAGTGCTCTTCACCTCTAGTCCTTGCCGGACGTCACACCTGCTGGTGCCCTAATCATGGACTTGCCAGGCTGCAGCCCTGTGGGCTGCGACAGTTCTAGTGGTCCTAAATCGCCCAGCAGCAGCGCAAAAACGGACCCAGATATGGAAGTGACCACAGCAGCTAGAGCTGAGCTTATCAGAAGTCAGGAGCCAGGAGCTTCTTCGGGTCTCCCATGCTAGTGCAGGGTCCCAAGGCTTTGGGCTGTCCTCAACTGCTTTCCCAGGCGACAGGCAAGGAGCTGGATGGGAAGTGCAACATCTGGGGAACGAGCGGGTGGCTATATGGATCCTGGGGCTTGCAAGGCGAGGATTTAGGCACTGAACCATCCCTCCAGGCCCTCTTTTGGACTTTGCTGAATGTTGCAGTCTCTCGGAAGCTTTCTAACAGCTTCTGTGTTACATGCCTTCCTATTATGGCCCACGTGTCTAGAGAAGGGACCCAGGATCATTCGAAGGTCACAGGTCATGCTAATATACAGCCAAGCCATCTTGTTAGACACCTAGGGCCCCGGCAACCTGTGTGTCAGCGCCCCCTGTAGGCGAGCCTGAAAGCCACTACAGGGCTCTAGGGCTTCTATTGCATCTTGGGGGGGCTCCTGTTGGGTAGGAGTTGGGGGCTGGCATTCTGCCTCTCTACAAGCCCCTGGGTGCTGGTGGGAGGGCTGTCCTGGGGCACCCAGGAGCAGGAGTCCTCAGCCAGATACTTAGCGACTCTTAGTAAAGTCCCCGC